TAACATGGAGAGAATTGAACACGCTCTGAAAAACGGAGGAAGCGTCAAAGCAGTGAAGAGGAAACTTGGGATAGGCAAAAGTCGGATGTATGCACTAAGGGACAAAGAAGGCAAAATAACTACCAATATGGATAGGATAGTTAAAATAGCGGAGGAGTTTTACAGAGATCTGTACAGTAGCCGAGACAACCACGACCTTAATACTATAAGAACTAGCAGTAAACCAGATGACACCCCACCAGTAATGATAGAAGAAGTCAGAAAAGCTTTGGAGAGCATGCAAAGAGGCAAAGCTACTGGTGAGGATCAGGTAACATCAGATCTGCTGAAAGATGGAGGACAGATTGTGTTAGAAAAACTAGCCACCCTGTTTACGAGGTGTCTCCTGACGGGAAGAGTACCAGAGTCTTTGAAGAATGCTAACATCATCTTAATACATAAGAATAGAGATGACAAGGACTTGAAGAATTACAGGGCGATCAGCTTGCTCTCTGTAGTATACAAGCTATTTACAAAGGTAATTGCTAACAGAGTAAAGAAAACATTAGAATTCAATCAACCAAAAAAACAATCAGGATTTCTAACAGGCTACTCAACAATTGACCACATCCATACTATCAATCAGGTAATAGAAAAATGCTCAGAGTATAACCAACCACTATACATAGCCTTCATAGATTACGAGAAGACGTTTGATTCACTAGAAATATCAGCCGTCATGCAGACACTGCGGAATCAGGGCGTAGATGAAGTATATATAAACATTCTGGAAGAAATCTACAGGGGATCAACTGCTACCATAGTGCTTCATAAAGAAAGCAACAGAATACCAATCAAGAAGGGTGTAAGGCAGGGGGACACAATCTACCCAATGCTATTTACCGTGTGCTTACAGGAAGTTTTCAGAAGCCTAGAATGGGAACAGTTAGGGATAAGAGTTAATGGAGAATACCTTAGTAACCTGCGCTTCGCCGATGACATTGCATTGCTGAGTAACTCAGGGGACGAACTGCAACTCATGATTAAGGAGTTAGACAAGGAGAGCAGAAAGGTGGGTCTTAAAATTAATCTGCAGAAAACGAAAGTAATGTACAACAACCTCGGAAAGGAGCAGCACTTCGAGATAGGTAATAGTGCACTTGAAGTTGTAAAAGACTATGTCTACTTAGGGCAGGTAATAACCGCAGAGCCGAACCACGAGATTGAAGTAACTAGAAGAATAAGAATGGGGTGGAGCACATTCGGCAAGCACTCCCAAATTATGACAGGTAGATTGCCACTATCCCTCAAGAGGAAGGTATATAACAGCTGTATCTTGCCGGTACTTAGCTACGGAGCAGAAACCTGGAGACTTACAAAAAGGGTTCAGCTTAAATTGAGGACGACGCAGCGAGCAATGGAAAGAAAAATGGTAGGTGTAACCTTAAGAGACAAGAAGAGAGCAGAGTGGATTAGGGGACAAACGGGGGTTAAGGATATCATAGTTGAAATAAAGAAGAGGAAATGGACTTGGGCCGGGCATGTAGCACGTAGACAGGATAACCGCTGGTCATTAAGGGTAACTAACTGGATTCCCAGAGAAGGGAAGCGGCTTAGGGGGAGACAGAAGGTTAGGTGGGCAGATGAGATTAAGAAGTTTGTGGGTATAAATTGGCAGCAGCGAACACAGGACCGGGTTAACTGGCGGAACATGGGAGAGGCCTTTGCCCTGCAGTGGACGTAGTCAGGCTGATGATGATGATGATACTGGACCGATTATTAAAATTCTTTGTGGCACTGAGTTCGTGAGGCGATAAGCTCTTTTAGTGAATCCATTCAATGGTTACTTGAAGAAGTGTTTCAGGGCCCCTTTAAATCTCGATGCCCTCGCGTGGATTTCATGTCTTATTGAGCATGGCACTGCAGCTCTTATTTATTTATTTATTTATTTATTTATCACATACTGCGGACCAAGTATGGTCCATGCAGGAGAGGGCAATACAGTTCTAAATTCTTCTACATACATACACTTCCGCTGCAGTATACATTCACTGCAGAACAAAATTCATGTACATTAAAAATTCGTGAAAAACAAGGGACAAATACAGGCAAAGACACTCCTTTCAATGCTTGTGAATATACATTTAACAGACCTCATATTCCAAACCAAACTCCTTTTTCATACCCTACTTACACTCTATCTTTAATTTTTAATGCCTTCCTACCATAAAACTGTGCTACTACAATGCGGTCACGTTGTACAATACCAGACTGCATCATTTCCTGTCATTCCACACACAATGCCATCACGAAGTATCATGCAGATCAAATGGGATTAAACGAGCCAGTTATTAATAGCTGTCACCTTTTGATACCCAGGTGTTGCGCAGTGACGCTCAGATGGAAAGATTACATATCACATGTGCAAACATCTAATCTATTAGAAGCTACTATATATAGCTGTGAGCAATACGAGAAGGAACATTTGAAATTGCCTTTTAAAGGTCATAGCAGATAGATGCAGTTGGCAAGAAAGAGCATTCCGGACATTAGTGCTCAACGAACAATTCAATACGTCACATTCATATCAGCACATTATGAGTAGTCATTGAATAAACACCGCTACGGTGCTGCAGCTAATACATTGCTCATGACAGTAGATTCAGTGCATTACATTCAAAGATGTTCTGAAACAAACTTAAAGTTCTAGGTCACTTATTAAGAACCTAAGTAGGTAATTTTATGGTGAAGTTTCTCCATGATACAGGCAAGACCACACTTATTGAGTAGGAAGTAGCAGTAGTAAACCCAGAACACACACAAAAAAAAAAAGGTGTGCCACTCATTGTAGATATGGAAACTAGTTGGCAAAATACTTTGGTGCCTAAAACACTGCTTTTGAGCAAGGAAGCACATAAAGTATTAGTGACTTTCATATATCATTAGAGAATTAGATTTTTGTAAAGACACTGGCAATAATATTCAGTGTCTGACATGCACGGGCACCTGGGATTTTATGTTAACGGGAATGCAACACCTAACTGACTCATCTCATTCACTTCTAAATATCATCAGTGAGTATGATCCAATATTATCGGAGTGCAATAACGATGGCCCAATTTGTTTTACTCGAGTCATCATTGTCATGTCCCGATGATGATTAGTGTATAATTTTATATGAGCTGAAAGATGCTAGTCGTGAGAAAAGCCATTCCTGACGAGTTTAGCAGAAGGTACAAACACTTTGTACTAAATTGGTCAAATGTTCAAACAACTATGAGAAGGCAGATGCGATTCTTGTTTGTATAGGAGAATACGAGCAAAGTGACACACTCCTTTCAAGAAATGTATCACCACCTCAGTACTTCGAGGTTAGCTAAAAAATGTTGTCCTGAAGTTTATCTTAGCTTTTATCTTTTTCTTTCGCATGTGGAGCAGACGACCACTAATGCATGAGCAACTGCGGTAAAAATTACAATCAATTACGAATACGACCCACTGAACAAAGGGAGCAGAATGAACTTAAACAAAGTGCTTCATTGGGCTGGTTGGTGCTCCACGGTAGACGAAGAAAGTGCCTAACAGCACAAACGACAAGAGGGGATAGAAGAGACCAGAACAGAAGGCTGTTCATCAGTGCTCTGTTCTCGTCTCTTCTATTCTATCTTGTCGATTGTGCTGTTAAGCACTTTCTTCATCTATGAAGCAGAATGAATTAGTGAAGAACCCTTACAAATTGTTTTCCTAGAATTCAAATGACAACAAATGAAAGGAAGTCGAGTGGTGTTCATTTCATTACCTATACTACAGCATTTGCTAGCAAGGCAAACATTTTAATCAACTGTGACTACACACGAAGTCATGAAATGCTTCGAATCTGCATTAGAAATGAACATGTCCCAAACTTCATCCTCGATTTAGCATAGATTGAACCGTTTACCCTGATTATAACAAGGTTATCATGAAAAAAAAAGTGTGCACCAGACAATTAGTATGAATGTAGTGGCCCAATGGTGTGTGTTTTGACAAAGACATTGTTGAGCATGCTCATTGCTACTTATTTTCTAATTTGCACCTAAAAGCAAGCTTCGTTTAGGACTTGCATTGCTGATCCGTATTTGCCAATGATACAATTCTGACACACGATTCGCTCTCGAGTAAAACGACTACGCATTTCGAATCTTCGACTATTACGAATAGAACAAGTTTCACGCTCAGGATCCCCCCAACTGGCGCCAACCACGCCGACTCCAAATGCGTAGGATGACTGCACATGCAGCATACCTGCAGGCTCGACGAACTAGTTTGACTGACGTTGAGTCAGATATCGCCACTAGTTCCTACTCTGAAAGTGCACGTGTTCTGCAGAGTGGACTGGAACAAACCGAAGTGAGAAGCCGAGTTTTCAGGACTGCACATCCACCGCATCAGCGCATTATTCACAGCGAACAGGCCCAAAGTAATCTGGGCCGCAAATGTTCGATGCAGGTCACTTTTCAGATGACAAACAGATTCGATTTCCGAAGAGATCACACGTAACGTCTCGGCAGACGGCTCGCTGCAGTGCATGGCAGAACTGCACTGCACCGAACAATGTCCAACTGGGCAACGGGCACTTCGCCGGACGTTGTGCGCACAAGCAGAGCTTCCGTGCAGTACAAGGGAGCCACTTCCCCACGTCCTGTGATCGAAGCAATATACGCGTAGCTTGGAAGACCGTTTCTCCGCTACACGCGGTAGCCTAGCGCGGAACTGCTAGACCGGCGCCACAAAAACATTCGGGCGATTTTGCCTTGCGTGCAGGCGAGCTCATCGATAGCTCACCCGAGTTCTTGGGGAGATTTCACGGTGCACCCGAGGAGGACAGCGGCCAGATTTTTCTCTCATCGTTTAGCGATGTTACTTTCGGGCGGTAAGTGAAAGTGTTTTCTCGGGGCCGAAATCGCCATGCGGCCGGCCTTTTGCAATCCATGCACGCAGTATAAGCAAACAAACAAAAAGAAAAGGTGTTTTGTACTCACCACGCCGGCTGCGGCCATGGAACCCAATCCAGCGGTCTCCCGGTCGTTCTTTCGGGTCCGCAACTTCTCGCCAGGCTAAACTGGTGAGTCCTACCCCACCCGATCACCGAATCTTTCTTCTTTTTTTCCTCTTAAACCCCCGGCTCAGTCATGCGAAGCTCTACTGCGAGGCACGGTAAATTTCTACTACGCCGACTGCTTTCCGTTGGCAACTGTCGTACAGAGTTGCCAGACTGGACGTCACGTCGCCCGCAGCATTGTTGCCAGATTGTTTGCGGCCTTGGGCTGAAATTTTGAGTGCCACGCCCACGCCTTCGCGGTTGTGCGTCGTAGTTGTAACAGAGTAGTTTTAGACATTTGAGTGCTCCACATCCATAGTCGACCAACTACAACGCACGCAGCTTACCACCAGACCAACAATGGCTCATTTGCTGTGGCGCTAGAGGCGACCACTCGGCAAGAACTGTGGCGTGAAAGTTCATTGAACTGCGGGAAGAAAAAGAGGAAAGACAAAAAAAAAAAAAAATGGAATGCGCGCGGGCGTGTTGAAAGTAGACAGACTCGCTGCCCCGCCATCTTCGACACAGAGCTAGACAGTTTAGATACAATTTGTCAATTCAATCAAATTAAGCCTCGATTCGTTGGTCTACAGTTGTACCATCTTTAGACGAGTCATTCAAGCACTTCTACAGAAATGTCCGCGCACATTATTTATGCAAAGTTGCTCAAGGCTAAACTGGCCTTGAGTCACCAGCCATGATATTACTTTATGGGTAACCAGGGGTAGTGACGCGCATCTGGAAGAAACACTACAACAGGCAGTTAATATTGTCGAAGAGTTGGCAGGGGAGGCGGGACTTTCATGCTCTCAGCCCAAGTCCGAGCTCTTTGAGGTTCGGGACAAACCCAGAGGGCTACATGCAAGACACTATACTCCGCCACCGCCGTTGGAGGTAAAGGTAGTGGGGGGTAGGCCAGTAGCTGAAGCTCAAACGATTAGAATTCTTGGCCTATATCTGCAAACTAACAGGCAGAATAGGGTGGCCCTTGAAAAACTTAAGACCACGGTCAATGCTACTGTCAGGCTTATCAGAAGAATTGCTAACCGTAAGAGCGGGGTTAAAGAAAAAAAAAGAACTCTGTAAGCTGGTACAGGTGTTTGTGCTCAGCAGGATTACTTACGCGACACCTTATATGAAGTTGGATGCTGCAGAAAAAAGCAAGGTCGAGGCTATGATCCGGCAAGCTTACAAGGCAGCACTTGGGTTGCCCAACAACGCACCTACAGAAAGGCTGTTAAAACTAGGGGTACAGAACACCCTGGATGAATTATGGGAGGCGCATCTAATGATGCAGCACGCTAGGCTTTCGACAACCAAATCGGGCAGGATCATGTTGGAAAGGAGTGGCATTGGAGCAGAGGCTCCTACTGGGGACACTAAAAGTTCAGGTGCAGCGAGAGTTACATAAGGCCATGTACATAAAACCTTTGCCAAAAAATATGCATCCTGATTCACCATACGCAGCGCAGTCAGGCAAGAGCCAGAGCTTTACACGTTGAGTACGGCGAGTACAAAGCGGCAGTCTATACAGATGTTGCGGAATATAAGGACAAAGACGCTTGTGTGATTGTGGTGGTGGACAGGCGGGGACGCTTGGTCGCCTCTGGATCGGTCAAAACCCACTCCTCAGAAACTGCAGAAGAAGCGTCAATAGCGCTAGCTATAACTAATTCGCAGTCAGATCTGATTCTCAGCGATTCAAAGACAGCCATCTGAAATCTGGCGAGGGGCAGAATATCGGCGACCGCCGCACGATTTCTGCATGGGGTCACGGGACGAGAAATTGGAGAAATAGAAGTTGTCTGGGTACCAGCACACTCTGGGAACCCTGGGAACAAGGCGGCTTACCGCGAGTCCGGGGAGGTCCGCGAGAAATGGGCTGGTGCCCTTTCATGACATAACGAATCATTTTAAACTACAGCGGAGGTTTTATCCACCCCCGCACAAGCGGCTGACTAAGGCGCAGGAATGCGTCTGGAGAAAACAGCAGACGCGATCTTTTCCCAACCCTTAGGTGTTGAACAAAATGTACCCGGAGAAGATAAAGCCGCAATGCAAATGGTGTCAGGCTGTGACAACATATGATCACATACTTTGGGAATGTAGCATAGTGCCACCACCGGTGAATATTATGCGTGATCCCTCTCTTGAGCACTGGGAGGCCGTGTTGACCAGCTCAGACTCAGTCGTCCAATTAAGGGTCGTGGAGTAGGCCACACAGGTCGCCGCCAAACTTGGGTTGATGGCCATCTAACACGGAATCATCCGCAGTTGCTTTCTGACAAAATAAAGTTTTACCATCCATCCATCACTGTAGTTGGTGCCAGTTCGTCTCAAGAATTCTCTACCGAGCCATACAGTTTTACAACATTAAAATAATGTTTAATAATGATACGACAAATTTTACTTACAGTGATGTTGTGGAGTTTTTGGAATCGATGTCGTGAACATTACAACTTTTATATTTACAAACAAAACTATAGATGAAGGCAGCTGTATAGTTTTTTTTTAATCTACGCTCCTTACTCCTAACAAAGAATAAAGAGCATGGAAATGAATTGACTCTCAGTCAATACATTTATTACAACCTTTTCAGCCATACATCAACACTAGAGTGTGGCCGAACAAAGTACTACTGGCGAGCTTACATCGAATGTCTCGCATCTGATCGATCCTTTAAGAATGAAATCACAGTACATGACATTGTGCGAATCGTGCATTCAAAGGCAGCTAGTGCTCGCTGGTACAATGCTAGAACAAACCATAAAAATGCAAGATGTGAAGCTGTGACAAAGCTGAGTACACTGTGCTTTCGCTAATGAACTCACAACGTGTGCAATATAGTCCGAAATAGTGTCCAAAATGTGTCATGGGTCGACATCTATGGGTACAACTTATAAGAAGGCTAGGGACATGTCCAGACGACCAAAGTGTGGCAACCGGCTGCCTCCAAGAATAAAAAAAAATTGTCAGTCTCTTGTTACCGGCAAGTAAGCAGCACCATTGGCCAACCGGCTTATAACGTCAGTGTAAAGTAAAATGCCCATTAAAGCAGGCTTGTATTTTTGAGGAGAAAATGCCACTGCATCCCTAAGTTGTGCTTGCTATGGAAGAATGTTGTTATGTAGCATCAAGCGTACTACAGTAGACAAATCAAATGTGGGCTTGAGCAAGACAATGATTCGAGCTAGACTTGGCATGTTGCACTGAGATTTGTAGTAGAGATAAAAAAAAGACAGAAAACGAAACATCACATCATTCTCCATATTCACCCTTGCCACCAGCTACCACTCATCTTCAAGGGAAAGGCAATGATTTCTTTTGGGGAAACACCCCTAAGACAATACTAATAAGAATAGCCTAACAAAGATGTTTATTCTCTCTCTCTCTCTACATTCCGAATCAATTAAGTGAGCTAATCTTAGTCTTAAGATATGAACACACAAATCTTGCCATTGTATTAAGGCCACCATTCTTGCCACCATTTACTTAAAAACTACCTTGGTCATGATACAGCTGCTTCTCTGAGAATAAAAGCCTTGATATTGTTTCAGTTTCTGTAGCTGAAGAAACTTGAATTATGATCCTGAAGTAAGCATCCTAAATGTAACAGAAAAGAGAAGAGTGGCTGTTTCGTTTGATCTTGAATAAAATCGCTACTGAGAAATAGTTTCAAGGTATTCAAAAGGTATAAAAAACTAAAGCACACTGTTATGATCTAAGAGTCGGGCTTCGCTGGTTCTGCAAATACGGTTCACTCTCGCTGTGCACGCAAAGAATCTTACTTGTTCTAATGCTCCAGCCGCGTTTTTATCTCTAAAATTACGAATACTTGGATGCAAACATCATTTCATAATAACTGTGAAAATGAAAACTTCAAGAATCACTATTCACACAGCCCTAAGAAGCTATCGCAATATAAGTGTCCAGTGCTCAAATTTATTTTCTTGGCGCAAAATAATGTAGAAAAAAAGATGACTAACACAAAAGCCAGAAAGAAACAGTACATGAGAATACAGGGTGGGATTTTATGTAAGGCAAACGAGACATTGCATAATGATGAGCTATGGGAATATAGGGCAAGGTAATGTTCCAACAGTGTGCGTGCATTTCAGCATAATGCGTGTGGCAGCCCGCCTACATTTCACTAGTGCGGAGATGAGTTCCAAGTTTGTTCAAGCAGCTAATATGTTGAATTCCGCAGGCTAGTGTAAGTTCTGTAATTACTACCTTAACATAAAATGTCTTATTTTAGTTTTCATGTAAGTGATTCGATCTATTTCTTACAGAAAGTTAGCCCAAGCATTCTGCGTCTAAATGGGCTCATGTTATGTCTGCACTTGTCTTTTTAGTGCTACATTGGATACAAACAAATACAACAGTTATAACACAGTCAGTAAAAAAAAAAGCACATTCAGTCTCACAGTACACGCACCCCACATTAGAAATGCCGACAGGGTAAGAGTCTTGCAAGACTCTTACCCTGTTTGTGCACGGTTTTTCGACACTTTTACCCCCTCCCCATTAACGTCCTTACAATAAAATACCAGTAACTTTAATTACTACAGCAAGTGCCGACTTGCCATACTAGTAAGCTGTATCTTGAAACACAAGTAGCTCTTTCATAGGCACAAATTTGTTTGCAGGAATAATAGTTGTCCATAGTGTGCAAGCTATTGATGAAATGCATAGATCCGACATGCAGGCAAGCTTTATGGAGTAAATATTGTAGTTTCATCGGCACACCGTACAAAGCCCCGAAATTCATTTTACCGGGGCTACGAATGCAAAATCAAGTCGTGTAACCCATCAAGCTCAACTTAGTCGCATTAAAAAGTGATGCATATTGAAAACAACACTTCGATTTCGCAGTGTCATACATGTTCTTTGTTCGAGTTTTGTTGGTGTTTAATACAAAGTAGCCAACCATGATGTGACAGTGCCACCCTTCCCTGTTCTAGACACTCCTTTCATTTGTTTATGAGATATCAGTAACAATGAAATGCCATACAAGGGAGATATCAGCCACTAAAGAATTTCTGTCTCTAGAAAGACTACTACTTGAGTTAGGGCACCTCAATGCACATTGGGCGAATAGTGTGAAGCATCACTTCGCTGTTAAAGTATGACATGAGACAAACACCAATGTCCACAGACACAGGTCAGCATTTTGCCAATGCTCCAAAGCTGTCCTCACCAGTAGTTGCACTGCTGAAAATGAACTTAAAGGGGCCCTGAAACACTTTTTCAAGTAACCATAGAATGAATTCATTGGAAAAGCTTATTTCCTCACGAATGTAACATCGCAAAATTTTTAAAACTCTGTCCAGTGCGAGTGGAGTTACAAAGATTTGTCGTATACTGCAATTGCATTCTCTCTTCTCTCGTCCCGACGAAAGTGCTGGAAGCTGAGCAGGGAGGGATGGCAGGAGCAAAGAAAAACGTCACGTGTGCCTTGTGACCTTGAGCACTTTTTCTTCTTTTCTTTTCTTCGAATGCGCAGCTTTTTCAGTGTCATCGTGCGCACACGCGTGGACAAGTCGCGGCCTACCGCGGCGATCTCTGCAATGACCGAGCACATCACGTTCAATCAGCCAATGGCTGATAGATGGGCTTTTTACAAGTGATTTTTGTGCGTCTTCCATGGTTTGTCGAGGAGAAAGCAATTTTTAGCTAAATTTGATAATTTATTGTGAATTCCCAGGCCACATGCTGCGCTATTATTCGGCTTGCTTGTTGTCGGGAGCCTCTACTACCGATTGGCAGCGTTTTCAGACCATACTCAAAAAGTGTTGTAGGGCCCCTTTAGGAACCATCACTGATTGGGTGAGTCAGTACAGATGCATATCTACAGCGCAAAGGACACATAGTGCAATAATATGAAAACACAGCAAACTTTTCAACAACTTTTCGGTCGTCAGTGAATGCTCATCCAGCGTCATCTTTTCTCTGCACCTTTAGTAAAATATACACTGAACCCACCAACAGTACAATGTGTTCACTGCATCCTGACAATGTCTAACTTACCATAAGTTGTCGAACTTTCATGAGGATTTTCAATGAGTGTGAAGACATGTAAACAAAAAGGAACACCATGCAAATTTTACTTGACAACTTAGCATTTGTAATGAATTGAAGGAGACGAAAGCCATCCTCAAAATGAAAAAAATTAGAACACACGTTTTCCCTACGGTCTAAACACAAGGGCAAAATATGGGCGCTGCCCTTCCAAGATTTTGAAATCTCAAGCACTATTTGCTCTCGCCTCACAATGACAGAAGATACAGAATTTGCAAAAATTTCATGGCTCATAACTCAGAATTTATGATGCAATATTGTGGGAGCGCGGTTTCCAACAACCACTATGCACATCACAACGCCACGATCAATATCTTGCATAAAAAAAGACACACAATCACAGAAATGTCGATCTAGTCAAAGCAATGCACCAATGCATTCTGGGAGCCAAAAGTGTCTCAGCTAGTTGCTTTTGTTGACGCTTCTCTCCAGAGAATACTCCAGCAAGCTTTGGCTTTGAATGAACAGACAACAAACTACCTGTAAACAGCTTGTGATAAATGTGTGCGCTGAAACAAAATGGCCATCAAGCCAGAACAATTGCAATGAACACGATCTCTACCACCGAGTAAGTACACAAGATAAACATCAAAAAATAAAATGGCACATACAATAATGACGTCAAATGGTTAACGTGTGCAGGTACTAAGGCATCGATTATGTACGTTTCTTCAAAATGACGCATACTCATCACGAGTTGAAATGCATGCAACAATTAATAACTAGACAAGATCAGCATTTCAACACAGTGTGACCCAGATGATACCAATAGAAAGGTATCACCCACAAGTTGACCCATTTTGAACACGTAGGGAAACATACAAGGCAGACATCTGCTTTAACAAGAGGTGGCGTAAAAAACTAACATATAAATTGTAGAACTTTTGCTCACACGCTTTTAGGGGGCTCTGAGAATGTGAAATCGCACTAGTACTAGCCTTTTAAGAAAATAAAATCAAGCCCCCTCATAGGGAACATCAAAAAGTAAATGTTGCAAAATCATAAAAAAGCTCTCGCATTTTCCCAGCGTTCCTCTTTATCAATTGTAATACCAAGTGGCTCATCGGGCTGCCAGCAACTGTGAAAAACGAACGATGAAGCGCAAGAAGAATAAAATTCGATGAATTCATTTTTAATGATGAATTATACTTTGAAAACGCTATTGTCAATAAGTTCACTTTCATAGGTCCATTAATACAACAGAAAATCAAATTTCTTTTTTTTTTTAAACCTTGCGATGAAATCTCCCTACATGATGTCACGGATTTCAAAAAAGTTTCATTTGAATTTCGCCCACAAATGCTCGAAAATCTTTATCATTTTTTTATGAAACTTTGGATGCCAAGTCTCTAATCCCTTAAGACAAAAATGTATTCATAGGAGCACTTACACAAAACATTTTTGCCTTTTTTTTTTTTTGCCGTAGGTATGTTATGACCCACTTATCACAGCTAGAAGCCTCATTCACAAGAGCGATGGTTACTTACTTATAGTAGACATTTTTAGAGAACCAAGCCTCAGTTTTGGTTTCAAAGAGCATTTAGTTAGGCAGGAGCAGTTCCAGTGTCAAGGTAAACGGAGCTGGCCACGTGACCACGCAAAACTGTAACGTAGGCGCCGCAGCGAAAAAGAGCACAGCCAGCATATGCAAGGCCACAGCCATGGAGCAAGAAATCACAGGTAGCACAAGCGCAAGGCACATGCCAGCGACCTAGCCATCACAAGCTTGCGACATCAATTTGTTTACGTTGCTGCCTTGTTGATGTCAGCGTCGCGAGGGAGCTGCGCATCTCGCCCAGTTACACGGCATGCACATTAGGATTGATTTTAAATGTGCTCTAGGCTATATTTCCCCTCGATATCTCGTAGGTTTTGTGTATGTCTCCACACAAATCTACCTCTTTCATTATTTCTCCTTCGAAATTTTGTGTCAGTGCTCCTTTAATATTGTTACAAAGAGATGACAGAAAACTGATTAGGAACAGCACACAAGAACTAGTTAGGCCCCATCAAAACCTGTGGCATCACGACGATTGGTGTGGGAACTTCAAGGTGGTGTCGCCAACAACCACATTTTCACATTGCCCGTTTTCTCGCTTACCAAACATCTTGCAGCTAATAAGTTGATTTTAGCATTGAGGAAGAATAAACTACTAATGCATGACAAATTGATTTTCTCTTTAGTCTATCTTGAAGAAAACGAGGTAGGAGCAATATTTTGATAAATATTGTGCTCTTAAATTAACCAATAAGCAACAACACCAAAAAAAAGAGAATTCAAGTGACACACAACGCTATATATTAGACACGAAGCTAAAAAAAAAGTGAAGAATTAAATGCAAAAACAATCGTTTTAACTGCAGTTAAAAACAGGCTGTTTGAATTGCTCAAACATTTTGTACAATGATACCCTAATTGCGAGCTAATGCTTAAACAAGCTGGACACACGATGTTAAGACATGGTGCAATGAGTCGCAACACATGTCATGGAAGGCTCGTTATGCAATAGCACTATATTCATGCGCATTCGTTGAACCCGTGGACCTGTTGCAACATGTGTGATATGCAGCTAAGAAAGGCTGCTTCTTCCTGAAGGGACAACCTGTGCGAGAAAACGACTTTTTATACCCCCATCTTTTAAATTCCTTTATTTACCCAGTTACCTCCGTATGCCAAAGGCACGAGTGCTGCAGAACAGACACTGTGTCAGTACAGCAAGTGGAAACATTAACATGGATTAAATTCTGAAGCACTTAGTGCCAAAGCCAGATAAATTTTAAAGCTGCTTAGCTTGACAATGCCAGTTTGAATCTTTCAGAGATGTGTCCCACTCCTGGGGCCCCCGTTGTTTAGAAACAAATGCAATTGTTAGAACTGCATGAGCCCTTTTGTGAGCTAATGAAGGAAAACAGCGATTTGACAAAGAGACTTACATGCAGTTTGGCCTGTGTGGCATTTAGTAGCCTGTGTGGCGTGTGTTTTATTATGTGTTAGTAAACTATTCTTTTTTATTACGAGGTCGAATACAACATTTCAGAAGTGGGATTGCCATACTATCGTCACAGAGAGAAAATGTGTGCTTGGTCAGCCTACGTAGCTCGTTAACGTAACCTTCAATGAAACGAAGAGACAACCAGACCTGCGCAGGAGGTACAGACTTTGGCCTTAGAGACACTATCTCGGCTCGTGACCTATTCCAAGTTCTCCAAGAAAAAGATCGACTACTATCAACCCTGCTGGAACGACTGTCTGTGGCCGGTGCGGCGCAACCTCGAACAGCGCCAACATTCCAGGTGATTCCCAACTTAAGTCACAACATCAGAGCCTTCGACGGCTCCGAGAACGCTCCATCGGCGCGCGAGTGGATCGAGAATATTGGTCCCACGTCTAACCTTCACGGGTGGCCAGCTGCGTACACGCTGGAAACCGCGAAGACCCAATCGGTAGAAGCTGCCAAGGACTGGTACCACCCAAAGAGTTCCCAGATCATTTCGTGGAAAGAATTCAAGGTGCACTTCCGTCTTACCTTCATCGGACAGACTCCCATTGCAGAATAATATACTGCTACTTCAGGTTAGTGTGAATCACAGCTGATGCTTGGTCTCACTGTCTGATTTTATTGTACACACTATCACCCAATGCAGCCACAAGAAGCTTTGATCTTGCTCAACATTCGAGTACGTAGACAAACTCCACAGTACAACATGCATCACACATGCTGCAACAGGTCCACGGGTTCAACGAATGCGCATGAATATTGTGCTATTGCATAACCAGCCTTCCATGACATGTGTTGCGACTTATTGCACCATGTCTTAACATCGTATGTCCAGCTTTGAGAAAACGAAGCCAACACCACCGTTCGACGAAATGTTTCCCTGTAATGCGATATGGAACACAGACATTCGTCAATAAGACACTTTGTCACTACATAAGATGTCAGCTCGGCCTATAGGCAGTACAGTTTGTACTACATGGAGGTTACACAAGTGAAGCAACCACCCATGCATAATGTCACATCAAGCACGCGTGAGAATTTCAGATCGTACACTTCACCCTGTGGACATGCGTCTGCATCACTGGTTTTAGATTGGAACCTTGTACATGCTGGTAAATTTTGTTAAGTATTCCGGTATTCCGACTCAGTCAAATGTAAAGTTTCAGGTTGTAACAATGAACCTTTGTCTCTCAACATGCATAGTATTTACATTATCTGAGAAAAAGTACTTACAGTCTGAGTGGACACGAGCTAGTATGACTGAATTTCATGACTGTATTTCACTGGTTAAGAACAAGCCAGCCGGTAAAAAATTGCACGCATGAAAAGAAAAGAACAAAAAAAAGTCCCTCAGTCACAACATGCCAGCGCTCTTCTCCCCTCTTTCTGAGAAAGTAATTTATTTCAATTATACACAGATGAACCTTCATATAACAAAAAATTACTGGATATAATGACGTAAATGTAAAGCCACACGTAAGGCTTTAAAACTTGCTATGGCATTCATATAAGTGCACGAGAAAACAAAATAAGTGGCAGTACCTGATTGTGGTTGACATCAAGCGTGGAGAACTTCCATCGCAGCACGTCAGCGCCTGTGGTCTTTGACCCAAGAGGGCTATGAAAGATGGACGTTTTTGATCATCTATACTATCAGCCAGTCACTTGTGAGTAAATGTCAGCAGTGCATAAATAGCATTCACGATTGCACAGCATACGTAACAATGCCCCATATTTTGCATAGGGCATGTGCGCAGAACTGCTCACGAGCTCTATGCGAAATGTGGCATCCTGGATGTCACAGTAATGTGGCGTTATGAAATACTTAAACATAGACTAGACATGCAGCCCTACAACTCGCAGTCACATTTTTTACCTGTTTGACCTAACATGCTATTTGCAAGGCAAGACTCCTCTGCATACCAAATAGGTGACACATTATTCGATCATGTAATGTGTATTTTTCATCTAGACAACATAACTACAATTGGTTCAATGAAACGACTGTCATAATATTTATTATATTCTAGCATTTTGCATTATTAAATTCAGAGTGCTTGGAGCTTCATTTACTCTAAAGAAAACAAAAACAATATAGACATGGTGAATATGTGGCACCGGTACTCTTTTAAGAGGGATGAACTTATACGAAATATTCACATTTTACTGCTTAATTGGAGATCACTAATTACTCCTAAAAAAACCGTGTTTTTCGAGAACAATGGAGGCACATCGTACCTGGTGGCTGCTTGCTGCTGCTCCCTCTCGAAGCTGTGTAGAAGTGCAGCTAAGAAAAGCTGCTTCTTCCTGAAGGGACAACCTGTGCGAGCAAACGACTCCTTGTATCCACATCTTCTAAATTCCTTAATTTTACCCAGTTACCTCCGTATGCCAAAGGCACGAGTGCTGCAGAACAGACACTGTGTCAGTACAGCAAATGGAAACATTATATGGATTAAATTCTGAAGCACTTAGTGCCAAAGCCAGGTAAGCTTAAAGCGTCTTAGCTTGACAACGCCAGTTTGATTCTTTCAGAGAGGTGTTCTACTCCTGGGGCCCCCGTTGTTTAGATTAGAATGCCAATGCATTGAAATTATACTGTACGTTGCTTCAGTCTTGATAGACAGTGTTTCAAATGTAGTACTTGCTCAGTCAATAACTGTAAAACCATTACAATGTGTACCGATGCCTAAATGTGAGTCCAAAACCCACACCACTTTATTGTGGCTAACAGGGCAAAAACCCAGACATAGCGTCCTCACGCCGCCGTGTCAGCGCTGTGCCGTGTCCACTTCTAGTCTGCGTCTGTGTTTTTCGTGCTGTTAGCCACAATGAATCTGCACCAACCCGCTCAGTTTTCCATCCCGCACACCCTTTACCTTTGAAAGTGTCTCCAAGTAATGAGGCACAATCGGGCCGGGACGTGGACGTCGTTCCCCGCAGGGGCCGGCCAGTGCGCACGCTCACGCACCAGCAGAGGTTTTCGTGGCACTGTGCCGGCACGTAGGTACGGCCATCCGGTTGGCACTCAGGCACGTAGATCCGCGGTGCATCACGTTGTGCTTCCTGTGCTTGTCGCCGCGCAGCACCGCAATCCGCGGCAGTCCCCAAGGACCAGGGTCCACCTGCGACAAATACAGCCCAGACAGTAGCTACGTTAAAGGGACACTAAAGGCAAGTACTAAGTCGATGTTGATTGCTGAAATAGCGGTCAAAAAACCTCGTAGTGCTACTTTCGTGCTGAGGAAGTGCTCATTTCGAAATAAAATCACGATTTAGAGGTCCGCATCGCGTTAGCACACTTCAAATCTCCCACCTGAAAGAGGTTTGTAACACGTCACTGTTGTCGTGCACAATGTTACCTGGCATTACTGCGCAGCCGCAGACACTAGTAGCAGCAGAGCGAAAGTAGCGGGGGCCATGGCAACAAAAACGGCCATTGAACAATTTTCTGCTATCTAGGAGGCCATGGTTCTGCCTGATTAGTTCAACTGGGCTCTGGTAGATAGCACCACCTATGCAGCCTAACGAGGACAAAATAAATTTTTTTAGCCACTCGTGCCCTTCCCCTTAGTAACACCACACAGTTCTTTTTTTTATGCCACGCAGAAACGGAGAAGCAGCATTCTATTACATCTCTTGATGCACAGAAGGTTCTTTTTTTTATTGCAGCCAGTTTGCTTACTAGTGATTAATTGTAGTCGGAAGCTCTCAAGTCATCAGGATCATTTCCAAAGTATCTCACTCATGGGGCCCGTTGTGTGACAAATTTAGCTTTATTTCTCAATAAGTAGGGCAGTGCTGTTGGTAATAGTATTGCCATTTTAAACGTTGTCATAAATTGAGCTTTCACTCGGACATAAATTGTTAGTGTTTGCCTTGAGTGTCCCTTCAACAGAAGAAAACAAAACTAACAGCCACAGTAATTCGCTTCTTTCATTTTCCTGTGCTGCCTCTGCCATTTTTGTAGTGCTTTGGTTGGGGCCTGCCGAATTAGTATTGTTACATAGATAAAAAACATTTCATAACTTTTCCGTAATAGGAAAGGCGCATGCACTGGGGCATCATGAAAAAGGTGGATAAACTACAGCGCTTCCTCGGTTTCATTCTCTGTTGAAAACAATGTGACTGCGGCAGAAACTGAGCTTATAAGTTATCATTCTTTAGTTTATTGCAGAGTAGAGACGCTGACAACTGCCACGCAGAATGTGGTTCTTGATATCACTGCTGCCAGTCAATATCGGTCCTCTTATCACAAGGTTCACTAATGTAAGCTGAACAGACAAACTTCGAAACTTTCGTGGAAACACTAAACTCCAGCAAACAATTGGAAAGTGATATGTCACCTCAAAAGATGAGAATATTGAAGCACACATGTGATAGCATTGGCATTTGGGCATGAATACATCCCACGTGTCGAACACTAACCAGTGCTTGCTCCATCACCTGAGCTATGATCTATGAAGTTGTTCATATTTTCTTGTTTTTAACGTAACATTCGCAACACCAATGGCTGTCTAGACCTAACAGAAAGCTCTGAAAGGTCCAGTACGACAAACAAGCACACATTTCAACTTTTCTGCGAAGGCTCCTTCGATTCCGAGGAGCCGACAGCTAAAGTTCATTGTCTATGGAAACAGTTTATTAATGCATCCCTTATGACAAAATTGAAACCTCGAGATATATAGTGTGATGTTTACTTTTCCTGTATATGTGGGCACTTCTGGCTGGTTATTAACAGCGAACATTGCCTCTAAGGCATTTTTATTTTGTTTTAAACTAAGCGTGAGTGCTCATCTGAGTTGGCAGCACCTTGCAACATCTCCAATAGTATGACATCAATGAAGCCTCCTGTGCGATATTTCACAAGAAAAACGAGTATTGTGAACATCACAGAAGATTCGCAAGACGTATACAATACAAATGATATCTGACAAGGACTATCACTCTTTGCTCCTCTCACGTTTCGCTGCTCTCAAGGTGGTTTTGGCTGCGTACACCAGGAATGCTTTCCTTTTCCTGAAGAGACACACTCAGAGCAGGCGTAACTCACACCGAAGCCCTCACAACGTTTTGTTCTGTATTGCAGAAGAGACTCTGATTTGAACGCTGCGTTCTCAACACCATGAAACCTTGGGCGCACGTGGTCTTAGGGCACTTTCCCGCGATGGGACACTAGTTTTTTATAAATTGAGCGGGAATTTCGAAGTGACACCGAAATCGGTTGCAGTTAACGATGATAGCGCTATTCAGAAGACATGTTAGAGTATTTATGATTCAATTTCGGGATTACCAGACACAAGGCTATAGATTACAGTAAAAAAGTCACAAACAAAAAGCTCGCTGTCAGATGTCCTTAAAAAAAAATGCATCAGGCTGTCACAGGAGATAATACGACTTCCAGTGCCACTGATAGCGGATACGAAAGCACGCTAACCTGGCTCTTGCGTCTCCTGGCTGTCCTTGTCTTCGTCCTCGACAGGCCGCAAGCCGTCTGGCCGCAGGGATCCAGCCAGGGCAACCGCCGCATCCGGGTTGCCGCCCTCTGAGTTCAACGACATGAACACGCGCAGGGAAACCACTGCGTTCCCCTCACATGCCGTGCAACGCGCGCGCACATGCACCGCAGGCCGCCATGCAGGGCCGGATCAAGAAAGGTGCGACCCCCCCCACCCGGGGAGGGGGGCATGCCACTGCATGATCAGCTGGCGTGCAACACTCGCCAAATAAGTAAACCTTCCTGTTCACATGCCGACGTCTAACGCAATAGAAATACAGTACAGTCCAACCTCGTTACAACGAACAATGATATAGCAGATTATCGGTTATAGCGAACTAAATACGGTTTGATTAGCCACAGTTCATTCGAATGTCATTTATCCTTTTTATAGTCAAGCCAAGAATGTGAGAAACATATCTGTAATGAATGAATATTTGGTTTGTGCAGGGCTCAAAGCTGGAAAGGTTGCATATTGAAAAATGCAGCCAGCGCCACTTCGTGAACACCATCGAAACAGAGAAGCTGATGCCTTCCTTCGTGAAGCTCATCCTCATCAACCCTTGGTGAGCGTCTCAAAGCTTCACCCTCTCCACTCAGCCTCAACACTCGGCTCTTGCCGCGCCTCTAACTCGTTCACCCTTTCCACAAAGCCTCACCTTCGCCCAACTTAGTGTGGCGTGGCCTCCTACCCCCCCTTGCCGACTCTCAATTTCGCCAGACCTTGAGGCCGCCTGACCAGTGCTATGCCATCAATTGGTGCGGAATCCTTCACTCAGAACAGCTTTGCAATTAAAAGCAAACTACCGCACGTATTAAAAGACAAATTATAAACCACACTTTTTAATGTGGTTGTGGCATCAAAAATTTGGTTAAAAATATCATTCGTAATGTTTCAGAAACCAAATAATCAAATAACCAGACAAGATTACATCCTCAATAAAATAAATGTGGATGTGAGTCTGTTTTGTCCAACAACCTTTTCTTCTTTTGTAATTTAACCTTCACATGTTCGGGTCAATTTATCTTCAAATGTCATATGAAACAGGTAAAAATTACCTGAATACTGGGTTTGAAGTATAGAATAATACATCTTGTATATAAGATTTCTGCGCAAGCTAGACAATTGATTTATAGGGCTGCTTTTTTTCTGTAATCTTACAATGAATATTAGATATAATGAATTCGTACTTCATCAGAATGAAGTTTAACTGTATGAACACTGAAACTGAAAAATTCAAAATGGCAGAATGGAGAAACTTGACCAACCAGCATCAGTACATCCATATATCTTTAAAAACTACACATATTCATAAAAAATGATCCATGTAATCACATATCCTTAAACCTATTTGTATGTCTCTAAAAAGGTACCCTTGTGTCCATTAAAAACTATCCATATATCCACACATCCTTAAAACAGTCCGGATGTTCATAAAAAACTATCCATACATACACATATTTAAAAACTTTCCATATGTCCCTAAATACAATAGAACTTGCACCACACTTTCACACATTTAAGACACCAAGCAGTAATAAATTGCTTTGACATGAAACCTCAATTAATGTTATTCTGATACATGACTCCAACTTGAAAACCATTTCAAAACATTATGAAATTAGTTCGCTCAAAGCTGTTCAGAAGAAAGTACTTGTTTCGTCTGCTGCAATTACCGTTGCAATCTTTCACTAACACAAGCACCAAAGTCTGTGAACCATCGATCAATCTTGCAGCTGTACAAGATAGAATTGCTTTCATTCCAGCAACCTCATCATTGTGTTAATCTGGCTTTTGCAATGTCTGGTTGTTTTGATCCAACTAAAGAAAATTTTGTTCTATGGTTGCCGTCCCATGAATCTCATACACTCAAACTCGACATAATGAACCCAAATATAACGAAATATCGATTATAACAAAGTAAATGAAGAATAGTCTTGAAATAGACATAACATTGGAATATACCTTTATAACAAATTTTCCATTATAACGAGCCTATTTTTGTGTAGGACATAACTTCATAATAATGAGGTTTCAATGTACTGTCTTTCTTCCTCATTCAAATAGCTTTTTTTTTCCAGTTACAACACAGCTCTGGAGTTCCTTATCTGGTAAGTGATCTTTCTTTGCCTTCTCTTGGCGAATCAGTTCTGCATGGGACAAAATGTGCAGAAAATTCTAAGAAAGGAAATAGAACAATATGCCCATACCTAGAACCAGGCAGTTAAAAGCAATGTTTGTTTAACTGAATGATCCTAGCTACAAGGTGCAGTCAAATTACCTAGATTAGCCATCTTTTCGTCCACTTTCTTTTCGTTCAGATTTACAGTTACAATTTCTACTAATAATGTCCCCTACATCCCTCTGGGCATCAATGTCTATTAGTTGCCATTAGTATCGCGTCTAACAAATAAAAAAAGAGCCCTTAAATTTTTGAAATCTTTCCTTAAATCGACGGCGAGGGTCTTGTTTCGGACAGACTTGATGCCATAAGGTAGTGTGCGAGGGATTATTGGTCGGCTGCCAGCTTGTAACAGGATCACATGTTACGTGACACCAACAAGCAGAAAAATAGTGTTCTACACTCACCATCATGGTGGCTGGCGACACTGAATAACAGTGCCCAGGATTTAAATTCACATGTATACCCCATAAAAAAAAAGTGGACAGGAGGATGACCGCCACTGTAGCCGAGTTGGTAGAGCATCGGACGCTTTATTCGAAGGCCGCCGGTTCGGTCCCTGCTAGCAGCAAGTGATCTTTGGTTGCTGAGTTGGAACAGTGCGACTGAACAGTGTTTTCACCTGCCAGCGTGTCTATTTATATGCGTCACGTGCACATGAAAATATACCTTTCCAGTCGAAATTCAGCCCTGGGTGTCTGTGTGCGTGTTCTCGGTACCCATTCAGTCACACTGTTCAAACTTGGCATGATAAACCAAAACCGACTAGCCTGCCAGTGCAGTTAGGCGAACATCTTTTCATCCACTTTACTTCTCTTATGATTTACATTACAATTACTACTACCATTAACACCTTATACTTTCCTTGGCATCACTGACACATACACACAAATATATATATATTAAAATAGAAGTGTACGTCGAGAAACGTTCAAACGCAGCTTGGCGAAAGGTGCTTTATGAGGCAGGCCTGGCTACTGGCGAGCGGCGTGCCCGAGCTACTACTACTGCCACCGATCGTCATCGTCTTCTTTAGCAACAGCAGAGCATCCGTTATTCAGATTCATTACATTACACACACACACACACACGCACGCACGCACGCGCGCACGCACACACACACACACACACACACACACACACACACACACACAGTAATATTACCTACATAAATCCCTGGTAACAAGAAATGTCAGCATAATGTCGAAGCAACTTTCTCAATGATGTAGCAATGTTGTGTCAACATTACGCATTACTAGGGATACAGAAGTTTTTCAGAACCCTTTTCATATTCAGTATATACAGGTTTTACTGAACTAAAATGCCTCTGCCTTACTTTATTAGGTACTTTGTACATTACCACAGTTCCCTTCAAAAATTTGTCTTAATTTTCTTTTTTCTCGGAGAGAGAAATGCGGTTAGAACCCCGTGAAATCACCGCTTAATCCGGCCCTGCAGGCATGCAGGGAGAAGGTGCTTACTGTCCACGCGCATGGGGCTCCCCTGAAGACAGTGCAGCCACTCGGAGAGCGACAGAAGCCGGTCCCGGTTGGCGTCGCAGTAGCGGGCGAGGCCCCGGGCGCACGCCTGCGGCTCCACGATGCGACGTGCCAGCCGCCGCAGGTCGCGAACCTCGTGCAGCTGCAGGGAGCCATCGCCGTCGACGTCCAGCTCGGAGAACTTCCACCTCAGCACTGCGGGCACACGACCTGCGTTTCGGGGGCAAAGCTCCTTGAGGTCGAGCCATTTCCGACGTCGTCCCTTGATGATGACGGCACTGACGATGAAGAACAAGCGCGCTCCAGATCCCGCATTCTCTTTCTGTCGTGAAATGACCATGAAAGTGCTCCGACCCACGAAAGGCAAAGTGGCAACACTGACAACAAGCTGCAACCCCAGAGGCGAGAGCACGGCATGTGACGGCTTGTCTACGCAGACGACAAGTTACCCTAAAGGCGCAGTAAGTGGTGGCCCAACGGCAAAAGCAAATTTTATATATTGTACACACGCTTTGTCCCTCACTTACATGCACAAGTGGCTAATGTCATGTATGACATACGATAACAAAGATCCTTAGTGTTTCGCCCCCTCGTCGTGATTCACTTCGTGGAGATGCGTAGATTTTCTTGCAGGCCTAAGCGTTGGAGTGCTTCGAAGAAACACTGTCGACCTTTATGAAGCTTGCTGCAGTTAAAGGGACACTAAAGTGATACAATAAATTAGTTTAGACTGGCGATTAGGCGGCGGCTAACGCCACCTAGCCGTAATACTAAGTGAACCAAAAACTAGATCTATCCTTTTTTTTCCCCTTTAAATATTGAAGTCAAGGACTGGTAATTCGCAGTGAAGGATTTAATTTTCACTCGTGCCTTGACTGTATCCACCAATCAGATAACCTCCTTCTAGTTATTTCTACCCGCTTAAAGTCTATTTTGCCCTCCCTGTCCTTAAACCCCAGTGCTTTGAAAAACTCTGCGCCATCATCCTGAACTATAGGATGAAGCCCTTTACAGAACATTATCAAGTGTTCGGCAGTTTCCTCCTCCTCTCCGCATGCACTGCATACCGTGTCTACCCCTTCGTATTTGGCCCGATATGTCTTGGTTTGCAATACTCCCGTCCTGCTTAAAAACAATACTTTTCTACAATAGTTTCCTGCTTAAAAGTTCGATAGATCTTTAGTGCGGACTTCTTAATCATGCCAATTCTCCACATGTCAGTTTCCATTTCCTTCACCTTCTTCTTAACCGATAGTTCTTTTTGGTTTGGCCCCCTGCTGTTTTCTAAGTATTTACCCGTCAATTTTCTGGTTTGCTTCCTCTATTTTGTATCGAAATTCCTTATGTACAAGTAGCTGAAAACCTTCCCAGCCCAACGCTCCTCCCCCCCCAATTCTCTCAATCGTTCCTCAAACTTTATCTTGCAGCTAGCTTCCCTCATATGCATAGCGCTGCCTATGAGGAAGCATGTGAACCCGAACGAAGTTCTGCTACCCTTGCTCATTACACTGAGTCACCTCTCCTTCCTACACGAAGCTCTAAATACACTCAGTGTTAAAGGATGACTGACATCAGATTGACTCATGTCAAAATTTTTGTGTGAACAAGTAGCTATCGGCCCCCTAGTAGCTATTCACGACCTAAAACGCATCTGAGGTACGAATGAATATCTGTAATATTGATTAATATATCCGCTATCAAATGTTGTTCAGTATGGGTCGAAAGCCCACCAAATTGTAGTGCTGTCAGCGCTACGTCGCGGCCGCATCGAGGCAGCTGCACTGCTGATGCTGCTTTCACAAAAAAAAAAAAAATGGCAGTGGCTTAGCTTAGCTATGCCAGGATATCTGTAGCGTTAGCAAAGGTTCAGCTGATTATTCTTAGCTTTCCAGATATCATGCTTACAGCTGTTCCAATGACACACACACGGTATACGTATAATGTGGCACATGTATATTTACTTTGCCGGGCAACTACTTCGGGATCCGATGAGTTAAGCTTCTCCGCTCTACTGCACCGTTGAGCAGCACTTGCACTCTCCTTCTCCATTGCTATACCACACTAGCAAACGCCAGTCAGAGGTGCTATCAAGTGGCTCCAGCGCAGTGTCAGATGGCAACTGCACAGGGAAGGCGCGCGCGTCGGCGTCCATATGTCTCTATGACGGCACTCCTCTGGAAAGCGCACACCGGTGGCGGCGAGTCGCGCGCGGGCGCGGCCGAGTGCGAGGGAGTTGCCGGCTCCGGTGTGTGACACCACTGATCGTCTGCGCAGCGCATCGAATCGCGCACACACCGGCGGCGAGCCGCGCGCGACGACGGTGGAGTATCATTGCGCATGCGCAGACCAGTGCCACGCGAAATTGGCTCAGCGAGGCCGGTGTAGCTAACGCTACAAAAATGGTGACGTCAGGCACACTGGCATTTCATCTGCTAGGAGCACACGTGTAGTCAGTCCAGCTGTGTCTCTGATGATGTAGACTTAACCCCCTCCAAGCGTTTTTCGCCGGCTAGGTTAAGTAGCGCCAACTCGTTCTTCCCCTCTTCCTTTAGCCCCGGCCTCAAGAAGGGGCTTCGTACTGCCAGTGAAACCAAACTTGTTCGCCAACACAAGATTTACCCTGTAGCAGCTCAGCGCAAAGTGAAGCAAGCAAATGCGACTGTTCTTCTTAGGCGTCCAGTCTCTCTGTCCATATGCATGTACGAAGTCAACCCACTGGCTGCATTTAGGTTCGTGGCTTGGAAAGGCATGAAACGCCACGCAATTTCCGTTTTTTCCGCTGCCTCGACGTGCAGGTTCTCACTGCGCAGTGGTTCCCCGACATTCTGGCACACATTGTCACTATGAATGACCATACTCAGTCTGTGGAACACATGTCAAATCAGACGATGCGACACGATGAATCGCACACACACTTCAACACAGCAAGGAGAGCCATTATTGAAAGCATAGCCGGGGGACTAGGCTCCAAACACACTCAGATTGTCGACGTCATTGTTATTAGCGTATCGTCACTCAGGATGGTATTTCTGGAATGTATCACACCGAACACCTAGCACTAGTGTCAATGTCGCAGGGTAGTCTATTTTCCATTTTTTCTCCTTAGCTTTTCTACGCTGTTTGACATCAAATTAAAATAACTTTCACGTGACGGATGCCATTCAAATTTGGCCAAGAAGACCTATGCATACCAAGCGATCGAATGACGGGCACATCTCGATCTTGAAATTTGATGTTAAAGGGCCACTCACCAGGCCCCATACCAAATTTTAGTTAATCAAAGTTGTTGGTTGTCCGATGAGGAACATTTTACCACAAAAATGTTTTGAATCGGTTCATCACGAGCGGAGAAAATGGGTTTTTTGAAGTGGCGCGAAACGAGAATGAGAGGAGGCGAGCTCGAAACCCTTGCCACTCCTCTCCGTAGCCTTCGCAAGCCGCATCTCTTCCCCACCCTCTCCGGCATCCGACCAAGACGGCATGTGCGCATGACGTGTCCAAACAAGTCCAACCCCCGAGCATGCGAGCGGCGTTGCTTTGTTGACCAGCGTTATTTTGTGGTCTTCTGCCTGTTCCTGCGAGATGGTTTGGAAACGCTGGCTTAGATGCGGTAGAACAGATGAGCACAATGAGTGCAAGAACGCGTAGGAGCGTTCCACGGGTGTCATCTGCTCGATGCACTGACCGCGGGGACACGAATGCATGCGAAATGCCGACACATTAGCCCCGCATTTCGTTTCAATTCACGGGAGAAAAATGGTAAAAAAACGCTCACATTTCCTTATTGCATCTCATTATTTATCTAGAGCTTTATTAATCTCTTCAATCAACTATGCATGCCCTAGTTGCTTGAAACTACGCATGTTTGTTAAATAATTTTTACCATGTCACATGCCCCTGTTTGCAACGTCAGAGCAGACTCGTATACGTAGAGGACCAACGTCACTGCATTGTCGTGTACGTAAGGCCATTCATACGCGCACGTCATGCCCTCATTCTCAGGGCGCGTGCCAGCAAAAGGAAGGGGGAGCAGCGCTCATCTTCAAATTTGACCCATTTCTGCGGCACGTAGCGTTGCAAACTTTGCCAGATGTGATCATGAACGCCTTGTCTATGCATTGCGCTTGTCAGCTCAAAATTGTCAAACCTGGTGAGTGGCCCTTTAAAAGATGTTATATCTCTTCAAGATTACATCTTCCTCTGTACTTCTGTTTTATATTGTTATTCTTGCCGGAACAAGTTGTTACGACTTTGGTAGACGTTATTAGCTAGACGATAGCTGTGTAATTGCTTACTCAAAGTGTGCAACATTCTTTTGTGCAGTTACCACACAATGTTGGTGAGGATATACGCTCAAACATCGATGGATATAAAGAAATACCGGTAATAAGGATTTAAATAAAAAATAGTCTTGGAATAAATACAGCGATGGAAATAACCTTTATAACGAATTTTCGGATACGATGAAACTTATTTTCATGTAAAATGAAACTCTGTCATAATGAGGTGTGTATTGGGTTTGTCCTGCACAAAGATAACAGAAGGAGGAGGATAAAAAAAAGAGACGTGACCTTCTCCTTCTTTACGAAGGCCTTGATATCCCTCTGGCGTTCCCATCTTTGAAGCTCCTGTGGATGTGCCATGTGATTGGTTCAGCCATGTTGCTTTTTCGCAATAATTAAAAAAGAAACACTTTACTGACCTCGTTAATGGCAGTTCACCACAGATGTAAAGTCACAACTGGGGCCATACCTGTAACGTTGCCAGCAGGAGGTTTCGGAAGCCTGTCAAACTCCTTCTGAAATATGCCCACCAAGTTCAGGTTGAACTGGCTACGATCAACGCTCGAACAACCTGCAAAAAAGAAGGAACGATGAAACAGTCCCATGTTGTTCCAGTCTAGTTTATTTTTCAATCCCAGACATGGATCGATTTTTATGAATAGTGAAAGTTTTCTTCCTGAAGAAACCGTACATGTTTGTTTGCAGCACAGTGCTACGAATATGGATAGAAACTTTTCCTTTTAAGAGGCATACCGAGATATCAAGGCTGCAACACCATTTTAAAAGTTAGGGCATAGGAAATGGGTACACAAGAAAAATTTCAGACACCAGAAATGCCAACTAAGAACTACAAAGGTGCACAATAGAAAAGAAAGAAGACACACAAGCTTTCATTGTTATCGGTCTTAAAACTAATCTTGAAAGATGGGGTGTGTTTGCATGCCTAGTCTTTTAGAATGAATGCTTACAAAGTAGCTCAAGGTTTTGATATTGTAATGGCACATCAATTATTTTACAATGTTTAGTGAGTAATGCAGTAGACACAAACTAGAAGACAAAGCTCTGGCCACTTTCTACAATGAACAATTTGTTTGCTAGTTCCACAAGTGTAAACGGATGCTGAAGTCAAATGATGAATTGGTTTAAATGATAAGTTGTGCTCTGAGAGCTCTAGTCTAATTGATTTCACCATCACAGAAAGTTTTCAGACGAGGAAGTGAAGATTGTTTCAAGTTTGAATTTCCCGGTGAAAAATCAGCACGCCAACTTCAGAGTGACATCGCTGATTTCAGGGTATTTTGGTATCTCCTGGCCACACTGATTCATTAAAGTTCTGTTAAAGAAGCCCTACAACACTTTTCGAGCATGCATCAGAAAATACTGCGTATTAATAGCAGAGGCTCCCAAGAACACAGGAGCCACATATAGCACAGCACGCAGCCTGGAATTCATAACAAATTACCCAAATCAGCTAATGATTGCTTTCTCTTCTCTTGAAAAAAGATAGAATAAGCTCAAAAATCATTCGTAAAAGCCCTTCTGTCAGCCACTGGCTGATTTGAATATGGCGCGCTCTGTCATTACAGGGATCCCTGCGGGAGCTCGCGAATTGTCCCCGCATGCATGCAATCACACTGAAAAAGCCACGTATTCGAAAATAGAAAAAAAAATGTGCTCAAGGTCACAATAGTTGCGAGGCACACGTGACATGTTATGTTTGCTTTGCCCATGCCATCCCTCTCTGCTTAGCTTCCAGTGTTTTGCTCGGTATGGGACAAGAGAGAAATGCGATTGCAGCGTGCAACAAATCTTTGTAACTTCACTCGTACTTAACAGGTTTTTAAAATTTTCTCGGCAGTGAATTCGTGAGGCAATAAGCTCTTTTAGTGAATGAATTCCATGGTTATTTAAAGAAGTATTTCAGGGTCCCTTTAAGCTTCCAATCTTGAGACGTTTGGTTCCTCAGAACACAACGTATACAATATTTACCCGTAAACTAGTACATATGCCTTTGCAGACACCATCGAAATCTATGACGTAACGGCAAGCTCGTGTGGAAACTTACACCGGCGTCACCGCTAGTAATTTCTCTTAGCTTGTTTTTTTCGCTAGCGTCTTCTTACGATAAAAGTGATGTATGTATCCGTATTGTGAAATTATAATTTACGAATAAAAAACAGACGTTCTTTTTTTCTTTAGTGCCCTGATGACAATGTTCCTCACCTGTTTTAGCTTGTCCCTGGTGTGAAGCTCTACGCTGGAATGAACCCTGTCGTCGGGATGTGCAATTGGGTTTTTTCAGGTGAACCGAGGATCCTGCCAGAGGCCTCCCCTGCGCGTCCACGCACCAGCAGTATCCTGTCAGCTCGTGGCACTGGACACGCTCGAACCCGCCATCTGGCGAGCATTCCGGGACGAACGAGCCTGGTTGCTGCATGCTCTGCTGTTTCTGAAGCAGGCAACGTGCTGCTGCTGCGGCTTGTGCCTGCTCGGTGCACGGACCCGTGTGGCTTAGCGCCACATAGTTCCCTTCGCACTGGGAACGCTCCAAGTCGCAGCGTGTCGGGTACGTGCGCCCGTCCGAGCCACACACGGGCTCCTCGGTGCAGTTTTTGTAGGTGGCGGGCATAGTGGCACCTGCAGAACAGTTGAGAAATATCTTCTCGTACTGCCTGTGGACACAATTAACCATATTTAGCAGCTTAGCTACAACTGCAATTAACTGGAACTACAACTAACTGCTACTTGAGCCCCCTCATGATAAACCAACTTTGAAATGAAAAAAGAAAAAGCATATGTTGTGAAAAATACTTTATTGTTACTGGACTTGCTATCCTAGCTACTTCGAGAAATCCTGATCAAATGCATGATCACCATTTAAAATCTTGAAAAGGATGCATGTAGCATAGCACCTGAAACATGTGAATGTGTGCTGTGCTACGTCCACAGCTGCATAAATTCGGTCAGAGAATGTCATTTGAAATCTGTAATTTGTATAATCCAAGGTTCAAGGAAAACTCATCAGGTGAGGGGGGGATTCATTGGAAGAAGTAGAACAGGCACTCACCTTGTCCAATGAGAAAGGAGAGTGCCTTCGGACAAAGTCAGTGCCTGTTTTATTTCTTTATATAAATTGCATACTGCTCCACACTTATGCTTATTGTAACACCAGGTAGGTGATGTAAGCTGCCCACACTGTCAGCGTGCCCGAGGCACCAGAGTGCAAGGTGTACAAAACAAGCAACTTAAAAAGTAGAAAAGCCGCTCCAAATCAGTGCCTACCATACATTACATGTGCTCTTCTACCAACTTCAAGGCATGCGATCTAGCAAAGAAGCTTTTAAGCATCTTGGTTTCCAAGTCAGTCATACCGCAGTCTAGTCAAATTAGTTTCAGCTGATCTAGCTATGTAAAATAGGCAACTGTAAATCTCCATGTGCGCTTGTCTACAGGCTTTTTGTGAAATGAGCAAAAAAAATGGTTTGCACTATGCGATGTTGAGTAAACCATATCGTGACAAGTTAACAAGATAAGAGAGAGACGTCTCCTTCAGTGACTATTCTTCTCCAGTGCAGCAACAGCAGTTATTAGGTAGTGATGTGATGAAGTGATCTATAGACAATGAACACAAAAGAATCAACACAGCGAACATGGTCTCGTAATTAGAAAATTGGTATTACAGTTAATTAAGAAGGGTTCGAACAGCACGATTCAACTGTACTGAGACATCTACACAAGTAGAATTTGAACGCAGTACGTATCAGACAACACTTTCAAATACGCCATCTTCTTTCTTCCACTGTTGCGTTATTACAACGTGTGTTGTTTGTAATCTTTGAGTCAACATAGGAGCTTGGCACACACAACAGCAATTCATGGCTGACGTAGTTTCATTTTCTCGGCGTGCTCGCCTCTGTAGAAGTAGTTCACAGCTTTTAAGCATAACGAGAAGTCTTTGCAATATACAACATCCCGTGTTTCTCAGGCTCGGCGTATTTCAAGCCGGAGTGGCATTTGTATACCCTCGTGCAAGATGAAGCAGCTAGGAAGTACAGCACAATGTGCAAGCTTGTCTCGATTAACAGCATGTAAGCAGGTGGTCTCACTGTTTTACTCTCACGTTGATTTTCGAGGTATTTACAGCCTTAATATAGCGAAGAACGGCGTAAATGTCAGTGCATCTTCTGAACTGCGATATAGATAAGAACTGCAGCAAGCGCGAACTCCATCGACGCACGAACGGCTCTTGTCAAGTCGCTCCGGCAGTCGCATCGCTGGCAATGTGTCAACCTCAACAAAAAAAAGAAAACATATCTCGGTTTTCCGTGCTTGCCAAGCTCAAGGTTAGATACCGCGTGCTGCACAATACGAATCCATTCAGCACACGCACCCGCGACGCAGCTTAAGGGCGCCTTAATTACTCCCAGCCGCGGACACCGACCAGCTCTTTCGCTCCCCGAAGCGACCATCGTTAAAAAGGCGCACAACGCGAGAGGAAAAGAATATATATAAAAAGATCGACCCGTGAACGGGGGCGAACGAATCTCTCGACTTGTTTAAACCTGTGCGAAGGGCGCCACAAGCTAGATACGAGCTGTCCGAAACCCGCTCGCCGCAATCGAGTGGTTTGGCAGAAAGAAACAACTTCTCCGTTTTGTTTTTCTTTCATTTTCTACCACCGATGACCGCTCACAGCTGCTAAGCTCGCGCACACAGAACAGCCAGAACGGAGTAGCGAGAAAAAATCGCTGCATTCGGGCATCCGAAAACATCAGCCGCGGTTCAAAAGCGCTCGTCTCATTAATCACCTTGCACAACGCCGCTGCGTCACGTGTCGTGTGACGCCAAAAGGAAATGACAACTGTCGCGCTGAGCTCCCCATGCACTAAGCCATACGAAGCGCTGCAGGTGAAGCATGCTACGTACGCACACACACGCACCAACGCGCACAGGCGGCACGCAGTCTCGTCAAACCGATCAGCACGTGCGCGCGTATTGTGATTGCGTGCACGAAGAGCAGCGTGCCCAGGTGTCGCTACCCGCGTTCTCACCTGTTGTGGGCCCGCAGCTGAAGCGAGGGCGAGCGCGACGCCAAAGGCGGCGAGCAGCAGGGCCATAATGCCCCACTGCGCGCACATCCATCCGCTTGCCAGCAGCGAAGGCCGCACTCGCGCGCACAGGAAGCCGTCACCGCGCCGAGGCGCCGTGCCAGTTGAGGAGACCGTTCAACAAATGAATCGTTTCGAAAACCAATAATCAAGCTCACAAATTTTCACCGACAATCAGACGCGCTAGCTGTGCTAACTAGTACAAAGTAATAATTTTATTTACTTCAATATTATTTTTAAATAATAGTTATTTATTGTACACATAGATGGCGCAACACTTTTTAAAATACCGTGTATTAGTCATAGTATTTAGTTTAAATTTTAAGCGCAGTGTTTTGGCTGGTGCTCTATTAGAACTCCGGTCGAGGGGGCTGCGGTCGGCGCACTTCTCTCCGCCGCTACCTTTCGGTGAACTTGTTGCCCAGGTCTTGTCTTTACACCCGATTCAGCCGGCTGCTTCCTTTCCGACGTGTTCCTGCTCCCGTTCGCGCCGAGCGAAAGTATAAACAAGAAGAAAAATGTCCGGCTGCCTGAGTGATCAGGAGGCGGAGAAGTGCTGCTCCGAGCCGGACCCGGCGACGCGGGGCTTCATCATGCAGCAGACCATGTACCGCATACGGGATCCCAAGGCATCGCTCGACTTCTACACTCGCGTTTTGGGCATGAGGCTGCTGCAAAAGCTAGACTTTCCCGAGATGAAATTCTCGCTTTACTTCGTGGGATTCGAGGAGTCCGTGCCCAAGACGAACACACCGCAGGAGCGCGCCGAGTGGGCTTTCGGTCGCAAGGCTAACCATCGAGTTGACGCAGTGAGTGTGTGTGTTAGTCCAGCGGTAAACACTCTTACGCCTCCCGCAGCCGAAGTTTGGAAGCGCGTGCACACTTGGGAGGTGCGGAAAAATACCGCTCCTGTTACGTCAGACATCTGTTGACGGGCGTTGCGAGTTGGGCCGGGGCTTTCTGTAGGATATCGCGAGCTTGGAGTGGCAGCGGAGTTGTGCGAAGTTTGCCGACGTGTTTTGCGAACGGCGCGGATGCGCTCGGAAAATATGCCGCAAAAAAAAAAAAAAAAAAAGTAAGACATATGAAGATAATGTACGCGTTCTAGCCTGACACGCATGTTGTGGAATGCACCTCGCGCGTTCGCGATAGCAATACACCTGCGGATGTAGATACGAACGTCTGGCCTAGGACCTTGTTATTTGAAAGACCCGGCAGTCTCGGCGCACGCGGAATGTGGGCTATTAAGATAACGCACATTCGTTGCTACCGACCGTAAAATGTGTTTTCCCGCGTGCGGCTTGCAAACTGGTTACGAAACCAACATGGCCGACCTTGTATTCGCGTTATAACGAATCTCTTGGTATAACATTACATCCATTCAAGGGCATGTTGGTGTACGCTAAGAGTAATCTCTGTGTGAGGGCAAACAGGTTATTGAGACTTTCTAACAGATGTGCAAAACTGCACCCACTTCGTGCATGTGCAGAGCTGGCTGCAATACTTTCGCTCTTGTCCTGGGACATTGCAACATAGTTTTTCATGTGCCTTGCCCGCTCTCCTTTAGCACAAACCGTACAGTGTCGTGAAACAAGCATTTGCTTGACCATTTTGGGGACATACACTACGCAGGGTAGTGAGCGTCTCTTTATACTTTTACGCTAAATTTCCCTTTCCCATTTCTCTAGCACTGCCCCAACACTGTGTAGGAAATGCGATTTTCCAACTTTTATTTGTCGCGTTGGTGCTAGTTCTCAACAAAATGGGTGTCCTGTAAGCACCATTCTGGCGGCACGCATTGTTGCCACATTATTGTGAATGCCACAATTCTGCTTTATTTAATGTTTAACATTCATGCTGTTGGGTGTCTTCCAAACGAAAGGCTGCTGATCACTGGCACCTTTTCACGAATGTCGCCACTTGTTTGGCAGGATGAGACAGGTTTTGTTTTTTGGCTAACTTCGCTGTTAAAAGTGCCAGGTATCAGTTGCAACTTTTTCGTTGAATGCCACTTTTGCACACCCTCATAAACCTGCTGTAAAATGTCCACTACCCCCTCAGAAAAGACATCAGCCAATCATATGATTATAACTACTTTGCCTACAAAAATCTGTGAATGTCAATACTTAGGTAATCAGGAGCGTGTCAATTTAGTTACCATGCGACAGAAGGTGTGCCTTTCATAGTGTTGTGTCGGCAAAGTATTTCTGCTAACTGCAAAATATATATAACTTTTTGTGCGACATATGATCATAGAGGCAGGAGGCAAAAAAAAAGGGGCACCTTTTCCCTCCCTCAAGCAGTCGAAACACTCACCCCCCGCCCCCACCTATGTCAAGTCCAACTAGTGCTTTCCTCCCTCCCCTCCAATGTTTCAACTCCCAAGACAAAATCCTGCCAAAAACCATGTATATGACCTACTATATATATGTAGCTCTTTTATGCTTGTGTTACACAACGTTTCCTTACTCCTTATTGTGTGCCATTTATTGCATCCAGTGTGGCCAGTTGCACCCATAAATATGAGATGTGATTTGAGACTCGCATCAATTTCTTACACCACTTGTGCAGCAACTGGGAGGATCACCCAGAAGGTGGCTATCACAATGGGAACACTGCTCCCAGAGGATTTGGTGAGTTAATGACATTGCTAGAATTGATAATGCTATCATGACACTACCATTTTGCCATTAACGCACCTCTCAATCGGGTGTGCAGGCCACATCGGCATCATGGTTCCAAATGTCGCAGAAGCATGCGCCCGGTTTGAAAAGCTTGGTGTAAAGTTTGTCAAGAAGCCTCACGAAGGTGAGATGTCCTTTACAGAATGCTGGCTTGTTGCTTATAGCAGCCAAGGTACAGGGTAGATGAATGTTAAAGGAAACACCTGATTTCTCTTGGTTTAAAAAAGCATAAAGGTGTAAACTTGAAACTGAAGAATTAAATTTAGTAGTAGTCCACTTTAACACGAATAGGCAAGTTTTTGAAACCTACCCATCCGCAAACATTAGCAGGTGATTAGGTGTACTAAAATGAAATGCACTCCAAGCAGCTGTACTATGATCAAACTTGCTTTGATTGTATGTACTCTTTCATTTCACTCACCTATACACCTTGGCAAAAATGGTGAGACTGTAAGACTTCAGTAGTAAGAATCGTGCTTCTTACATTGAATTGAGGTACTCTGTTATTGTATCTGCATTGTAACTTGACCCTGTGAGGGATAGTGGGATGAGTGTTTTTTGCAGTTTTTGAAGTGTGTACGTCTCTGTAACACTTCTGACATTTCTATGCATGAACTTTGCCAAAGTGACTACAACAGAACTGGTGTTGTTCCACTTCTTTTAAGGCACATCATGGGTCAATGGCACATACATGCCCTCTTTTTCTCATAAACTAACATGTTTTGGTGAAAATTATTTCATTCTATTTCAAAGAACATCATTTAGTTAGTCCACAGGCATTATTTGTATTTATCATGTAAAAAAATATTGAACTCTCAAAAGCTTAATATTTTAACTTACACATTAGAATGGGCAACAGCCTATTGGCTATTTGTTTCTGCTTGTTCTCTCATGACGTTTCGTTCGAAACAGCTGAGGGAATTCAGAAGTGAATTATTATGAATTATTATAACTGAAAATCAGTGTTGGGAGGCATTTCCTTTCGAAATTTAAGATTTAAAAGCACCATAGATGTTCAGTGGTTGGTTGCGATTTTTGTGAACCATCAACATTGAAGTAAGCTAGACATAAAGCAGGCTGATTCAATTACCCGGCCCTAGCGCTTGCATTTTGATCTAATCCAAGTCATACGGAGACCATTATATATCCATTCTATCCGACAGAACGGTGCCCTCATCCATTCTGTGCCAAAATTATTGACAGCACTGCCGCTTGTGGTGGCTATTTCCACACGTGACAGTCAGATAAGCCTCAACCAATCCCGTGTGGACCCTCCCTCTCACCCTTTTGTGACATTTTGTTGCCCTCTTCTCTCCAATCACAGAATGCATACAAAATAGCCTTATTAACATATATTTCTCTTTCTGCAGGAAAGATGAAGAACATCGCCTTCATTCAGGACCCGGACGGCTACTGGATTGAGATCCTCAACAACAAGAGTGTCATCCAAGACGTGTTTAAAGAATGAATCGGCATTTTGTACTCCACGTGAAAGAGCCCGAAATGAGCTCAGAGTGCCTTTCCTTACATTTCTACGAACGATTTTTCAAAAAGTCTTTGATGCGCATAGCCAAGTCAAGGCCAACCAGTGCAAAGACTACTACTGATGTGTCGGACAAGATATCTTGTCCAAGTGCTACGGAAAAATTAAATAAAAGACTGAACACATTCTATTGCAATGAGTTGAAGCAGAAGTCGGCGTAAAAGTAACCATGCTACGTCATTTGTTCAGCTCCTTTAGGATACAGTGTAGACTCCGTTTCACACTTCACGTGCAATGGTGTGGAAGCTACGCAAGTTTAGGTCTGCAAGATGTGCAAGTCCACATGTCTTGCGCTTGAATTTTTTCACTGTATAAACGTTTCCTCTGCAATTGATGCCTCTGTCACACGGACACCTGTAATGTCATTCGCTATGAATGACTTTAGGCAGTTAATTTCATTTTGTTGCTGCTACACGGCATAGTGACATTCACACCTAATGAGATTCGCCCGCTGAATGTGTTTACTGAACTCATGCGAGTCGCGACATGTGTACTCTTGTCAACGGGTGCTTAACAAAAAAATTACAAAGTCACATCTCAAAGCAAGTGTGAATGAGATTCAGATGTTTATTAAAGGATTTCTGTTAACTTTTCGGCAACGTTTTAATATGCAACGCGATAGTGGAAGAAATGGTGCTGACAACAGTTCTCAGCTACAGACTCGCTGATAGCACGCACATGTTGGACAGGAGTTTAGGGAGAGTGTTTTCAAAACAATTTTTTTTCTTGGGAAGCACCACAGTTCATTGTTAATTGCTGACGAAGTCACAGCCCAAAGAGCAGTCAGCGTAAACAAATCTGCATGTAGGGGCAGCTCCAAATCTTTCGTCGCTTTCATCTTTTTTGTAGCAATCTTGATGCGCTTCAGTCGGTTCTCATGCTTAATTTGCAGCAGCTGGAGAGCAGTTAACATTTGTTATCACTGATAATCATTCATCATGGTCGCAATTTCGTGAATGCGGTCACAGTTTCAAATATTGTTGAACTGCAAGTGGCTTTAAGCTAGTCTTGTTTTGGATATGTACGAGGACTTGTTTTCTGCTGATGTTTTATTGCATCGCAGTACATTCGCAATTTGTAACTTATTGGTATCATGGCAGCCTGCCAATAAACGTTGACATCAACAGCGAATATCATTTCACATAGCCTGTAGACCGAATACAAGATCACAATGACATTCTTTTTAAATGTCACTTGCTGCGAATGACATTATACATGCCGCGTGACAGGGGTATGACTCTAGTAGTTGCATGCTATCAGAACTAATCGCAAATGCCACGATAAGAAAATAGAGGGACGCTAGGCAACCCAGAACAACCTATTTACCACCATACAAGTAACACGGTATGCTTATTTTCAAGACGCAAAGCACTTTCATTCTTTACTTAGTCTAAAGATGAAAAAAATTAATAAATTGCATTATGGGTGGCAAAATCATTAAACTATTTTTTACAGTAAATACATCTACTGCAAGGAGTCCTTCTGGCTTCCATAGCATTGTGCTTGATGTAAGAACTCAGTACAGTTCACCACAGTGATGATAATTTAATAGTGGCCTAGAGAGCACCATCAGAATACATGATGTCACAGTGAAATGGTGTGGAACCTTCAATGAGTCGTTGCTACCAGAGTACCGTCTTTAATTTTTACAGCGAAAGCTTTATGAGATCACAAATGCCGGTTTTGACGCTGTAGTTGGCCGCCACCACCGCCGGCGCCCACAACCGCTACCGCACAAAATATCAAGAATCGGATGGGACTTCAACCTGGGTCCCCGTCGTGGCTGTCGAGTATTCTGCCAAATAGCTATGCCAGTGCTCGAAACTCTATTGCACAAAGGCCCTATAAGGCATTATATAAGTCTAGGAATCACGTAAGCACATGTAATATAGTGTGGCAGAAAAGTAACAATCGGGTATAGCACGACGTGCATTGTGAAAAGAGTGCATGGTTATAAGCTGCTCACGAACTATATAAGATACTTGGTAGGCTTGTGCGAATATTCGAATGCTTCGAATATTCGAACGAATAGTTTAGTACAGTATTCGATTCGAATTTAAACTATCGGATATTTTCGAAGTATTCGCAATGAACAAATAAATGTATATAATCCGCATGTAACCGCCTGTAAAGATTGTTTCACTGCAATGTAGTGGTGCTAAGCCGTGAAAGCACCTATCCAGGAGAAATTCGTTTTGCCGCGAAGCCCCCTTTCAAATTTAAAAAGGCCCTGCAACACTTACTCAGCATGGTCAGAAAACGCTGCCGAGAACACGCGAGGCAATTATCATAGCGCAGTACGCGGCCTGTAATTCGCAATAAATTTTAAAAGCTAAAAATTGCTTTCTTTCCTCGGCAAATGACACTACAAGCTCAAAAATCACTTGTCACAGCCAAGAAGGAATATACGGCTCTGGTCACAGCTGTGGGCTGATTTGAGCGTGGTGCGCTCGTCGTTACCGGGGCCGCCACGGGAGGCCACCACTTGTCCACGAGTGCACGCGCGCACTGAAAAGTTGCCTATTAGAAGAAAAAAAATGTGCTCAAGGTCACGAGATGCGTGTGATGTATTTTCTATCGCCGTGCCATTCCTCCCTGCTTAGTTTCCAGCTATTTTGTCAGGACGAGAAGAGAGAATATAATTGCTGCGTGTGACAAACTTTTGGAACTCCGCTCGTACTGCACTAATTCTAGAAACTTTGCGTCAGTAAATTTGTGAGGCAACAAGCATGTTTGCCGGCTCCATGGCTACTTGAAGAAGTGTTCCAGGCCCCTTTAAAGCAACATGTTACCCTCAAATCAATTCTTCATTTTATTAAGCTTGCTATGACGACTCATATGCTCCAAGTATAACAAATATTAAAACGTTAAGTATCTTACAGGTCATCACTCGAAACTAATACTCAAGGTTGTTTCGACTTTTTTCGAACGAAAAAAAAAATGTATGTGCATACAGACCCTGTTTCGATTAAAAAAAAATATTGTGCAGGTTAGTTAGGTCATGATAAATATTCCCCTTTTTTTATGTCATACATATCATTCAAATTCAATTCGAAATCATTTTATCAAAATCACTATCCACTTCAAATTCGCTTCAAACCTGAAATCCACTATTCGTGCAAGCCTAATACTTTGTCACAATTCATCATCAGCCACGTCAACAAAGTAACCTAATGCGTTATAAACGTGTAGCGGACACCTTGTGACCTTGTTCACAAGAAATAAAAAACAAGGTTTAAACAGGAATAGCACCTAGGTACTCTGTGGGTGTTCTACCACACTGTCATGCTATACAGTGAAACTGTTTTGTAAAAAAAAAACCTATGCAGAATTCATATTGACCGAGGAATTGTGTTGACACTTAATTCGAAGTTGGTAGTTGAACTGCTCAACCATTACAAAGGGTCCAGCCATAATTCATCTTCACCCCACACAGCATCAACATTGCAGGTGTGTACCTGCACACACTGCCTTACATGTGGTGGTTAGTACTTTGCTATTTCATAAAATGGTTAATTATATGGCTTACCGAGTCACTTTCTGCTTCGATTCATCCCAAGTGCATGAATAGGCAAGCCATGGAGATTTTAGAACCTTCTGCCGTGAGGATTGTTTTTATTATTTTGTATTGTATGTGCATTTACTAACAGTCTCTTGCTGCAACTTTTGTAGTTGGCATCCAACTTTCAAGTACATACTTAACGTATTTATATTAACACAGCTCAACTTGATACATTTGAAAACTTGACTATCCACCTGTATGGCTACTAGATTTGCGACATCTTCAACAACAGCACGACTGAAAATTCAAGTCGAAAATATAGAAATACAATGTTTTCTATTATACAATACACTATAATATAATACACTACTCCAGAAAATATTTTTTCTTTATCACTCTTTGTTTACATTATGTTCACACGATGATTGCTAGATTTAGTCCCCGTGGGTATTGCCATGTCGAAGTCGAGCAGTATCCGGGCATTTCGCACGGCAATACAGGCCTGGTTGATGAAGGCCCGCACGCGACGCCAGATGGGCCCCTGCTTTTCTACGGGCAGGCGTCCGGCCTGGTACGCAAGGTCATGTACCACAGGAAACCCCGTGCCCGCGTACGCATTGGCCAGCTGGGGTGAGAAGATTAGGTGCCGAAAGGTGGGCCGCCCCTTCAGGCCGCCTGGCTCAGCAGGGCACGCTCCACCAGAACCATGCGGTCGTTGACCCGCCGCCGGTCATCCTCCCTGTCGAGCACACTCTCTTTTTATGGGGGTGCTCAAGAATTTTTAGTTGTTCTTACAGAGGGGCTGTTAACAGGTAGATTTGGTATACGCTTAATGAGTACCTCACTATAACAAAGTTGCATCTTACAAGAAAAAAAATTTTCTATATCCAAAAATCGTTATAAAGGTTATTTTTAACACTATTGCAAGGCCATTTTTCGTGTATTTCGTTATATTGAGGTTTGAGTGTAGTGTATCTTTAAGTGTAAGGCACAATGATGACAACAGACAAAACAAAGAGCCATGCACACACGTGCAGTGCCGTTTGTACAGTGCTTAGAAAAAGACAACGGTACATATACACCATGCACCGTCACAAATGATCATTGCACTGCCACCTTCCAAGTACAATCAACTACATTTGTGATAATGAAATTGGAGCTACAATTGAATTGAGACTTTTTTTTTTGTCCACTGTCACCACAGCCCCTCAGACTTCAAAAAGTGTTAAACCAACACGCCTCTATTCCATTTTTATAGAACACACTACGCTACACTATATCCGTCACTTAACTTAGGTATCCAAGAGGGCAGCGTATGATGCATGTGCAGTGTTGACAAACACCGATGCAAAAGATTTGCGTGCCCTATTTTAAGACTGTTTTATAGAAAGTTTAAAATAGGCTGCATGAAACGCACGTGTCGTACATAATCCGCTTGGGTGCTCACATTGACAGGCATGGCGTAGAGAACACAAAGAACATCATCTCTGCAAACCATATTCTGAAACTTCCCAATAGCCAAGCTCATATGCGTGTAGCATCGTTCACAGCCCTGCAAAGGAGTATTAGGCAACGGAGTAAAGCATTTTCGCATGTAGCGTAGCAGAGTACACCAAAGGGTTCGAACGGGGAAGTGGGGATGAGGGGGATGCAAAGGAGGACGGAGATATGGTAAACACATAGTTCTTTATAGTATGGAAAGGGTGTGAAAGAGGCAAATGAGGATGAGTATGTGAAAACACAAGAAGGGAGTGGCTAAAGCATTAATAAACCACTTCTGCCATGTATAGACCACTTCAGGAAGAGAAAAAACACAGCCATGCTGGGCTGTGCACAAGAGTACAAAAACTGACATCACAGCCTCGGCAGTGCATTTTGGAGGGCTATGCCTATTTAGCGCCGTTTAGGGTGAATTATGGCGACACCCAGGGTGCCATCTGGGATAAGATCAATAGAACAAGCAAGGGTAGGAAAGATAGGTGTGGATAAGGAGAAGAAAAAGCAGAAGGGAGGCTGGGCTCGCCAGCGATGCTGCATATTTTATGATGATGTTTTTTTTTTTTTGCAAAGTTATAATTCTCTATAACCACAAACAATATGTAGCAAGCAGTTTTCAGCGTAAGTTTGCATTCATCTATTTTGCATAAAAGTTCGATGAAAATGATTGGCATCACTAGCTAGACCAGTTCTCTGGCAATCTTTTCGCATACTTTGGTTTTGTGCTGGACCAAATGGGTGTTGAGCTTGTACAAAATATGCTAAATACATAATTCTGAAGGAAAAAAATGACTAAGTGTAAAAAAAAAAATTCCATTCGGTTCACCCAACCAATACAACTTTTTTTGAGACCCACATCTGTCCAACAAAGAAACAAGCCACCTATTCATTTCTTTTCTTTCTTTGAAGCATGTGGGGTTGGCACTGGGACAAAATAAAATGATCTCCAGCACCCCCCCTCCACCCGTGCACTTTGAACTTGTGTTCCAGGTTTACCCAGTTCAGCTGGAACCAGGGTGCTCACCCTAGCGTTGCGTTTGCCAGCCACTCGTGCCACCTCACGGCTGCCTTTCCATACAGATCCACCTCCTCAAGCAGCCAGTCTGGGACAGAAAAGAGAACAAAAGTTAGCAAGAGTCAAAAGGAACAAAAGACAGCAAGAACAGCAGATTTCACAACCTACTGACACCATTCGTCGTTGCACGGGTATTTTGAAGAATTTTAAACTGGTACCGCAAATAAAAACCGCCACACTAGTACGTCAGACTCTTCACACGTCCCAGCCCACACACGGGACAAAATGTGCTTGATAAAACCTCACTGTGCGTATGCCCATGTCTGCCGCGCAAATGCAGTTTCCTCACTACAGTATTGCGATAGTAAAATAAAAGATGTGAAATCTTCGTGTCAGTACTTTAAGAGCAGGAGCTTTGCCACCACTGTACTCATCACTTCTCTTTCGTCGTGTCACCTAAGAAGCTCGTCTAACGTTTCATGTAGCCTCTTCGAAATTACATTGCTCACCCGAAACAATGCACCATTGAACATAAGTTTATTCCCCATCACATCTTTCATGTCCAGGCCACATGAAAGGATGGCCGACTTCTTAAGTCCCAATCTTCATGTTAAAGCAGGTAGCGCAAATCAACGACACAAGCAAGGAACAAGTACACGAGACTAGCGCTCGTCTCGTGTACTTGTTCCTTGCTTGTGCTATTGTTCATTTGAGCTACCTGCTCTGGCATGAGTTCTTACAAACTAGCCTAGCTATCCATTGTCATAAGTCCCAATGTTGGCAGAACCATAGTAACCAACATAGGGAGCCAATGTTGATGAGCCTAACGCTCTAAGTTCCAACGTTGGCAAGACATAAGAACACCACTCACCCATGGGTGCATCATATGTATCAAGCTGCTTGCGGTACAAGGACAGCTTAGCGACGCTTTTGGAGATCTCTTGAGCGACGTTGCGGAAGTCGTAGGGAAGGATCTCCGCATCGGCCAGCATCAGTGTCAGCATCCCGTTGAAGCGAGTGCACGTCTCCATGAAGTGGTAGGTCGGATCAATCAGAGTCTCGAACAGACGAATCGTCTCGAACGCCGTGTGGTAGGCAGGGTAAGAGCCCAGCTTGAACACATTCTGCGGGAGGGCATTGCATCGTTAGTTAGACAAGCACGAACCTTTCTTAGTATTATTAGTATCATTATTATTATTACTGTTCACTTCAACAAATCATGATGTAACAGTTTCACATAGTTTCAAAACCTGCTTTGTTACTGCATGAAACTACTTTGTACCAATGTACTGAGCAGCAGGACTTGATGACTTGACGTTTTCAAAGGACTCACCTTGTCAGGCCGGAAGGTGAAAATAGCCGAAGGAACTCCGGCAACGAAATTGAAGGCAGAGTTGTCCATCCCTCCGTGGGTCAGGTACACCCTGGACAAAGGCACAGAGCAAGTTCTCAGTGTACATTAGCAACAATTACTGCTTTCAAAAAAAAAAAAAAAAAGAAGAAGCGCAACTCACAAATTTCTAACAACGATAGCGGTCATATCTGGAGTTTACATGTCAACACCACAATATTATTATGAGGCATACCTCAGTAGTGATGGAACTGTGGGCTAAATCTAACTACCTGACGTTGTTGAATGTGCACTTAAAGGGACACTAAAAAAAAAGAATGAATTGTTTTAGATTGATAAACTGCACTCTGAGAACTCTAAATGTCGTAAGTTTTATTGTCATAAGTGCATTATTAGCAGATAGAATCAAGGTTGAAGTTTCATTTTTTTAATTTCGCGCCGTAATTTCCGCACGTGACATGAATTCTCCAATGCACTTTTCGTATTTTTGCGACAATGGCTCGATGAAATTTTCTGAGACTTCGTATGTCAAGTCTGTGGCACCCACAGATTACAATGTACTTCAATTTTATTGATTAGAAGCTAGGTAGGACCTAGTAGAAGTCTTCAAAAATTGATGGTGTCATGGTGTTTGATGCGGAAATCTTATGATGGCATCTTCACCCGCAGTTTCTTTTTGCGCGTTTTCTTGCTTACACCGAGTGTCATGTCGTGGTAAGAGTGGTACTTTCAGGATTGTGCAATTGCACTTCCTTAATGCCTGAAAAAGCGTTTTGCTCTTTAGTGTCCCTTCAAATCTGAGTACACATGTTACATCTCAACCACATCGAAAAGCCGTATGAGTGGGAATCAAATCCCAATCCTTCAGTTCAGAAGCACAACACAGGCTTCTACTAGCAAAGCAAGTACCTCAATTTCAAGTAAAAGCAGCATTAAAGGACATCAGGTATCATACGCAGCTGCAGTATAAGTAAGCTGCAGTAGTGATTAGAAGCTGCATAATTTTGGTCGCACAAGCCAGACACCACTACTTGCTCCCTTGATTGATTGACAAAGATATGGACTGACGGCGATCAATGCCATGATTGATTGATAACTAGCTATCAACTTCAAACATAATTTGCAGATTCAGTGCAGTGAATCATGTTTGAACCCAGACACAAACTGATGGTGATAACAAATTACTGGACCCAACACCGAAATATGGTGAAGCTTCATCACTGGGGAGAAAGACAAAGTACTTTTTCCTTTTCACCCGATACTGTTCTTTCATATATTCCACACATTATCTATTTACACAGTGGTACATAAGTACTCTCAGACGGCGGTACTTATGCGACTTCCACCACAACTGTCAGAAGAACTGCGCCTCGTGCAAGGTGCGTGCCCTCATGTGAATACAGTCTGCTCCAGCCGCGTGCTCACTTGAGTTCAGTCTTTCCCGTGGTGCCCTTGTGCTTGCGCTCGTACTCGTGCTCATAGTTGTACCAGTAGTCGTGCAGAGTCTTGGTGTCGTTGAACGGCACCTGAATGGCGGCAACTCGTTCATGAGCAACGTCAACGCACTGTCAGTCACATTCAGAGGTGCGTCTGCATTTACACGGATTTGTCTGTACCAACCCAGAGATCAAAAAGAGAGAGAGAGAGAGAAAGGATGGAACGAAAACTATGTTTGCCTGACAAAAAATGCTGTCGCTTCCAAAAACCACCAGCTAGCCAGTGCCGGCTGTGTGCAAGCATAATATATAACAGATTACATAACTATTACATGCTTACTTACAAATGAATGTTTTTCATCTTTGGTGCATGCCTTTCCTGGCAAGTTAAAGTCAAAGAGTTCCTGGTAGAATTTTCATTCTAGAAGGGCCTGAAAACTTACTCATGAGAAAGCCTTCAGGTATAGGTGCATTACCCTTGGCACAAGCTAGGTCATTGAAAATTCAGTGCTTTCAGCAAGAATGAAATCAACGTTTCAGTATCTTGCAGTAGAAAGCTGAGTGCAGTCTAGGCTAGGCGGAACTGAGAATATTGGCACGTGCAAGCCACACAAGGTTTTGGTGCAGTTATTACCGTACAAAATGAGAATATGTCTAAAAACAAATATAGTTTATGTTAAAAACACATCAAGCCTGCAAGGAAGGGCCGCCCAAAAATGCCACTAATTAGATACTATCATCAACTTGAGCCTCAACACTTGATGTTTCACCTGATCCACCAATCACCTTATGGACTATTTATCTGTGAGGCATTCAATGTGTCTATGCTCTCACGATATAGCTTAACCACTGAATGAGCAAGTACAATGCAACAGACAGAAGGTGTGGATAGAAGATATAGTTATCTGTTTGTCCGCGTTCCATTGGTTGCCCTGCCAGTTATTTTGCATAGGCCCAGAAATGTCGCCCCATAGGCTAGGCTCAAATGCAGGCATTCTTAGCGAAATAACTGGCTTTTCAATCGTGGGCAAGAATACACACAAGTTTGGTTGTATCCACGAGGAAGTTCTTCAGCACAGGCGAGGCGTAGGCGAAAAACATGATCCCTGCAGAATGCAAAAGAAGCAAGAGTTTACCGAGTGCTTTGCCGCGTGTATGCCACAGAGATAGCCTTACGTTAGAGCTTAACGTGCGTAGTGACGACAATGCACGTGTGGCGCACACCAAAAACAAATCTTCGTTTGATTCACTTTTTTTTGTCGTTAGTAGTTTCAATCAAGAAGAATCATCAATTTTTTGTGCAGTTTTCGTGGCTTTGTTATCTGTAGACTTCACACGATAGTGACTGACAAAAATTGAGCTGATCAGTTTATCTTTTTCCCGAATTTCAGAGATGTAAGCCATAGATATTCACTGACCGGAGACACAGTTGTCTACGTTGACGTAGCCTACGCCTCCGCGGTTGAGACGGAGCAGCTTCTCCTAAAGGACAAAGAAAATGAGAGAATAAAGATTGTGGTGTTCCCCAATCTTAACAAAAGTGATGTGCAGTACCATGTGCAATATAGTAATTTCTGTGAAAAAACAGAAGCCTTGCCATTCTGCATAAAAACGTCTTGCATCTCTAAAAGCACCTGCTATGGGATCACTATGGGTGCAAACATTGTGTGCATAAGCATGGTAGAACCCGTAGTCATGGAGTTAGTAGCTGATCTACACCAATATACAGGTAAACTAACAGATTTATTAACACATTATTGATGATGCTAACCACACAGCAAAACGAGTTCGATTTTAGAACCCAATGCAAAAGTTATCTTAAAGTTTGCTAAAACACACAACTGTTGCTACTTTACTACTACAACTGCACAGCACAGCCCGTCGTGGTTTACTTACTTTAAAACAGGGCTCTCAAACACGCAACTCTCAGACCTTTTGCCAGCGGCCCACACATGACTCTCTCAAACCCTTTTTTTTTTTAATTAGTTACGCTGATATGACTGGTTACAAGCTTGTTTTTTTTTCGTCAGGTACCTTGTAACTGAGGAAACTAAACTGTACATGTCAGAATCAGCATTGGCATTTGAGTGAGTCAGGAGACAGGTACGATATTGTCGAATCCCACCCCCAAATCCCAATGAGAAATTACCTTTATATAAGTATGAGAAAGGTCACCTTTCAAGTGACACTGTTAGCCGACATCAAGCTAGTTCAAGCACGCCCCTACCTCCCGCTTTAACCTCGTTCACGGTCCCACCCTTTGCAAGACTAAATTTCGTGACAGTGGCCTGCTGGTTGAGGCGTGCTCGAGAAGTTTTCCACAAAAATAATCATGAAGTAGGTAATGTGGTTTTCCACCGCCACTGAAGTACACGACCGTCTTGGCCTAATTTTACGATCGAGAAAAAATAGGCTGCATCGCATGAGACAAAAATGTTTTGAATAGAAGCTTATGCCAACTTTTGGAAGACCTGCTTCGTGGCTAAGGTGCTATGCTGCTACAAAGCACAAGGTCATGGGTTTGATGCCTGGCAGCCGCACTACGATGGGGGCGACGCTCAACACCGAATTTAGGTAAACATTGGAGAGGTCCAGATGGTCAAAAGAGAGCCAGCCAGCACATCCTACTACAGCCTGTCTCACAATCATATCACAGTTTGAACATGTAAAACCTAAAAAAGTTTTACAGCAAAGCTGTGTATGGCTATGTGATAGAAATATCTCACAGTAAGTGAGTTCGTGAGAGCACAGAAGTTAACGAAGAGGGAATGCTAGAATTTGCTACCTCTAATGGTCTTCATGCTTGTGCTGCTTTCTCTTTGTATTTTGTCAGCACATACAGCTAGGGACAATACCGATTGCAGCATGAATCAGTAACCATGAAATCCTTTAGATGACCTCATAATCTTTTAAACTAACGTCAGCAAATGCCAAGTTTCAAGCTCTTTTCAATGTGGTGAGAAATCAAAAGCTACAACTGAAAACACTCTGACGGATCTCAGCTCCTGAACACCGAGGCTGCACACCACACCTTCACCGATCAACCATTGTTACAAAGTGCTTAGATTTTTTAAAATTAACTTTAAATTGTGCCTTTGAAAGGAACGAAACGTGGTTGCAAGACGAGCTAATTCATCTGAGGACATTTTGCGTGCAGCAATACCTCCACCCACTCGCCAGATCCCGCTATGGCTGTCTCTTCCGCGGCCCAGATCGCCAGCACCACCGTGCGCCGCGGTCGCCAGCCACGCTTCAAATGGTGGCCCAGCAGTCGACTAAGCTCGAGAATGTTGGCGGTCGACGATGACGGGTCGATGGTGCCATATACCCAGGCATCGTGGTGGGCTCCTGTGATACTGTACCGATCTGCACGAAGGCACTCTGTTTCTGAACGAGTAATTTCGTGAACGAGCTCTCAGATTGTTCAGAAAAGTTGTGAAAAGCAGCCTGATCTCATAACTTCTTTAATGCATTTAGCTGAGCTAGTTTATATTAGCTTATTGAATAATTTTATGCCTTTATGTACTTCTTTTACGCTGTCTCCGTTATGTGTTGCTTTCTAGCCTCCTTTTTTGTGATATGTAATCCACACCACTGTATGCCACTGGTCAGGTCCAGACCTAGTCAATCCTTTTTATGCTTTTTACTGTGTACTAGACATCTGACAGATGTAGAATAAATTTGAATTGAATAATAATATGAAATGCACACTACTAAACATAGCACAACACAGTATAACTGCTATGCTTCCTCACCAGTTTCCCTGTGTCATTCTGTATAGTCTCTATAGCTCACAGTACAATCTAATGCTGTTACTACAATGTAAGCACTAGTGACGATAATTAGTTCTTTATATATTCCCTACTCGTTGTAACAGTAGTATGAAAATTTATTCTATCGAATCAGCAATCTGACTCACACAAGTACACCATATATAAAAGCGCGTGGTCTGGGCAAGCAATATTCTCCACAGTGTCGGCACACAAGAGGGCAATCTCTACTTCAGGGATTCCAGTCGCCGAGAGTTTTTCCAAGTAGTTTCTTTGTCGCCTGGCCAGGACTACAACATATGCACTGCTTATTTCCACCAAAATTCGTGCAACATTTCAATAACATTTTTGACAAGATCTTTTATGTCCCCCATTACATATTGAACAAAAATGTTGCGAATTGTCTAACAATATTTATTCTGCATTTTATGCTGCCGTTATACACTCAAAGCTCACTTCTAGTACATCAACACATTTCCTGATCTTATCACTGCATCTAACTACCCGCCACTCTCGAATGAATTTCCCTTGCCTTGGCACTCGTGCTATTATACTTTGGTTATCTGTCGTATGCACTGTGCAATTTGAAAAGCTTCACTAAAGTCTATGGTCACTTGATTACTAAGTCTAACATCACAAACTCAATAAATTTTGCATACCTTGCTGCTCATTTGTCTGAAGAGTGGCCACAGTGCAAGACATTTTAGGACGACAACATAGGATGACAAACAGAAGATTCTAGGATGGCAAACATATATGGCCCTAACAAATTGAGAATTGCTACGCATAAAAATGTAAACACTGAAAGTCAGGCACTTCTGCATAATACCATGTATTCACTTTCACAAATTATGAAAGCGGGCATGACCTGTTGCATGCACTGAAAAATCCAAGTATGTGAGCAGAGTTCACAATAAATGTAATTAAAAAAATGCAAAATGACTACTCCTCTCCTGTTGGACCCACCCGGTCCGAATTATGGGGGCGTAACTTGTGTGCATAGTAAATTTTAGATCCAAAGCAAGTTTGAAGCGAATAGCAGTTTAGGTCGAATATTTTTTAACCGAATTCGAACAGTACATATCATATATTATAAAAAAAGAAATGAGCATATCTGTCGTTAACTAACTAACCAGCACAATATTTTTTTTAATATACAACAAGGTATGTGCAAATATCATATTTTTTAGGTCAAGAGGAAGTGGAAGCAACTTTTATGAGAAGCAGAATTTGACATTTGATTGATTGATTGATTTGTGGGGCTTAACGTCCCAAAACCACCATTTGATTATGAGAGACGCCGTAGTGGAGGGCTCCGGAAATAGTTCTTTAACGTGCACCTAAATCTGAGTACACGGGCCTACAACATTTCCGCCTCCATCGGAAATGCAGCCGCCGCAGCCGGGAATCGAACCCGCGACCTGCGGGTCAGCAGCCGAGTACCTTAGCCACTAGACCACCGCGACGGGGCAATTCGACATTTGATGGAATTCATGTGATAGCCATATGTGAAGTTTCAAATTTTACTTTGTTTCAAGCATATAGGCCGGTATTTTAAAAACATAAAAAATGGTGTCAATGTATTTGTTCACTTGACTCTAAAGTGCGCTTCACGGTAATGCGGATTTTCCCTGAATGGGTCCATTCACAGTACAGCATTCCTCTACTATGGTGAAAACACCTTTACAAAGGGGGTCATGTGCAGATTAATATACACCTATTCGTTCACTTTGAATACGTTGAAATTTCCAATAAACTAAATTTAAATGAAAGTGAATTTAAATACTGTGTGAGCGTACTTAATTCATAATTATTCGAATATAAGAAGCTCTCAAATATTCGCACGGGCCTACAAATGACAGCAGGCAATTAACTGCTGTTCGCACATTTCATCTAGTCTTCACCTGGCTTGTACCTGGCTACAAACAAAAGGCAAATTAGGAGACTCCACCATTTTAATCAGGCCTTTTAATTTAAACATTTGACAGGCTATACGAAGTGCAAGCGCGACAGCATGCTTACCAGGCTCCAGACGGCCCCTGACGGTGCCAATGATATCGTAGACGACGGGCCTCGCCCACTTGCTGTTCACTGTGAGTCTCAGCTTCCTAGAAGAGTGCGCACAACTTGCAAAAAAGCACTCGACACTGCCAGGCCTCTGTGTTTGTATTCAATACCACCGACAGACACCAATGTCACAACCGCAGGTGTAATATTAAACAGAGAATGCAGTCACAGTCAGTAGTACGCAGCAGTACAGTGGCAGACCAAGGTGTCCGAGTGACACAGTGATGGAAGCGACATGTTGCTTTTTGGAGCAGATTTTGGAGCAGAAAAAATGGTGCTTTGGATTAGGCTCAAGTCAAGTGTCTTCTGAGCAGAAAAAAAAATGCTACATCTTAGGGTTGCTACTAGTGTTCTCAGAGCATATACACGTTCCTAACGACTCCTGAAGTCTAAAACATCACTTAGGCATCTAATAAATACTTATATTTATTATTAAACATGCCGTATGCTATTATACAGCTAGTGTACAAGCAGTACTAGTTGGTGTAAATCATAGGCTGGGGGGAAGGGGTCAAGAGAGTCTGAACTTTCTCGGTTTTCAGACTGTGGCGGATCACCCCTTGCAAGTGTTCCACTTGCAAGGGGTGACACCAGCATGGAGCAACATATCTCTTTTGGAGCAGTTTCGAGCAACTGGAGTAGCACTTCCATCACTGAACTTCCTCTAGAACTTTAGCACGTGATACAATTGAGTTGAACAGTTAAGTATAGCGCAATCAACTTTTTAAAAGACTTTTTATCTTTTACTGCGTACCTGTGGTAAATGCCCCTTAGCTGTGTGAACTATGGAAAATCTAAAAAAGGTGAAAAAAAAAAACTGAATAGAACAATGCAATTGCTGCAGGCTTGGACAACATGCTCGTTTTTTTTAATTTTTTTTGAAAGCATGATTTAATTCCTATATAAATAAAAATACAACCCATATTAAAAATACGAATTTAACACCATGGCCTGATATGTGTCACCCCTTGAGATTTTTCTGGATATACACCACTGCGTAGCATACTAGGATGATAGTGTATACAGCTTGCTTTTGGTTTCCCTTATGCTCACGGGATGGTTCTATGGCTCAACTTCATTCTTTTCAGTTTGCCAATACCGTTCTGGAGCAGTTACTAGCAAATATTGCACTGTGGAGCAGCATGGAGTAGCATTCTTCTTTTGGGGCAGTTTGGAGCAAGTGGAGCAGCCATTCCATCACTGGTGACAGCAAAGGCCTGCCATGGCAGCTTAGCCAGTGAGATGTCCCGTTAAGTTAGAGGACGAAGATTCAATTTTTTAGTTACAATGACCACAATTTAATTTGGTGTAAAATGCATGAGCACGCATGTGCTCAGATTTAAGCGCGTGTTATAGAACCCCGAGATTGTCAAAATAAATCTGGAGTGCTTCATAATCTACAGTTTGCTACCATGTGCCTCATAACAGTGCAGCAGTTTTGACACGCAAAACCCCAGAAATCAACTGAGAGGCACCACAACTGATGTGAACAACAGCCATCCACTAAGAAAAAAAAAACAGGCACGGCCAACTTGAGATATATATTACGATGTACAAAGCAGTCCAGCTTCAGGTTTTCTGATGTTGCACCAAAACCTGCCTCGCAGGCACCTTTCTACCTACAGTTCCTACCTAATTTCTTAGAAAAAGATGCTTACAAACGATCGAAGCACTAAAATTGAGAGAAGCAAATAAAAGTCGCCAAAAACAAAAGACATTAAAACTTCGGCCAAACCTCATATATATCTCAGAATAGTTCTATATGTAATGGAAATTTCAGTAAAGACATACATGCTCTATGTTGTACACTTGCACTACACGAAAATTGGTTATCTTCTATCAATAACATGCTTTGCCACATTACAAAACTACATTACAGTGAAGTTTATGAAACAAATATGCTTGTATAGTGCAAATAGAAACCTTGCTACATGCCATCTTTACCTTGATCCGTGCAGCGTCCATATGCCTCCTCTGACATCCCATCTGATGAAACATTGCCACCGTGTCTGAATGAATAAAACTCACTTATAACAATATCGGTTTTAGCAATTTATCGGTTATAGTGATCAGACCCTGCTCCACTGTCAACTTTTGTATGTTTTCTATGGTAACACAATCTGCTTAGAGCAATGCCTACATGCGGAATTATCGGTAATAACAATAAATATATGGCTGTTGAGGGTCTATGCCAAGAGGTAGCGAAAGGCGAAATCCTTCAGAAGTAGAAAACAAGAAACTTCAGCTACAGCCTACAGAGCCCCCCGTCCCCGTCCCTATCCACAACCCTACCGTCCCTCAATGCCCCTTCAGATTTCCAATATGCTTGACCGGACAGCGCTGTATCATTGCGTTAAAGCCATAGCTTATTTTCCAAATGAACTGCAATGCAAAAGTGGCGGTGGCTTCTGTTAATGCACTTTCAGACATTCAATTTGAGTAAACATTTGGTACTTAGAAGAGTTCAAATACTAAAGTTCAGATTTTGTCGTACATTGGATGCCTAAGGCTTGAGCCAGTCCCGTGAAAGCGTCCGAATTTTCAAGCATGCCCGAAACATTGGCAGTTTTGTCATCCTTATCACTGGTCTTTGTTGACATACCTCTTCTGATATAGTTTTCTTACAACAGCCTGCCGTCTGTCTATCTTGTTTGTTTTTGTACAACGTTCCCATTTATAGCATGAGTGTTTCATACAGAGAACAATTTCATACTAAATGCAGTAAAACCTCGTCAATTCGAAGCCACTGGTGCGGCAAGAAATTTTCAAATTAAGTGGGTTTTCGAATTAACAGAACATACAAAAAGTGTGATGCAAGGAACTTATAACTATTCCATGCAATCAGGGCTTGTCATTTGCTGTGCTGGCTAGCTCGCGGCTCCAAGGGTTATGTTTTCCAGCACTACCTGGTCTTAATTTTGCCGCAAACACGGGGGAACGGTGGGTCTCGCTGCTGCCACAGGAAAAAAAAAAAAACTGCTGTCGTGATGAGTTGAAATGTGCTCCTGCTGAAAACTATACATCTTCACTGCAACACAGTAGTGACACACGGGCAGTATGTCGCCCGCTTCTCACTGCGTGAGCACGTCATGATGCGACCGTACGCACATTCTCTCTGGTACAATAAGGAATTTAATAATGGCCAGTATGATGAAACTCGCGGCGATGTGCTTCGGCTGGAAAAAAATTTTTCTTTGAAACTTTTGAACTTAGTGCTCGAAGCGGGTGTTGCTGGCAAGAACTCCGCCAGCAGTGCATAGGCGCGAATTGCTAGAGCAGTTGGCAATCAGACGTTCGCACACATCGCAAATTCAGCCAAGCTACTCTGTCAATTTCTTTACAATCCCAGAAAGAATGGGTAAACCATGACCCGCTGACGCTGTGAGTAACGTGCAATATGCTGCCCGCGTGTCGCCGGTGCGTTGCAGTGAAGCACGTGCCATTTTCTGCAGGCACGTGTTTCGTATGACCACGAGACAGTTTTTGTTTTTTCCTCTTTTTTTTTGCCCTGGAAGTCACGAAGCTGGAGTGCCTGCTTCAGCTGCCACTCGTTAGCATCGTTATGTTGCATTGCCTTGTGGCTATTAAGGGCCGTCGTTCCCGCGGATTTGGGGTGAGGTCGGGATCTGGCACCCAAAGTTTTGGAATTGACCCATCTGGTGTCGGCCGCCGCTTCAAATTATCCACTCAAGCTTACATAGCAAAATACGGAATCGCACAAATACTCCGAATTAAGCGGGATTTCAAAATAAACGAGTTAGAATTATTGAGGTTTTCGTGTATGTTCAATTTATCTTAACTATAAACAGTTCAGACATATATGCTACCAAACAGGATAGCAAGAACAGTAAGTGGTAAATAAGCTTGTACTGTAGCTGCAGTTGAGCTCTCGTATTTATACACATTCGTGTTTTGCCAGGTGTCCAGGACCACGTGAATTGGCTTTCAAACAATAAGGTTATACACAATGCATATTCATACGCATACATTGCAATTATGATCTCATGTGCCTATTTGCACTGTGAGTGTAGCATTTGAGAAACCGGCCAAGCTGCCTAGAGCAGCTTCTAGCCATGACAGATGTTTAAGTTTTTCAGCTGAGAAAAGCATTTATCAATTGATTGATTAAATTATCGTTTAATAGTCTGATTTATACCCAAAAGGCTCACCTGCCATCTTTGATGGGACCAGCTGGCCGAGCACCTCCACTGAGGTTGACCACTTTGCCCTGCATCTGGCTGCACGGCAAAAATAGAATGACAAATTCGTTCGTCATTCGTTATGCATTCTACGGCTGAGCGATGCTCCCACATTTAAAGGCACATATATATCCTACAAAGTGGACGGAGCAGTGACCGACATCGTCGCTCAACGGTGGGACATCGTACGAGTTGTTCAGAGGTTGCGGGCTCGATCCCTGTCGATGGCAAGCGATGTTGGTGTGTTACAGTTACTACCACACTGAAGTGAGGGAGGAAGAGGAGAACGACATTGGCTGGTGATCAACAGCCAACGTCGTCCTCTCCTTCTTTCTCCCTCACTTCAATATGGTAATGACGGCGACACTGTAACAATATTGTCAATTACTTCTCAATAATATTGTGTCTAACAAAGAAAACGAGCTCTTGAATTCACACTTGTTTTCTTCATAAGATATAAAAAATTTTGGACACTGCACTAAGACAGAGCTTTTATGAAAGTTGAAAGAAAATTTATGACCCAATATTCCCTCTGGGTCTAAGGAGAAGAAGATGCACATCTTACTTCTTGGTTGAAAAATATAAGCACAGCGAGATTAGGATACATGATGCACTTAAACTCTTAAATGTAATAAAAGAATCCTGAGCAAAGAATGAAAAATCATCACTTGATTGAAGGAAAATTTTGACATTGAGCATGATACCTTCATGTGCCTGCAAGTAACAATCTACACATGTGCTTTTTTTAATGTGCAGATCTAAATAAATACAGACTGATAAATTAATCTTTATAACTAACTTGGTTGCCATTAACATTGTCATTATAGATTCTGTATTGTTAGCCAAAAAGAAAAACTGAAAATTGAAGTTTCATTTTTGAATTTTTAACCTAAACCTCAACAGCTTAATGCCAGCGTGCCATGACTTTGGAAGCTGCTTTTTTTTTCATATTTTGGCTATGCTGTGTCAATAAGATTTTCTGATAGCTGCCTGCTCGAAGTCTCTTGCTCCCCTATAATAACACAGCATAGTTTTTACCAATACAAAATCATAGGCCCTGGCAAGCACCATTGAAATCTATGACGTTGCAAGCTGGTGCAGTAATTAACTTCCAAGGTGGCTTCAGTATTTGTATTTTCTTTTTACCTCAAGACTGTTAAAGAGCTCGTTTCACAGGAATTCCGGCATCAGTGTCGGTGAGGGCAGCATTGGTTGTGAGCGAAAAATCATTTTGTCTGTGGCCGAAAAAACAAACATGCAAATAAAATGAAAAATTCCGGCATCAACCTCGGAGAGGGCATCATTGGTTGTGAGCGAAAAATCATCTTGTCTGCAACCAAAAAAAAAAAAAACAAGAAACATGCGAATAAAATGAATAATGGAAATTTCTGGGTCCAATTGAGGGTTGAACCCAGGCCATCATCAACCCTTCCCAGCAAGTCACTTTGGCGGTGTTAAAAACTAGCACGTGATTTTATGTTTGGCGGTGAAAAACAACATCTTTCGGCTGTTGCAATGCACCTTCAGTCCAGTACTCACTCGAGCACTTTCTTAGCGAAGTTGTAGTTGACCGTGAGGGCCGGAATTTTGGGCAGTTCGCTGCTATTAATGTCGCGGTAAACTCCATCTGGAAGCAGATTGCATTGAACAAGACTGTTAGGTAACAAAACACAAATGTAGGCTCGTGTGAATATTTGAGCACTTGGAATATCCGAACAAATATTACTGTATTCAAATTCATCTCAAATTTGAAGTAATGAAAATTTCAAAGTATTCGAAAGAAACGATACTATAATCTGCATGTACCGTTCTTTGTAAAGTTAACTTCACTGCAGTGGAGGAGTGCTACCTGGTGAATACGCCTTGCCAAAGAAAATTTGCAGGTACGCGAAGCCACAGTTGAAGGTTAGATGAATATATCACCCTCACATCAATTCATCATTTCTTGGGCTTAAAATTCATTATGCTGTTGTATCGCTCTAAGTATAGTAAATTCTAAAACAACATATTTTTACAGGCTATCTCGCATTCTACCAAAGGTCAAATCCTCCTATTATTATTATTCAAACTTGCTTCCAAACAGCCAAAAAAAATGACATCTGCACACACCTTTTTTCAATGTAAAAAAAATATGCTGGTAAGTTGGGTCGGAACAAATATGCTCATTTCTCTGCATAATCTGTGATGTTTACCATTTAAATTAATCTTGAAAGTATTTGACTGAATCAATATTTGCTTCGAACTCACATCGAATGCAAAACTTGCTATTCCCACGTGCCTAGACAAATGCATTGAGTGCCAGTGTGGAGGTGTTTGAAGCCATTACGAGAATATCATTGTCATTTTAATGAACAATGCAAGGCCATTGCTACTGCCCTGCCGTGGTGGTCTAGTGGCTGAGGTACTCGGCTGCTGACCCGCCAGTCGCGGGATCGAATTCCGGCTGCGGCGGCTGCATTTCCGATGAAGGTGGAAATGTTGTAGGCACGTGTGTTTAGATTTGGGTGCACGTTAAAAAATCCAAGGTGGTCGAAATTTCCGAGCCCTCCACTACGGCGTCTCTCATCAGCCGAGATCCAAGCAACCAAAGAGACGTGGTCCAGCACGTGCTTAGCATCCTGGAACACCAGTGGCCGAAAGCGGCGCCCCCACGGGTTTGACGCGAGTAGGTTGCTGCTCCGGGACGTCCGAGCACGCTAGTGTCTCGCTTTAATCCCCCTACCCCTTCCCCCTTTATGCCGGATCATCAATAAAGCTGTTTCACTCACTCACTCATAATCACGTGACTAGAGGGGGAATGAATAAAGAAATAAGATAAAATAAAAATGATGATGGTGCTCAGGATGATGACGACTTGAAATCATCACTTTCAGTACAAAATCATCATCATCATTATCATTATCATGCGCTTGACTACGTCCACTGCAGGACAAATGCCTCTCCCATGTTCCACCAGTCAGCTCGGTCCTGCGCTTGCTGCTGCCAATTTATACAAGCAAACTTCTTAATCTCATCTGCCCACCTAACCTTCTGTCTCCCTCTAACCAGCTTGCCTCCTGTGGGAACCCGTTTAGTTACCCTTAATGACCAGCGGTTATCCTGTCTACGCGCTACATGCCCATCCCATGTGCATTTCCTCTTCTTTAGTAACCTGCTCTCGACACCTGCACAGTAACCTGCGCCGATGACATTGCATTGCTGAGTAACTCAGGGGACAAATTGATACTCATGATTGCGGAGTTAGACAAGGAGAGCAGAAACGTAGGTCTTGAAATTATACTGCAGAAAATGAAAGTAATGTACAACAACCTCGGAAGAGAGCAGCGCTTCGAGATAGGTAATAGTGCCCTTGAAGCTGTAGAAGACTATGTCTTTTTTGGACAGGTAATAGCTGCGGAGCCGAACCACGAAATTGAAGTAACTAGAAGAATAAAAATTGGGTGGAGCACATTTGGCAAGCACTCACAAATCATAACAGGTAGATTGCCACTATCCCTCAAAAGGAAGGTATTTAACATCTGCATCTTGCCGGTACTTAGCTACGGAGCAGAAACCTGGAGACTTACAAAGAGGGTTCAGCTTAAATTGAGGACGACGCAGCGAGCAATGGAAAGGAAAATGGTAGGTGTAACCTTGAGAGACAAAAAAATAGCAGAGTGAATTAGGGAACAAACCGGGATTAAGGATATCATATTTGAAATCAGTACAAAATACCAGATTGCAATTTGTGTGTTCAGTGACAATATTAATTGCAATAAACCACTTGTGTGTTTACAAATTTACTGTCCGGCAGTTTTCACGGCATGGAACTGGCTGAACTTCAGTTTTTTGTTTCCTTTGTTTTCATTTATGTCTCCAACATGGCAGCCTATCATGACAGAGTGAACTTCACTGATCATGAATTAAGCAAACACAGTCATCATCGTAGTCAAAGCGAGAAATCTGGAAAGGCGAGCAGCAAAATAAGATACATATGGCAAGGGAACTGGGAGAACTAGATGCCAAAGAAGGAGTTGTGCCACTGTTTTTAGTTAATTCAGGAGTCTTGTGTCAGAATGTACTGCAGAGCCACCGGTGCACCACTAGAACCCCCAGGACTCTGCCATAGGACTTGCACCAGAGTGACGATCCAAATGCAGAGCCGCTAGAAGCCAAGATTCCACAGACCGTGTAAGAGACTGCTGGCGAAGAAATCATCTTGCATGTAAATGAGTACTGACACAAAGCTGATGAAATCCTTGCAGCATCTGTTGTACACTGTTTATTGCACACCATGCCCATAAACAACCTTGATGACTATAAATATCTCTGCCTCATGCAGGATGCAAAGTTCACAAACAAGGTCAACCGTGTTAAGCTGTCATGGTAATGTTTTTTACGTAATGGCTGGCTCTAAGATCAAACAAATATTTAATACATGTTTCCTAGCTCCAGTCTGTCAAAATAATTAACACTGTGCACCAAAAAAAAATTTACCTTTTGCAATGCAGCCAAATTTCATCAGTACTCCTCTAAACCTTTTTTTTTAGCTGTGCAAGATGGAGACTTGCACTTCCTTACCAACTGACGGGTAGCCCGGAGTCTCAACATCGGCAAATGTGTACAAAGCCCCACGTTGCAGTGCCGAGCCATCTACAAGAGTCGACTTTGGGTAGAACTCCTTCGCGTTTGGCAAGCTGGGCTCCAGAAAGATGATGGTTCCGACACCGCCACGTTCTTGGCACACAGTGACCTGCAGTGGTGAATGTGGCGTTGATCGGCGTTTTTCGACTGTACGAGTCGCAACACTACAAGCTGTCTCCGCATATCAAAATCTAAATGCGGCATTGGTAAGAATCACAATGGTCTGTTGGCTGTGACATCACCTGTCGGCAGAAAAACAAACTAATGATCAGCATTTTTTTATGCTGTGCCTTGAGCAGGATCATGTGCTTGACAAAGGGAGCAGTGTGCTTACGTCTGCTGAGCACTTTTTCAGGAGGTACCTATTGCAGTCACAAAACTATTCAATCTTTCTGAAATCTGCAAGTGAACCCACATATACCAAACCTACACACATAATTATTGTGTATATCGAACAGTTCTAAAATCTCCTTAATATATATTGATAAATGAAAATATACATTACATAAATGCAATATTAAATAAACTATACAAATTCTCAAATATAAAATTGTTTATATATAACAAATTAGCGACATATAGAGATTTTCTGTGATCCCCTTCTGGTTCGAAACATTTGAGTTTGGCTCTACTTTTCGGGATTCTCGGAGTGGTAACTCTCACGATAACATGTCATCTAGTCCTCATAAATTTGCTATCAAGCTGACGTAACTGAGAAAGTGCTCAGATCTACTTTCCCATATGCATGTTCACTTTAACTATTGAAGTTCGACAAGCAAACCAAGATCTAAGCATCATTGCATAGAAAGAATACATTACACTTTCATTAAATGGAAACTGATGGGAACAGGAAAGTATGCTCCATTTAACAGGGGCTCCATTTACTGAGAGATGAACAAGAGTACAGAATAAAAGCACGAAACCAATAATATCAGAGCCACATACCTGAGCCACTTATTTTATTTAAAGATACAAATACAATAAAGTGAAACAACAAATCTCGTATATAGATTGATAGATTGTACTCTGAGAACTCTAATGTGGGTATTTTAATAATAAGTCTACAAATAGGGGAGAAAAATGAGGTCTAGGTATCTTCAAAGTTTTGCGCCAAAATGTCCACACCTGACGTCACAGATGTCAAAGAGTATTTTTCATATTTTGCGGACATTTGCTAAACGAAACTTACTTAAAAACCTATGCCATGCTCTACAGCATGCTCAGAAGACAATGGACTACTTAATATTTATCGATTAAAAGCTACATAGGCCCTAACAGATGATATTAAAATCTGTGACGTTGTGGGGTTTGGTGCAAAAATTTCGATGTAGCATCGCCAGCCGCACTTTGTTTTTGAGCATTTTCTTGCTAGCCAAGCTTGTTCCCAAAGCAAGCGTGATGATATTGGTATTCTGAATATGTAACTGACTAATATTAGAAAAATGATTTTTCTCTTTAGGGTTCTTTTAAGCAGCAGTTCTGGTTCGGAAATTTCCATTACTGAAAGCCTGCTGTAAATTAAAGACTCTCAGAAAAAAAAGTCTCTAATTCGAGTTGTTGCTTTGAAAGCCAGGCCACTGTTTGAAAGAACTAGTCCATTTTAAGTTACCCTAAATAAAAACATACAGCATTTAGCTATTACATGCTTTAGTTGAAGCTGTTCCACAAAATATGCCAAATAACGTACCTTTCCGCCACGGTGCCCACCGCCATATCGCGCCAGGCAGATGCGTCCTTTAACGAATATTCCGTTGGCTTCCAGCATGTCCACATCTCCATGCGTTCCAGAACCAATGTACACCACATCCGCCTGTGGAAAGCAGTTGAACACCATCATTCATCAAGATGTGTCAACTGTCAGCATCCAGCGAACATTTTAGGCGATGCCCAAATTTTATGAATTAATTTTGGTGTAATTAAAGAAAAAGAAAGAAAGAAAAAAGAAGACCCAATAGGCAAGCATAAACAATGTTCGATGCACGTGAGCAACTCAGGCATTCCAACATCTTGTGTGTACAAAACGTCTACACATCACCACATAAACCCGCCATGTTTTTTGCATGTGCATTACATTACCCAAACAAAAAGTTATTTAGACAGAGCTGGGGATGTACAAGTTGCAAAGTAATGTGAATTCTAGTTGCTACCTCGTGCCTTGGAGCTGTGTTGGGTCTCCCGTGATTACCTAGGAGCACAAGCGAAAAACACATGGTCTACCCCTAGCAGTAGAGACTGCCATGACTTTTTACTTTGCTCAGGTTGACTTGTGCCATATTGGTGCAAGAACATATTGATGCCATATTATTTTACAATATGGCATAGGTGCCATATTGTTCTTGAAAAATTAGGTCACGCCTCCATAAACTTTTGCACTCAATGCAGTCGTACTTGTGAATCATTTCAACAAGCATTGCTTTATGTTCTTGAGAAATACACACAGTTCATAAAATCTGAAGGGACCATGAAAATATGTTCTGTAGTTCTAGTTACAAAAAAAAAAACAGGGCTAGTGAATTCAAGTATAAAACCAATCATGTTACAAGCAGTTGTTCAATTGAGGAAGCAATTTTATCTAAGAGCTTTTCCTTTGCCGGTCATCCACTGCATTTTGTGCTAGTCGGTGGCTGCAGTAATATGCTGCACATAGTAAATACATGTGAATGCTATGCAGCAGATACTTGCTATTCAACTCTAATGGGAGGTGATGTCTTCAAGCGCTGGAGTTTCTCATTGTACTCATCTTTAATCTGCCGTTTTTAACCTTACCGTCACATACAGCAAAGGTAACGACACTGCATTCCTGTCGATACAAATCGCGCAGTAGTTTTGGATGCGATTTCAACATTGGCCATTAGAGGCTCGTGCGAGCACTGATCTCAACTGTACCTGGACATGCATATGAGAGGTACCCAGGCACCACTCACCTCAACTGTACCCGGTCGTGCATATGAGAGGTACCCAGGCACCAAACCGTCCACATTGTCTCCTGGCACAGGGTCTTCGATCAATTTCGCCTCTTCAAGCACTTTTCCATTGGCGTCCACCAACTGCACCTGCGATGAGTTAGCTGACTCAATTGAAATCCGAGAAATGGCCGGAAGGAGAAGATGGAAGCCCTGAGAACAAAAGTCCGCTTGTTGAAACGTCAGCTTCACAAACAACCCCTGTTTACGAATTATTTCATTAATCAACAAGTCATTTAACCATGACATTAATACATTGGTCTACTCAAACGTACTCTGAAACTTTGTCACCGTAGCAATGCGTGATGTTCCATTAGGAATCCATAAGGAGGGAATGAGCCGATCCTTTCAGAGGTAGTACAGAGTCAGACAAGGTGCCGAAAGCTTGCAATGCCTGCTATCGTGGAGGCCTTGTAAGACCAAGCTAAGTGCAGGACGCATTCGGTGGGGAGGTGGGATTAGTATATTTGCTCAGAAGCAAAACAAGATGGCTTCTTCCTTCGAGTTGTCTACGGCGAACGCATAAGGGACCCTACGAGTTTCAACAGCGGAGCTATTGAAGCTCAAAGTCTTAGTCGCGAACTCTTTGTCCTCTTTTGCATAGCTCCCTGAACGCCTGTTTCAATTTGTACAGCATAGAACGAATACAGAGAGGAAAGAAGAGAGAATGAAATAGCGAGAGAAAGAGAAAAAAGACCGAAAGAACTAGAAAAGGATGTTAACAGAGAGTGAGACAAAGAGAAAGAAACATCAAGAAAAAGAGAGAAATAGAAACAGAAAGAGATAGAAGTACACAGACAAAAAAAAATTCCGCCATATCCACGAAGTGAATGATGATGAGTGGGCGAAGCTCCGGAGGTAAACCTGGTAAACCATGAATCCTCTGTACATTTTGCCCCCTCGATTTTATTACATCGCTCCCCCTAGCGTACGTCGCCGCACTAAATCGAACGATTGCCTTCAACCAATGACACGCGCCATGTGTGACATCATTCCTATTTTATAAGATCTCGCGTCTTTCATCAACTACAAGTACCGCTTTCTAGTTTATAACATCTTGCATCTTTTCATCATCAGCTACAAGTACCACGATCTAGTAAACACTACAAGAACTAAACGAGAGGTGGCTACATACAGGAGACGGTACCGCCATCAAGTGAACACTGCAAGAACTAAACTAGAGGTGGCTACATACAGGCTACAGGGGACGCACAGCCCACGCCCTAAGGAGCTTCGCCCCTAAAAGAGAATAAGCAGAGAGGAAGAGACTAAAAAGGGATAGAAAAAAAACACGAAAGAAAGAAAAAAATAAGGAGAAATAAGAAAGGCGGCCCAGCGCCGCTGTATCTTCAAGCTTGGCACTGCTAGTTTAATTTTTTTTTTTTTTTGCAAACAACTATGATCAACCTCCAAAAACACGTGAAGATATCTGAACGAACAGATCAGCCCCACCTTGTTCGGGTTGTTCGGGTCCGGGTACTGGTGCAGGACCCGATAGGGCACTTTTTCAACCGTGTCCAGTCCATTCTTGCGAAACTCGTCCGCAATGAAATCAACGATGGTTTCCTCGCTGTACTTTGTACCGGACAGGTGCGGCTTTTCCGATAGAAATCTATAAATGTTGAAACTCGGAGTGAGCCACGTCCTCATGTCTTCCAGAAACGTCTCTGCATTATCTTTAAATGGATGCCTCCCAAACAGGTACTAACTGCTACGAGCAAGTAGTATGGTGTTGGCCAAGCGATACGCAGAAGTAAGTATGTGAATACACTCAAACCTCGATGTAATGAACCTTGATATAATGAAATATCATTTATAATGAAGTAATTAAATGAAAAATATTCTTTCAGTACAGTGTTAGTATATATTTACAACAAATTTTCGGATATAATGATCTTAATTTCGTGTAAGATGCAACATTGTTATAATGAGGTCTGAGTGTAGTGCGTCAGTTGTCAATTTTTGTACGACATTATGGTAGGGCATTGGACTGAATGGTACAATAGTTAGTTAAAGACATCATTCAGCCACAAAGTAAAAACACACACAAAGGGATGAACACAGGACAAGTGGCTGTTCCTCGCCTTGCATGTGTTTTTACTTTACTACTACATTTCGTCCGTAAGAAAATATCAATAGGCTGGCCAGAAATCATTCTTGCTAAAATATGTAGCAGCATGAATGATTATCACGGCTTAAAATGCTGAAATTTAAGCCCGCACCATATTAAGTTTTTTTTATATAAACTCCGCCTTTTTTTTCCGGCCATCAACATAGCATCGGCTACTTCCTCATCTCTTCAAGGATCATGAGCAAAAAGCTGAGCAGGGAGCTGCATCCACCTGCCAACTGAGCAAAATGGAGGTGGGACAGGGACAAAGCAAGCAGACTCAGAGGCGGTTGTCCACTTATTGACCAACAGAAACGGCAAAGCAACACCTAATTAAAAGCTAGTTTTATTGTCAATTACAGCTTGTCATATGCTCAGGCAAGATATCACAACGCTTACATGGCCACTCCGCTTCATGTCTGCATCGACAACACGCAAGTGGCCATTTTGTACTTCTAGGTAAATGGCATTCCAATCGGTACTCTAGTCCAACGACATGTTAGTGTCGATGCCAGTAGGTGTGTCAAGTGAGAATTAGCTTTAAAATCAAAATAAAGAAAGTCACAGCTTTGCTGCAAAGGTGAAGCAATGAATGTGATAGCAACAAATTTGAATGTCACGCGAAGAATTACAAGCAGATCGGAACGTGCCCCACTTTTCCCATGCACAAATGACGCACGAAACATACTCACAGGTACAAATGAATGTGAATAAGTGCCTCAGTTGTTACTTCACCGCATATTAAAAGTGCCCCCTTTTCACAAGCGGAGACTGTGCAGCGGTGGTCTAGCGGCTAAGGTACTCGGCTGCTGACCCGCAGGACGCGGGATCGAATCCCGGCTGCAGCGGCTGCATTTCCGATGAAGGCAGAAATGTTGTAGGCCTGTGTGCTCAAATTTGGGTGCACGTTAAAAAACCCCAGGTGGTCGAAATTTCCAGATTCCTCCACTACAGCGTCTCACATAATCATATGGTGGTTTTGGGACGTTAAACCTCACATATCAATCAATCAATCAATCAACTGTGCAGTGAGTGCAGTGCATTGGCCTTTGTGTGCCTAGTATCAACAGAATCGTTCCAGTGAAAGTCCAAGGCGTACGATTCTCCGCACCACGAGATAAGCACACGTACGTGCGAACGGCTGCATGTAAGAAATCAACGCATAAGCGCGCGTCGCAGCGTCGAGACGATCTGGCGACACGCGCTCATTGCGCCATCTCGTTGCTAATGCTGAAAACGAGATAGTTCTCCCGAGATCGGTATTGCCAGCGGTAAGTTGTAGATATAAATAGCTTGACGTTTCAACATTGAAGCAGGTGCTCCTTTGTGGCTCGAGTGAAAAAAAGAAAAAGCTCCTTCGTGGCTCAGTGGCTAAAGCCGCGCACTCACCAGCAAGAGGTCGAATGTTGCACTCCCGCGGCCGAAGTCTTTTCCTGTAATTTTTTTCTTTTTTGCGTTTATATATATATAGATACGTATACATATACGGTGGATGTTGGTGGTCGCCGATGCCGGTGGCAAAATCCAGCCGAGGGTGTTCATATAATTGCTGTCGCAATAAAACTTCATCGGCATTTATCGAGCATCACACTTGCTAAGAGAAGTCTCCCTATAAATGAGATCTGCATGTGAGACTATAAGCTCAGCTTCGAAAATTGGTGCCAGTACTCCTTTGAAAGACCACCGCTTCCAGTAGGAGCAGCAAACAGTTGACTCACAAGAGGGTAGCATATGGAGGGTAGTGTGAATTACCTGTCCTATATAAAGGATTTTTTTCCTGCATCTCACAGGAGATAAAAAAATCTTCAAAGGTGTCCAGCATTTCACACCTTATTCTTATTGTTCTGCAGTACCTTTTGTTTTGCTACACCCTGTTTAAGTATGTGCTTGCGGCAAGCACTTCAAACTTACATAACTTCAAGAGATATGACTTCGAGAAAGTAAAACAAGCAGTGTCGCGTACTTCCTAGGCTCTGAATCAGTAACACATGGAAACTAAGCCACAGCTGTTTTGCGAGTGACATCTCTTGGAGCTGCGAAACTGTTGCGTTGATAGACCAACTCACAGTAACATATAAATCTTAAACATGTATATACTTTACCCCCCCCCCCCCCCGCTTCACTGAACCACTTCGACAAGTCTGACAGAAAATTTGAATTGCTGCACAAACATGAAAAAAACAAGGGAGACAGGAAAGAGCGCAGTATTTGAAATGTCTGCGCTTTGTTTTTTTCTTCAAGTTTGTGCAGCAATTCAATTTTTCAAGTATGAATCAACTAGTCTGCAAAAAAGTATTGCTTCAAGTCTGACAGACCTGAGCGTTCGACGTAAGTAGCTTCTGCTGACGTTGGCAAGGATGCGTGCGAGTTCGGTACCCTTGTCCGCGGGCTTTGTGTGGGCGGTGGGCGGTGCAAGAGACTTGCTGGTGGTGGTGGGGCCACCAGAGCTCGTGACCGTTGTCTGCTGCCACACCGAGGTGCCAGGGATGACCAAACCCATCAAGACAACGACCGTCACTACGCCTACCACTCCGACGGCTGCTACTATTGGCCACAAGCCAACACGCCTGGGGAAAAGCGTATATGACCAATATGTACACAAGAAAGCCTCACAATGAGTGCTGGTTTGTAGGTGATACTTTTACACGATAAGAGATACATCTCAAAAGTAGGCTTAGCAGAATAAAACAAAAAGTCAGCACATCTCTCAAAAGGGTCAACATTCTTTCAGAAGCAACGATATGATTTAGTACTTTGGGTTGGTTGGGAAGAATAGATTATATACTAGAAATTTTCAAGTCAGCACCATTGATTATGAAGATGATGAACAGATAGTTTGAGAAAGTAGGCAAGACTGAACCGCTTTAAAAGGGGGAAACAAGGAGACGGCAAAGAATCATTCTTTCAACCTAAAGCTCGGACACAAAGCAATAAGGATTTTCTGAAGCAATAGCAATACCATAATAGTTCAGAACAAGAACAAACCTGTGAAGACGTAGAATCCATAAGCCAAGGTGGCAAGGTGCTACTTGTAATGAAGGTCATAAACATGACTCAAGGGTAATAATATACTGGGTGAAATCGCTAAGAAAGGAAGCTCGTCTCGTTTACGCTTGTAATGATGAAAACAAACATGCAGTCTTACTGTTTTGGCTTTGACTTGGGAGTGGAAGTCACTCGTTCTGATGATGCAGCGGATGCAGGGGTGATGTGACTCGATGCAGCTGTGATGCGATTCATTGTCGGGGTGCAGCTGCACGCATGACGTCCAAAAATGTGCTTACAAACAGTGAGAATTTTTTTTAAAGTACGAGCAATGAGCATTTATAAATTCTGTCACTTTCTCGCACCTTTTAGTCGCAGTGCCAACCGAAGGCAGGCACAGCCAACATCCAAACTTCCAAATTCAATATGAATGGTACAGTGGTGCAGAGCCAACCCTTCCCCTACCTTGCTCAAATTAAAAAAAAACCACTCTGACCACAGCCCTGGCACAGTATACCAAGCCCACAGGCTAGCCTGTAATTTCATCAAACACTCAGACAAAATAAAATTCCCAATAAGTACCCTTGTAGAAAAAGATGTCTCAAGAAAATTTGTGAAGAATGGCAGAAGGTGATGAATTGTAAAAAGATACAAAGGCCAAGTGGTCTTACATCTCGGAGCTCAATCTGTACTATGTCTTCACTAATAGCGCATGTATAAAATGTGAATAAGTGAAACTGCAAGGAATTAGCATTAAATAGCACGAGCATTGACAAGGGGGTGCAAAAGGGCACTTGCCCCCCCCCCCCCCCATCAAGCTTACGAACACTTGTTCCCTATCCGAGCCGCACAAGCATCACCTGTCCCGCCGCATTAGCAACATATATGGTTTTGCACCCCCTGGAAAAAAAATCCTGCCGATGGTCATGTTTAGTATAGTGAGTGAAGTTAGGTCTCAAAATGATTGATTAGCAGCTTGATTAGTATGTATACTCCGGTTTTGCATATCTGAGTAACTGAAGCTGCTGGATGCCCCCCCCCCCACCCCCTGCTCCTCCAGAGCCGTAACTAGGAGGGAGTTGAGAGGTCTCGCCCCCACCCCCTGATTTTTTCGTGCTTTTAACTTTTTGGGTGATACTAAAGTATTTAATGCATTCAAATTGATAACCGGCTGCCAAAGTTAGCCGTTCTGGTTACGACTCTACCACCCCTCTCTACGCTGTGGCGTAGCCAGGAATACTTTCTGGGATATGAGGGGGGCGGGGGAGGGGGTTCAACCACATTTTGCATTTTACGCAAGCAATTTTTTTTCAACTGGGGGACAGGAAATCTGAACATAACCACCACTTTCCGGCTTGCCCATGGTTGTAACCATCCAGACTATATAGTGAATGGGGGTTTAAACACCTCAATGTTTCTTTAAATTCTGACATATGTACAGGCACGAACATACATAAGCTATGGATACCCCCCTCCCCCCGCGATAAGTTTCTGGGTATATGGCCCCTGCGGCTATAAGTACATTACCTGGGCCACTCTCGATTGACAAGCACTCACCAAACTTGTTTTTGGCACCGAGAAATACCAAGAGCTGATCGGCCAGTCCCAAAAGAAACGGCAAATCGGCGAACCTTATTGCCCGTAGAATCGATCGAACCGTAGCACGTGTGAGATTTCCTCTTTTTTACGCTTGCACGTGGCACATGCGCACGTCACGATCAAGAACACGCCCCAGCGTCCAGTCATGACGACGAGGAAGTTGACCGTACTAAGAAGATGTTGAATTGTGTATATGTATATATCATTTTAGACCCACCATTACCTCTGTCTGAAATCGCATCTGATGGCCTGCATCGCTCTCTGCTCAGATATACTCCTTTTTCGATTTTCGGGTTTTCTTTCTATATTTTTTTTTCAGCCCAAAATTACGTTTTGTTTGAAAAACCATCAGCCTTTTAGTTACCGCCCGGTTCTTGGCCGATCCCCCTTTGTGGGTGTGCGCCAGAGTATCAAGGATCATCATCATCATCATCATCAAGACGGATATAAACCAAGTAGAGGGTGGCCTACTCGAGCGCTCAAGTAGGAGGAAGACAGAGGAACGTGATCTAGCAATTGGCAACGATGGCATATCGGTTCGAAGTCCAGCTATAGGTTGCCGCGTTGCCGAGCAATACTGAGTTAGCATTCTCGGGCTGAGAAAGACAACACGGGGCAAACTCAAGCTGTTTAGCACGAAGAGGACGAACGGCACGTTTTTTTCAGCTGTTTCACATGCACCGCTTTCGCGCGACAATGATGATGATGCCCGTGGTCCTTACACAAAAAGGCAAAAGTGGTTAGCTTCGCAAAAACGCGGTAAAAAAAAGGAGGGGAGGGGGGCGCTTAAGCTTCGCCTTGAAGACCTGAACGCGACACTGACGCCTCATATCCTCATCACCCTCTGTAAATTTTGCTTGTCCAATGTTCAACATCCCAGCGAGCCAACGCGCACACACATATGCAGACGGCATGATGGAGGTAAACCTTGTCGCACTGCACGTTATATGGCAACAAGAGAATGCGCGGACCAATGTGTTAATTTGCCCCTTGTAATGGACGGCTTTCAATAAACCAGCAGAAATACGCGCTCGATACTTTTTTTTTTTCGAAGTTGCGATGCACCCACCACGTGTTCGTCCGCTGGGAAACACGCGCAGTAACGGATGCCTTGAGTAACGGGAGGCCTGTTTCACATCGCCAACTATTGGGGTACGTCCGATTTCACGTAACGTCACAGGCAGCTTCTGGGCGCTGATGGGCCGTACGATGGCGGCAACCACGACTTTTTATATCGTTAGAACAGCAGTAGAGTGTGCTAGAACTTTACTAGAAAACTCTACTAGAAAAGCTTCTAGTACACTCTAGCAGCAGCTAGTGCGGAGGGGGAATTTCGGAGGGGAAGGGGGGGGGGGGGGGGAGATGCCTCAACCACACTATGTATGTTAGCAGTGGCGGATCCAAAACGGGGGGGGGGGAGAGTAGGGACGATCACCCCTCCCGCCCCCAAAGCCTGTCAGTACCCTCTACCCCTCACTTCAGTACTTGCCGTCCACCTGCTATCACCAATAAGGACAAATGAGTGGGATACCTTTGAGCACACATTAATAGTATTTATGCTATATCTAAGATATAGTTTTTGTGCTAGTAAAAAAACTAAACAAAAGTAACGGCCATGCCCCTCTCTCCGGTGTTACTTTAAGCGACCGCCCCCACTAAAATGAGCGGCTGGATCCACCCCTGCAGTTATGTTAGTGCGTGTGCTTGAATGTGTGCATGTATCAAAATTGAAAACTGCGCTGTGTCGAAATTCCGCGAGCTGACGATCTGCAGCTGATGCGTACGTGTGGTCAGGCCATGGGAGTGGTGTTTTGAAGACAGTGAAACTGCGCTTTACTGTTACTCGAAAGATCGTTTTGTTCTTCGGTGCCCCTTTATAGATATGTGCGGGCTCTAACGAAATTACAAAACTTCAACGCAGACCATCAATTTACTCGCTGTATAGAGAGCCTCAGGCATATGACAACGCTACGTTTTATTTTTCACGCAATCTAAGGAAATGTAGACCGTGATCCCACGACGCGTCATGGCGCACGTCTCTCGAGCAAATCCATTCAGCAGTTTGCCAGTTTTAGGGGCGAAGCTCCTTATGGCGTGGATTGTGCGTCCCTCGTAGTACGTAACCACCAGTGGCACATACCCGAAATAGCGGTCCTTACAATGTCTGCTGGAGGGGGGCACTTGTATATGATGAATACATGATGAAAAGATGTGTGATGGCTGTGCTTGGAGTTTTCACTGGATACATGGACGGACGTACAGACTGACACACGCACGGGCGGACAGACAGAGGGGCACACGGACGGATGGACAAACAGAGGGATGGCCGCAAAAAGAGATGGACGGACAGACAGACGAATGAACAAACGGACGGATGCACCAAGGATCACACAGATAGGCGGACGCAAGAACAAATGGACAGACAGACTGACGAACGCTGTGCCCCACCAATCATCATTCACTCCGTGGATATGCTGTGATTTGTTTGTGTGTTTGGTCGAGCCAACTTATTATAACACCGTGGTCGAGCCACGTCAACCCAACAATCACGATTAACTCGTTAAGAAAATTGGCAAGTTAGGGTTTCCCCACACAAAGCACTACTGCAAAAAAAAAAGAAAAAAAAATCATTTAGCGCTCGTTCAAGGGTGCCGTAACTTGCTTAATGGTGTAACTAATTTTCTTGTTGAAAGGGTTCTGTTGCGGTGCAGTTGACCAGTTAAGGAGGGGGGGGGGAATGGGTCAAGCTGGAGCAACTCCCTCTCCACCGACTTTAGGTCCTTGCAAAGCCTCCTAAAAAATATGTTTGAAACGTGAGCCGCGAACGCGCTGCCCAACCCTCTGATTTTATCATCCTCCTTCGGTACGAAGGCGAGCGTCTTTAACGGCCACCCCCTGCGAACTCAGCAATGCTCTCACAGTTGCCTCCGAGCAGCCGTCATGTCACGTGCCAGAGCGGTATGTCATAAAGTTTCATACAATAATTGTACGAAACTCTATGCGTACGGTAATGTCACGTGACTGAGGATGGGTGGATGGATGGATGGATGGATGAATGGATAGATGGATGAATGTGGCTGTACCCTTTAGATCGGTCGGCGGCTAACGCCACCTATCCGTATTACTTAGTGAACTAACCATTAGATTTATCTTTTTTTTTCTTTAAATAGTGAGGTTGAGGGTTCGTACTTTGCAGTGAAGGGTTTAATTTTCACTCGTGCCTTGACTTTAGCCACCAATCAGATAACCTTCTTCTAGTTAAATCTACCCGCTTAAAGTCTATTTTTCCCTCCCTGTCCCTAAACCCTAGTGCTTTGAAAAACTCTGCGCCACCGATAGATATAGCGCGAGACCAAAACGACGACACAGAGACAAGAAGGTCGTCGTGTCGGTCTCGCGCTATATCTATCGTCATGCCATACCAACTAGCTCAAGCTGCCACACTTCTGCGCCATCATCCTGAACTATAGGGTGAAGCCTTTAAAAACATTATCAAGTGTCTACCCCGTACGAAGGGGTAGACACTTGATGTAGACACTACTGTGTCTACCCCGTACGAAGGGGTAGACACAGTAGTGTCTACTCCTTCGTACGGAGGCGGTGAGCGGTACGGAGGCGAGCGGTCTCACGCGGCGGCCGGTCGCAACACAAGACAGGAGGCATGGCCTCCGAGATTGCGTGCTGGCAGGAGGCTCCCAATTGAAAAGAGAGCGACGTTCCAGGCATAGTTTTTTTATAGGAGGCGTTGGTCCTTGGCATCTGTAAAGGCGATGGACACGCTATCGCGTTTTGCTATTGAAGGCGCTGTTTGATTGCTTGCAGCCCATTGCGACACGTAACCCGCGAGCTTGTGCTCGACTCGCGCAACGGCAAATGTCGACCACCGGTCTTCTTGCACAGTATTGCACCTGAATTGTGAAACGGAGTTTATTTTACATATACTCGCGGACATTTCCAATGAATGCGTGATATATATAGCTACTGCTTTATTGCCTACAATTAGATATTTTTTTGTGTTTATTTCACTTCATACGCGTGTATGAAGCACGCGCGTGAGAAAGCCGCGCTTTTTTACGTGTACCTAAGAATGGCGGTAAATGGTGTTATGACCGTAAAATAACGGCGCAAATAACGACGAACACTGCTCGTTCGTCTCTGCGTGTTCGCGCCATTATTTTACGAACGTGTACCTCAAACGCCAAGCGGCGTCTGCGTCGACCGGTTGGCAACGCTGACTGCGCTCTGCCACCACCAATTTCCACAGCGTTACGGGACGCGCGCCAAACCGGACACGTTCGTGTAGGGATATATGTGAAGCTCCACCCCTGTAACTTTCCCATCATAGCCAAGATGACTCGCTTTCTGGATTTCGTGCCGACCGGTTGTGCCCCCACGATCTCCGACGACAGCGCAGTTCTGGCCGACTGGGTTCGCCCTGCGCCATCTCCTGACGCCGATAAGAGCTCTCGCCGTGGTGCCCCATCCTCGGACTCATAGAGTTTCCTAAAAATATTAGGAAACTCTATGTTCCGACTCCTGCGACCGTGTCCATCTCTTCTGTCGTTCGTTGTCCCTGCGCCTCGCTCTCTCCTTCCTCTCCCTATCTATTTACCTTTTAATAGATACTTTACTCCACCCCTCGTGAGCTACTGTTGAGGTGTTGCACTCTGATGCAGACAGTTACGGGGCTCACTTTTCTATTATCTTTGAAAATCACATAAAAAAGAAAAATCATTGCCAAGAGAAGTCCACGCATGAAGAACAAAACAACGTTGTTAAACGCGTCTGACCGCATGCATTCCTTATCAAGGTGAGGTCACGTGATCCAACAATAAACGCACGTCACGACGACTGCAGCGCCCGCGTTCTGGGAACGAGAACGCAGGGAGCCGTACTACAGGACGCGTACCAGCCTATAGCATCTCTAACCTCCGACCACTGTGCGTCTTTCGGCTGCAATACACCGATCGCCAAGCTTTTTTTTTTTTGATTCCGCCTGAGAAGCGAGTTTGGTAATAGTGCACTTGAAGTTGTAAAAGACTATGTCTACTTAGGGCAGGTAATAACCGCAGAGCCGAACCACGAGATTGAAGTAACTAGAAGAATAAGAATGGGGTGGAGCACATTCGGCAAGCACTCTCAAATTATGACAGGTAGATTGCCACTATCCCTCAAGAGGAAGGTATATAACAGCTGTATCTTGCCGGTACTTAGCTACGGAGCAGAAACCTGGAGACTTACAAAGAGGGTTCAGCTTAAATTGAGGACGACGCAGCGAGCAATGGAAAGAAAAATGGTAGGTGTAACCTTAAGAGACAAGAAGAGAGCAGAGTGGATTAGGGAACAAACGGGGGTTAAGGATATCATAGCTGAAATCAAGATGAAGAAATGGACATGGGCAGGGCATGTAGCGCGTAGACAGGATAACCGCTGGTCACTAAGGGTAACTGACTGGATTCCCAGAGAAGGGAAGCGGGCTAGAGGGAGACAGAAGGTTAGGTGGGCAGATGAGATTAAGAAGCTTGCGGGTATAAATTGGCAGCAGCAAGCACAGGACCGGGTTAACTGGCGGAACATGGGAGAGGCCTTTGTCCTGCAGTGGACGTAGTCAGGCTGATGATGATGATGATGATGATGAGAAGCGAGTTGCGGCGCAGAGGAAGAAGACCCGGCCGCATACAATCAGCCAGGCAGATTTCACGCCGACACAACGGTCTCGACTCTGCGAGGCAAGCGCGCGTTTCTTCGCACAACGGCAACTTCACCAGCTTATTAAGTGTCTCATATTAGTTTTTCGTTTCGTGTTCCAACATACCTGCTTTTTGTAGCCCACTGTTGAAGATGTGTATTTTTTTTAATTGATATGATATATAAGGAGATGATGGCGCACCATTATGGCGCCGGCTACTCCTTAGCCGTTAATTGAAACTTGAACACGTATCTTGAAGCAAAAACATACAAAGCAGTGCATGGAAAATAGAAAACTCAGGCACAGATATGTAAAGACACACTTATACGTACATATCACAATGGTAAGTAAATGTTTGAAAGTCATTGTAAGAAGTCTCTGGAAACAACAAAACACAAACAACAAACACAAAACACAACAACAAAACAACAAAGCACACGTCTGGTCCTTATAAAGATGCATTCGCTCGTATGTACATAATAGTCGACACGTCATTCATTTCACAACAAAGATGTGTATTCTTCACTAGGGGACACATCTCGGCTTGAATGTAAAGCGCGTTCGGCAACACAAACCAACACAGCTAGCGTCCGCTGGTCCATGACGGCAGCATATATGTACTTCGCCTGCACAACGCATGCAAAAATAACGTTTTCTGCGCAAATTTTGTTACAACAATAATGGACTCAATCCCCGGCAAAACCGGCGTTCGCCACGCGCGTCGCGTTTTTCGCTGGCGAAACGTGCTTGGGCTTGTTGGTTTGCCCAACGCCTCCTGTTTGCCATTACTCGTGTTCTTGTGTGCGCCTTTATACGCGCAACAGTTTACGGGTAATCCATCGAGAACCCTAATCATCTGGTCATGCACATTAGCCCAATCGGAATTAGTAGCGGCCACGGTGTAAAAAAAAAAAAATCTTACACCATATAGTAGCTTTCAGGGCAGAGAAGCTAGCAGCAAGATAAAATTTGAGAAGCGATTGAGAGAAATGAGGGAGGAGCGTTGGGCTAGGAAGGTATTCAGCTACTTGTACATGAGGAATGTCGATACAAAATGGAAGAAACGAACCAGAAAATCGACGGGTAAATACTTGGAAAACAGCAGGGGGCCAAACCAAAAAGAACAATCGGTTAAGAAGAAGGTGAAGGAAACGGAGTCCGACATATCGAGAATTGGTATCATTAAGAAGTCCGCACTAGAGGTTTAGCGAACTTTTAAGTAGGAAATTGCTAAGGAAAAGATCTATGATAATACTCGGGGTAGTTTTCTACTGTTTGAGGCCTGGACGGAAGTATTGCGAACCAAGACTTATCGGGCCAAATCGTCACCCCCGGAAGCTTTTCCGGGGGTGACGATTTTCCGGGGGTGACGGCCAAATACGAAGGGGTAGACACAGTATGCAGTGCATGTGGAGAGAAGGAGGAAACTTCCGAACACTAGATAATGTTCTGTAAAGGGCTTCACCCTACAATTCAAGATGATGGCGAAGAGTTTTTTAAAGCACTGGGATTTAGGGACAGCGAGGGCAAAATAGACTTTAAGCGGTTAGAAATAACTAGAAGGAGGTTATCTGATTGGTGGCTACAATCTAGGCACGAGTGAAAATGAAATCCTTCACTGCGAAGTACCAGTCCTTGACTTCAACATTTAAAGGGGAAAAAAGGATAAATCTAGTTTTCGATTCACTAAGTATTACGGCTAGGTAGCGTTAGCCGCCGCCCAATCTAAAGGGTACATCCACATCAATCTATCGGAATAATGCGGGAATGTAAAGGCGCCGTGCGGACACTGTATTTGAACACTTGTGTAATGTAATGTGAAGTGTGAATTTTTTTTTAAACAGTGTAACTTTTGTAAGGTCCACGTGGCGGTTTCACCTTACCGCGCGTGCGCGGGTGTCAGAACGACTACAACCGGCCGGCGAGCCGACTCGATCCGGCCGGCGAGCCGACTCGATCCGCTGTTGTCGACTGGATTCTAGGCCAATGTCAGGCCAGGCCAAGACGATCCGAGGTCGCACGTACAATGCGAGCAGCAGCTTTTAGAGGTCTCGGTCAGCTGCGCGAGGGCCAGCGCTCCATTAGGTTGTGCCGACTAAGAGGAAAGAAGCGGAGGAAAAAAAGTGTGTCATCCGGAGCTGGCGAGGAAAGGCGGCCAGCGAACGGAGCGAAAACATGGACGGCCTGCTGAGGGATCGTCTCACCATGCTGGCCGCACTGGGCACGGGTGTCGTCGTCGGCATCAGCGGCATCTACCTCTACTACCGGCTCAACCGCACGGTCAGTCGCGAGCTGAGCAGCCTGGCGTGCAGCATCGCCGACCTCCGGCGAGAGATCGAGCAGCTGAGGACCGAGGAAAGGGGCGAGACGCCCGTCAAGTCCGACTCGGCGCCCTTACAGCACTCCCTGCGGGAAGACGACGAAGACGACGAGTACTACGACTTCACAGACGTGTGAGTTTCGCTACAGGCTCCGCGTTTTGTCTATCATAGCGGCGTTGAAAGTGCGGGACAACCAACACGAACGCCGGCACCCTTGCGTGGTTTTAATTGTCGTCTTGATGCAGGAAGTAGGCGCTGTCAACAAAACGCGATTGCACCTACGAACGCCGCACTTCGTACCTTGCATAGCGACTGCGTTTTCCTGTTTTTTCATACTGTCCTGAAATGACTTTACAAGAATCGGCTACGTTGTTCGCAGCGGTGACGTCTAGTTGTTTATTGCTTGCCGCAACAGAGACAATGGCGCGCTTTGCAACGTCAGCCGTTATTTTCTTGGTGTTGCCGCGTTAGTGCCCCAAATAAGCCACTCCTCAGACGACGACATTTGGCGCTCCCATAACAACAAAATATTAAGCGAAATAAAAGTGGGGCGGTGGACGATCTCTCTGTATTCGACACGCGCCGTCTGCGGTTAAATTAGCTGCAGGATGTTTAGAAGGATATTAAAAAAATAGCGCTGAGCAGGCGCACATGCGTTTCAGGGACGAAGCTAAAGCTCTAGCGTGACTGATGAGCAAAGCAACATGCGAAAGTAGAAAAATGCTATGAAGGCATTTAAGGGCTTGTCCTGGTGTGCACGTCCACATTGTTTTGCATACTAGCGTAATCGTTTTCACTTAATTTATTCATTTATATCACCGTGCACTGTTGTTTATGATGTGATTATTTATGGTCACTCTTTATCCAAACTGCACAAGGCATTCGCTGCAATACACAAAGCTTTAGTCTTGAGTTCAAACATTTGGTTCATGCGTGTTCTTGTGACGTGGTATGTATTGTTAAACCAGGCATGATATTTAGTGATAGTGGTGACACCATCTACTTTAACGAAGGACAGCATTGAAGCGCAGCTCATATGTAGCGAAAGTCGACGGACATTGCACGTGAATTTACAGAAACTGCACCTGGCAGCTTTAAAGAGCTTGGGCATTGATAACCGAGAAGTGGACTGGTGTTGACTGTTTATAGCTCCACCACGAGAACACTTGCGGCGATGCTCGAGTTCATGATGCACTTCACTGAACTGCCAATTCGGTCTTATGGCAACAGTTTTATTTCAATGCTCAGTTGGAAAGTTTGACTATGACTATACTCAATTACAAACCGAAAACAATGTAAGCTTCACCTACAGAAGTGTATCATGCCTGCCCTGTTAGTACTTTTTTTTTCGGCTAGGATAAAGGCTGTGGTTATTATATACCAAAGGTGTGTTGCTTTGTCTTAAAACATTACGTTTAGCTGAGCAGCGATGCGAAAATCCTAGACAAAATTCACCAAGACATTTAAGTTACCAACTTCCCACCTGCAACACAAATGTCTTTAAAAGGACACTGAAGAGCAAAATGATTTTTCTACATATTAGTAAAGCACTCTCTCACAATTTCGAAAACACTACTCTTATCGAGACACTACGCTCAGTAAGCGAGAAAACGCACAAAAAGAAAATGCTGGTGGTGACACCACTTTAAGGTTCTCAAACCAACCACAATGACGTGTGAAATTTTGAAGGCATCTACTTGGGTCCTACGTAGCTTCTAATCTATAAAAATGAAGTACATTGTAATCTGTGGGTGCCATATACATATTGTACAAAGTTTCAGCCAATTTAACGGAAATACATTTTCAAATTTCTTGCGTCAGAAGCGGTAATTTTTGCTCGTAATTTTAGAAATGAAACTTCAATGTTGATTTTCTCTGCTAATAATGAATGTACAATAGTGAAACGTACGACTATAAAGTTCTCAGAGTGCAGTTTATCAATCCAAACCAAGTCAATGTTCCTCTTTAGTGCCCCTTAAGCGAAAGTTGACTATCTCTAACAACTAAGAAGTGCTTGATGCCGCTAATGTGAGTTAGTGCAGTCGAGCTAAGCATGTATGCGAATTCTTTCTGTGAGAAGACAGTAAAGGCTATGGGCAAAAGTGGCAGTTTTTCTTGGGTTGTATACTATAGCTTTAACTGAGCCAGAAGTTGGCTAAGGCATAACTGAACAGCTTTTTGGTGTTTTTGTGTTCCATTTATTGCTATTGCAACATTTTAGCTACTCTGCATCAAAGATTGCTAACCTTCCACCACTCGCGATGAGAAGGGCAACATTACTGACTAGCACCGACTCAGCACATACCTGCAGTGCCTTCGTTTTAGTTCTGTGTAGATTCAGCTATGATCAGCTATGATGTAGATTCAGCTATGATTCAGCTACTGTTCTTTTTTAAAAGGACGCTAAAGCGAAAAAAATGTTTTTTCATATCAGTAAACCACAATTTGTCAATACCCAAACTCTTCTACTGCCAGGAGATGCTTGGTGAGCGAGAAAATGCAGGTGGCAATGCCACCTTGAAATTCCTGCATCGAACGCCATGGCTTCATAGATTTTAACGGCATATTCTATGTCCTACATAGTTCCTTGTTATTAAAAATGAAGTACATTGTCCTCTCACAGAGCCATAGAAGTAACGTACAAAGTTTCAGAATACACTTAAACCTCATTATAACAAAGTTGCATATTACGCAAAAATAAGTTTGTTATATCCGAAAATTCCTTATAAAAGTATATTTATAGCACTATATCTATTGCAGGACTGCTTTTCATTTTTTTCGTTATAACCATTATTTCCTTATATCCGGGTTCCTTTAACGAGGTTTGAGTGTAATTCATTGAGCCAGTTTTGCCAAAATACAAAAAATAAACCTTATAAGTCCATGACGTCATGCATAAAGATTTCAGCACGAAATTTAAAAATGAAACTGGCATTTCTGTTAATGAACATATGGTGGTGAAGTTAGTATTACAATTCCCAAATAGAAAAATTATCAATCTGAACCAATTCATTGTTTACTGTATTTCACGTCGTGTAGCGAGGACGCCTCGTGGACGGGGCTGCGTGAGGCCGGAGACAGCGCGTGGCTCGACTCGCTCGATGCTGAGCTGGACCGGCCTGGGGACAAGCAAGCGCTGCTCACAAGCATGCTCGCTCGCGAGTCACAGTATTCCCGCTCGTGCGCCTACTTCTGGCGGCTCGCCAAGGCATCACACCTGTACGGCTTGCAGTTGAGGCCTGGCCGCGCTAAAGAAGAGCTCGCTCGTCAAGGTATCGCTTCCCGTCTCGTACCTTGCTCTTCGAATCAATGATGCATTTGTTGAAAAGACGCATCCTGGCCATGCAGTGATCAGTTGTGATCGCATAACGCTCTGTCGTCATCCATAATTCATCATCAGCCTGGTTATGCTTCGCTGCAGTGCAAAGACTTTTCCCATGTTTCAAAAATCAATCAGATCCTTCGTGTGCTGTGGCCCCTTTCAGCCGCACACTTCTTAATCTCATCTACTCACCTAGCTATCTGTTTACCCATGGCATGTTTGTCTTCTCTTGGAACCCAGTATGTGGGTTAGGGGTTTAAACGTTGATGTACATGAAAAGGGGGCTGAAGACCTGACATGTTACGAGCACTAAATGAGATAAAAGCAAGCAGCATAGACAAAGGAACAAAGGCAGAGCACTTGAAATTCACATTGAGACAGAGTTAAAGAAGTGGAGTGGAACGCAAAGACAGGGAGCAACAAATAAAGCATGAAATGAATGGCGTGCGGTCAGTCGCGCCGTCTGTCAAGAGAAGAGAAACGACAGTTGAGAACTACAAGGTTTGACAAGTGGGTTCTTGGATTGACACTGATCTAAAATCTAAGCTACCACGGCATCACGACCATTCACAAGAAGTGTGGCATCCTTTTCTGTCGAGGAGTGGCACTTGAATCAACCCCATCAAGTGAAGGACGAGCTTTGAGATGAGGGTCATTTGAAAACTTGAGAGGCGTATTTATGAGTAAAAGGAAACAGATTTCAGGAAGCTTAAGGTGAGCTTATCCCGTGCTGTGTTTGACAGTTCCAGAATGTGGAAAGAGTCTGTACCACAAAAGTTTGGTGCACTTGGTTTGTAACCCCGTTTTTATTTGTTATTGTTATGGTAAAGTTTGATTGTGCTTAAGGAACCCTTGAAAGGAGCTTGGGAGAGTGGTGTCCGATTCTCCTTGGCATCCGTAACGCAGATTAGTGCGTTGTTAAACAATAGAAGTAGTCTTTTGCACATGTATGCATTGGTTATAACTGAGCTGAGTTGATGTGTAAGTATTCATTCATATGATATAGTGATTGCTAACACAAACTCAAAAAAAAGTCATGACACCACAAATGCCCTGGCTTTGAAACTTCTTTTTAATGATCGATTTTGATGAAACTTGCTGAGTTTACCACAGCTGAAATTTCATTCGATGACCCTTCACTCCATACTTTCAACATACCACAATAACGTGGCTGTCTGTTCCCGTACTACATGATGGTTCAAAGGGCTTAATAACAGTGTAAAAACAAATGTTGACCATCGAGGTGTGACTCTTTGTCAACGAACGCAATGTTCACTGTCCAGAGGCTCCATTTTAGCCACTTTCTTCGCATACGCTGATTAGAAAAACCTTTGGTATTACTCCCTCTCTCTCTGTCTTTCCTTTCCCTTTCTTTTCGCAGTGCTTTTATCCTGCCAGTCTATGCCCTTGCAGTGTCATAGATGCTCACTCACTGCAAAGGTCAGCTGTGCAGAAGCTCTTGCCCAGACGCAAAGTTGCTTCCTGCCTGATTTCGTGCGGTAGCATGTCAGAGTAAGCTTCAAGATAATTACCTCAAAAGGCAAGGCCAAACTTTCCTCCTATTGTGTAGCAAGCACCTCCGGACAGGCAGCGCATAATGGCTATTGTGAAGGGTCTGCCTGTGTATGTGCGATTTAGAGAAGCACAATGCTGACTCACCCGATCCTGTGCTAATTGTGAAGTGCGTAGTTGAGGACAGCTGGACTATCCTGTCCTAAAGCCCCTTTCGGATGTATATAGTACTGCACACAACTACTGCAGCATTTGCTGCCTGTGTATGTTTTATGTTTTCTAGCTAGCATGCAGTGTTTGCTTTTATCATGGCTTCTACTTGTGTCATGGGGGGGATGCTAATGGCATTAAGTGTTAACGCACACAAGTTTCTTACTTTTGTTATTCTTTTTTGAAGAAGCATGCAATTTATATTGAATAGTATTAAATATTGTGCTGACCAATACATGCATTTGATGCAGCACGTCACTTTCTGATAGTAGTCGTCAAACATAAAATCTATTTTGTGATTGTGTTAGTGTAACTGCAATTATAGCACACTGCAGAGAGATTAATTTTGATTTGTGGCGTCCCCTGTCGCAGCATTTGCCCGTGCCCAGCAGGCCCTGCGGCTAGATGAGTCGAGCCCGGAGGCGCACAAGTGGTTTGCCATAACGCTCGGCGCACTCTCCGAGTACGTCAGCACCCAGGAGAAGATTGAGAATGGCTACCGCTTCAAGGTAGCCACTTCGTGAGGCACCGTTGTGGTTGTATATATTGTCATCGGGCAAACAGGCACAAGCTAGAAGATGTCGCAATACACATGCGCCTACTCTAGAAAATGGCTGGCACCCAAGTGCACGCATACCGAGCAACTTTCTTATTCCCTTTCAAGAGGCTGACGACTGCAGTTTTCAACTTGCATTCAGTTAAGTTTTCCTTCTTGTTCGTTGATCTCCTTGATGTGGATTGAAGTCCCGTCAAGGAGATGATCGGCGTTGATGAAGCAGGAGGCAGGTTGGAGGTAATGAAAACTTGAAGGTATATTACAGCGAAATATTTACAGTCATATGTACATCTTGTCGAAGCACACTCATGATAACACAGACATCAACAGCGTCTTACTCTTCTACTTAACTTTTCTTAAGTTAGAGCCTAGAACACTGTTACTACATACAACGTACTTAATCTCACTGTTCGACCACCAAGTGGTTACGGCCCAGACAAAAGTTGCATCGTACGGAGTCGTACTGATCTATCAGTTAAGTGATTGCAGCCTCGACTGAAGAGAAACGGATTCCATCCAGTCTTAAGCATCTTGCGGTAACAAAGAAAAAGGGGAGGTGGCCACTGCTGGTCCACCTCAACATTCTCTCATCCAATCTGTTTCCACTCAGATTAAGTCAATCCCTACTGGGCTGACCTTACTCTCGACAGCAGCGCTTCTACAGATTAAACAGGCGTTTTGGTACTCTTTCCATCATGTCTCTCTCTCTCCACCTCCCACGCGCTCAGGAATTCTCTCGCTCGGGAGATATCGGCATTGTAGACCCGGTACATTCATGCCTTTTCCCACACCCAGCGAGCCGAGACGAACCTCAAAGCCGGAAGTTAAAAGATCGCGCGCGGAACGTTATTGCCCCCGCAGGTAGCAATCGGCCTTTGACTTTCTCCGCTTTCCTTGTGTTCGGGTCGTGCATCGCTGCGACTTTGAGCCGATCGCCAGGGCAGAGCGTGTCGCCTACTCCCACTGAGCTCGCGCCCGGCAGCGAAGGCAGGACGGGGTCGCTTAATCCCATTGTGCGTTTGCCCCCGGCAGCGGCGACTTGTCTCTAAACCACAAACATTCCAAGCCGGTTGGCAGAGCGGGTTCGTTTCACATTGTGTGTTTGTCCCCGGCAGCGGAGGAGACGGACGTAGTTTGCATTCCAGAGGATAAGTGGTGTACAGTTACACGGGCATACCGAGAGAGAGTCGAGAAAGAAGCTTTGTATAACGTAGCTTCCCGCGCTGTCGTCCCATGCTCAAAGGAAGCAAATTGCGACCTTGCCGAGAGAGATCCGAGAAAGAAGCTTTGAATAACGTAGCTTCTGGTGCTGTCCCATCCGCACGATCAACTTATGAGCGGCAAAACACAACACCTTCCATCGATGTTATACAACTTCACAAACGAATGCATCTCAAGTGGGTGCATGAACAAACCTGGCCTTAGCGTAACGACTGTAAGCATGAACTTATTTACAAATACCTCAAAGGCCCAACTGAAGGGATTTACATATGAAGTGGGCCATTACGATGTGCTAAATATGCAGATGCTCTATTGCTGCATTGAAAGAGGAAAATACTGTGGTGGGCAAATAAAATTTAAAAAGTGAGAAGTTGGCAGGCACACAGCTTACCCGTGGTTAAAGCCGTCTGAATGATGAAGCGTTGGCTTGATGGTGCCATTGTCAGGCGATGAGTATTGAAGAGTTGGCGCCCATGCGGCTTGCAGGAACACGTTGACAAAGCGGTGCAGCTCAAGCCCCAGGACCCGACACTCCACCACATGCTGGGACGCTGGAGCCTTGAGGTTGCCACGCTCTCGTGGCTGGAGCGCAAGCTGGCCGGCGCCCTTTACAGCCGTCCGCCCGACTCGACTGCGCAGGAAGCAAGGGCCCACTTTTGACCGTGAGTCGTCTCGAGTACAGTGCTCACAAATAAGTCATTGTATGCACAGTCATGTGAATGGGGGGGGGGGGGGGGGGGTGTTGGAGGGTCAGATCATAGAGTTTATTATAAGTCACTATAGAATGTAAGTATGGTGCTAGTGTTAATGAGAGTCGCAACACATGGCGCTTCAGCGAGCATTGGAATGATGGGTAGTTCACGGACTTGTCTAATTTTGGTACTTTTGGCTCCAGTTGTCTTTACTTGGCTTGAAGTTGCTTTGTCACAAAATGACAATAGGCAAATGTTCAGCAGTTGCACTTCACAACTTCAACCTTTTAGGCTCACCATTTCAAATGGGCTCACGAAGTTTATAACCGTCCATTTTTTTTTCAATTAAAAAAAAAACCAAAACACTGCAATAAATGAAGCCACAAGTGCATTAGAGGCCCGCAAGTACGAAGACTAGGCAAATTCGTGTATTACCTATCATTCCCGTGGTTACCGAATGATCGCTGCGCCAGAGTGCCCTCTAGTTAATTTTAAGAAGCTCTATGTGTCAGATGAGTGCTTCTTCTCAATCATCCAAAAAAGGGAGGGGCGTGAGGGCCCCTGATGTTGCATTTCAGGAAGTATTTAATTCAAACCTAGATATACCGAACATGGATATAACGAATTACCGGTTATAATGAAGTAAGTGAGGAATAGCGTTATCATAGATACAGTGTTTGAAATATACGTGTTTAACGAATTTCGGGTATAACAAAGTATTTTCATGGCAAGTGTCGTGTGACTTCCTTATGAGGTTTGAGTTTATGTCCAATTTTTACTTCCAGAAAGCTAGAGATGAAAGGCAGGCTATTGCGAGAAGCGAGTCATTTTTTAATCAATTGTGAAGCATGTTATTGTTTTTATATGACCAACGGGAGCCGGTGGGGGCACAATAAAAATTTGACCCCCGCCCTTCCTTCTCTTTATGGGAAACTCTGCGCATGCCCATGACCATAGAGTTTCTCATAACAATGCCAAGAGGGGAATCTGGCACCGCCATCTATGCAAATTTCTTAAGGGGCCCTGTGCTGTCAAGTGAATTACGAGATACGTGCATTCAAAGGCGCTGTGCTGGCTGGTGTTGAGCGAGGCTTGGCCTTAAATACAGGTACTGCTACACCAATAATGCTCCTGTAAAAAAACCTTTATGAACGGATCTCATTCTCATGTATTGTATCCTATGATGAAAATCCACACACCTGTACGGCATAAGCAAACGGCTGAAAGAAATAGAGATGACAAACAGTCGCACAGGGAATGCTGACCTTGACGTTCCCCCTTTTAAGGTTAGCAGCTGCTCATTACTTTACATTTCGTAAAATTATGGATGGATGCAGCGTTTTCAAAGTTAAATAACTCTTGTTTCTATGTAATGCTAAACAAGAAATATAGTACTGCTTGCTACTTAATTACAAAACTAACAGTTCTGATGCAAAGGATGTATTGTAGCCAGGTGTGTTTCCGATATGTCTGGAACCTTAGTGGCATATGCCTACCTAAATGCAATACATCCCAGCATACCATGCATATAACAGCTTCGCAGCACCAGTTTCACGCTCTGTGACATCATGTCACTGATGTCACTATCGACAGTGACTCTACATGACATGAACTTGATGACGCCAAGAATGACAAGGCACCATTGAAAGCGGTAGGTCCACGCTGGCCAACCTGTCTGAGGCACATCATTCTTGTTCATACAACATCGATCCCATATTGTTGCAATCTGTCAGCTACGGCTTTTACTTTGAATATCCACTAACCTTCAGGATTTGCTTTTTTTTTTCTTTAGAGTGCCATAGTGTAAAGCATACTTCATTTTTGAATGCACGTAACAGGCACATTTATTACCCCTGGAACTCAAGAATATTGCGGTAAATGTCCTGGACTGAAATTTTTGAATAATATTTGAGAAATGTTTGTAACTTGATGGCATTTTACTGCTAGTAAAGTTGATGTCATTCTTGTTCTGCATGAAACTTGGTCATTTTGCAGAGTTCATTAGTAGTAGTTATTTGAGTTATGTAAGTGTACAGTGTTTACACAAAACATGAAGCAAGTTTTATATGTAACCAAGGTTCTTGGAAGTTGGTAAATTGGTAAATGTTTTTATAGTCTACAACTGAGTTACTGTTGTAATTAAGTTTTTTTTTACTTATATTACTTAATTCAATTAGGCTTTGTTGCAATTAGACCTTGGAATCATCTACAAGAATTTTTTTTTCAAAATGTGATAATACAAGAACAAAAATGTTTGCAGATTTGTTTTACATGAACCCTGAGAAACACTTGCATTTAGCCTGTATGATCTTATAATTTCTTTCTAGTGCAGCATTATGCTAATGTGTGCAACACTGTGATGCAATTATAGCTGCTGTAAGCTGTATGTGAGAAGACTGAAAGATGGACTAATGTCAACGAAGTATTGTGTTTTAGAAACATCAGTTTGTCCTAATGGAACCAGTGCCTTCCACTTAGGTTATATGCCATAGTTTGTCTGTTGCCCTTGACAATGCACAAACAGTGCGATACAAATCATTTATTCGATCTCTCCACACAGGCTGACAAGTTGCGGCCAGACTGGAAGGAAAACCTTCTCTACATCGCCAAGGTAAGCTTGTACTAATCAAAGCGGCCGAGACATTAAGCCTGACGAAGGGCCCACGCAATGCGGGCTAAAACGGTCACTGGCACGTCGTCACTCTACGTCGTTTGCCTGGTTTCTGTTTTCACGATAGGCACCACAACCACTCATTACTATGTTCCAGTGAGCCTTTCTCAGCGCTATTTCGCAGTAATTAGCTCACGACTTTTTATTGTAATTGACCCTATCTGCCACGGTGGTGTCGTGGTTGCGTCTTGTCAGCGACGCTCGCATCTTGATGGAGGCGAAACGCTAGAGGCACATGTACTGTGCACGTTGAAGCCCTTTACTATAATATCCCTCATAATCATATGGTGGTTCTGTAACATTTATATCCCAGAAACCATTATTGTTAGTTCTCTGCCCTCAATGTTACAGGTATCATGCATTTTCAGTGGAGGCGAAAATGTTGAGCCCCGTGTGCTTAGATTTAGGTGCAAGTTAAAGAACCTTAAGGTGGTCGAAATTTCTGGAGCCCTCCGCCATGCTCTCCCTCATAATCATAGGCTGTTTTAAGACGTTAAACCCCAACAATTATGATGTTACAGGTATCACTCACTGGCTTTGGCATAAGGTCATTTCACAGATCATGGAAAGATAAAAAGATTTTCATGAGTGTGCTGCAAGTGAAGTTCGGTTGCTGCCAAATTGCTGGTTCTTTGATCTGGCCCTAGTTCTTTAACTGAGTCTGTCAAGCTTTTCTCGGTGCATTTTGCCAACAATCATCTTCCGGTGAATCGCAACCGTCAAAAAAGCTATGGCTCTGGTGTTGCATAGTTCATTTCAGTTTAGGTATACAGGTGCTACACGGGTACCCATGATTTGTTCAGGACTATTCACCCCAGCGACTAGCTGCGGTCTGGTAAAGTAATTTACTTTTGTGGCCGGAATTGAGCTAGACACGTACTAATAACAAAGCAGACAGGACATGTGAACCCCGCTTTTCTGCTCCATGCAGAAAATTGTGTGCTGTATCAAGGATGCGTAAGTAGTTCATGTAACGACACAGCGAATAGCAGCAGTGAAAAGAATATGGTTGTTTAGCAAAATGAATAAAGCAATTTGATGTGTTGCCAGTGTTGTGAAAGCAGCTCGTTGGTAATGTGGTTCTGCCATTGCCCTCCTACAAACGAGGCGGTTTTGTTCGGATTGCAGACGTACATTTGTGAAGGGCATTACGGACCTGCCATGGCATGGATTGACCGTGCCGCAGCCCTTCCTTGCGTGGACCCTGGTGTAAGCATGTTTTCAAAGTTTCCTCACTTTTTATGTAAGCGCTGGTGCTGGGCTTTCTTGATTACGACGCCACTACTTTAAAGAGCCAGATTGCCGAAAAAAAAAGTATTAACCAAAATACTTAACAATCTCACAATGGCATAGAAATGTTAGTTAATGCACACCTGTAGTGTAACTTCTTTAATTTTTCCTCACATAATGGCGGTGCTAGTCATTCACGTGACTACACTCAAACCTTACTATATCGAAATTGTATCTTACACAAAAGTAAGTTTGCTATATCCGAAAATTTGTTATAAAGGTATATTCCTAACACTATATTATTGCAAGACCATTTTTCATTTACTTCTTTTTAACCAATATTTCGCTACATCCAGGTATATCAAGGTTAGAGTTATCATGACCCTGCCTGATAATAGTTTTTGATGCTCTGGGTGTTGCATGTTCACGAAAATCTCTACTTGTAAGTACAGTAACAGGAAATAGTTGTAACAGATTAAGCACTCATAAGCAATAGACTCCCAGTGTTCCTTCACTCTTCCCAATTTTATAGGCACGGCTTGCCATTTTCTCTAAAGATGGCCCCCACCGTTGCGAACCGTCCAGAAGCACGGTTCGCAACTGCGTGCTTGCATCAAGAACATGACTGCCAACCATGCTGAAGTAGTGATGCAAGTTGTGTATTTTGATGGTTTAGGGGTTATAGCTGGAGAAAGGGAAATCCTTGCAAACTGGCTTATTTTCGGTTGCAGAGATTGTTGCTGGTTTAGCCACATGTTCAAAAAAGGTGGTGTCGGTGTAAAATACCTCTCTGGCAGGTCTGACCTCAGTTGACACAGAGCAGCTATATTGCTGCCGTAATGACCTCACAGGCGTGTGGTCAAAATTCGCATATCATATAGTGCTGCTGCCAGTGAAAAAGGCTTACAGACGACACTAGTCCTCACCAATTAGGAGTATTTAAATGTGTAGTACATGGCCGTCAAGATTCTCACTTTAGGATACCTGCAAGTGTATGTGGTACGTAGCCAGTCGCCTTACCTAATGTTGCACTTCTCTGCATTGTTTTTCCATACGTGGAATCAATCCACCTTAGTGTCTTCAGCATTTGTCTGTCATCGTAGCAGTTTACCGGGTGGCGACCCTTGTGACAGATGTAGTTGCCAGCTTTTATGCAATACATTATTTGGGACCTCAACGCAGGACTTCATTGCTGATGGCAATAATTAGTAAATAAAGGTTATTTGGCTGTACAAATTTGTGATGTATCCTATTCATTGCTCTTTTTTATCCCTTTTACTGTGCATTGGTTTCCATGATCATCCATGTCTTATTTCACTTAGCTACGTTAGCTTTCACGAATGACCTTAGCCCTCATGTGAACTCCCACAGTCTCTGCGAGAGCCATGTTCACAGCGCCTTTCATTTGAGCCCTGACAAACCGCTTGTCGTGCAGGACGACACCGTGCACAAGGAAGTGGAAAACCTGCAGCAACAGTACCAGCGTTACCGGCCGTGAATGAGGCTCTCTCTCGCCGGACGACGTAACACCCCGTTTGAGAGCTGCGGCATTCAACCACGGACGGGGTTCGCTGTTGGCTCCGCACGCCAGAAGATGGAAGCATCCATCAAGAAGAGGCATAGACTCTTAGCCATTCTTCATGTGACATGCGTCCCGTAGTGGATACGCAGCAATTGTTTAACTCTTGGTGATATCTGTGGAAGAGCGTGACCTGGCAGTGTTACGATAACTGGTGCGGGACACCTAGAGAGTTCTTACATAAGACTTATTATTCGCTGTTTACTACTCTTATCAAGCCCAGTGGGCATGCTGAGGACGCCATAGGCTGTTAAAGGCCCCTGCCGTGCGTGTAACAGTGGAGACGTTCGGCATAGACTGGTGTAGACATGTGCTCAGCACCCGCACATGTCTACACAGGTTTTTGTTTCGAGGTTAACTTTTTATTCACGCACGACCAATGGCTTGGAACCTCCTATGGTGCCGGGAAAGCCAACTATATATACATATGTTAATATCTGTTGTTTAGCTAAGGTATGGGATCATAATTTCTGGTGTTACAGCGTGGTTATTGTTTTTTACAAGTCTTCTCTCTTACACTGTTGCATATTGTGCATTGCCATGTTTTACTTCGCCTTGCCGAGCACAACCCGAAGTTCTAAAACTGCGCAAGTGATAAAAAATGACGAATTTCCACAGTTGTCTGAGGACAGAGTTTGTTAAAGCATGGGCGTTGCTGATAAGTGTTGCACAACAAGATAGCTTCAGCGCAACCTAGACGAGTGGTGTCAGAAGCAGCAACTCAAGGGCAGTGATGCCAGTTGTTCAAGGCAGCCAGCAGTATATCTTATGTTCTGGTCTTCTTTACATATACATCTCTGTGAAACAGAATCGGTCTTATTATACGCTGCAGGCCTGTGTTTATGCTGATTATCATTCCATTCTTGTAATGAAAAGATAAGGGTGCATCATTGCACTGTGAGTCGCAGTGTAGTAGGCGATACTTGTTCAAGAACTTGGCGACAACTTTCTAACTGCCCGTTAATTAGGGTCTTTTCACTTTTTTTTTACCTTGTGTTTCATGCAGCATGCGTAAAATATTCCCTGGAGCAGTTACAACAACAGTTTTCTATAGATTCACATATTTCATAGTGCTCTTGAAAGAAAGCTTTTACTGTTACCGAGAACTCCAGTGTCCAAATTGAATAGCTTGAATGAAAGTTCACTTCCCATTGCCGCTGTGCTTGCTAAAAGAATCATGCTTGATTAGAATCGTGGTTATTTACTTCGTAAGCGCCAATCACAATTATACCCTGTAGTCTAAAAATGATGCAATTTCTGCATAATTGTGCAGATTTCGATTACTATTTAAGTTGCCTGCCACCTAAAGTGGGCACGAATCAGTCATGCTTCTTTGTTGCATTGTTTTTTCACTGTGGATGGTAAATTTCTCAGTGCTGTTGCTTTTATCATATTTTTTAAGGTTACCTACTAAATGTACAGTACATCACTTCGAAGGGTATAATTACTGCTGCTGGCTAGTTATTACCGATTTACAAGCACATGTTCTGCAACTCAAATTGTGTCACGGTGTCATGCTGGAGTGATGTGGCTACATCGCCTTTGCAAAACTTTCTAATAACTGTGCCAATTATTTATACTGGCACTTTCGTAAGTGCTAATTTCTAAACACTTCTCCAGTGTGATAATACAACAATATCTAACAAAATAAATGTCCCAATATTCTCAGCACTGTCTGCCGCCAAATACACACATTTAGGACTCAAATGTGCACATTTGGGACTGCATTTCTTTTAAATGGAATTACTATCGGCCTAAGATCTACATAGTAATAGTAAAGAGAAGTAGTAAATTACTAATCTATTGCAAAATGTCTAAAAATAATCAATTAAACATAATCAACTATGCATAAAACATTGTGTACAGTGCTGAGTGTGTAAACACCTCTGATATTGCTTTCCAGAATGTGCAGCTTGGTTCTGAGTAAAGAAATTGACCCAAAATGGATAGCCGATTCGTGTTGTCAATGTTTTTCTCCTCAGAAACATAAAATGCATCATTCATGAGGTTGTGAACGTGTTATTGATAACATAGGATCAACTGCATGAAATGTTAAAGGGGCCCTGAAACACTTTTTCAAGTAACCATGGATATGATTCAATAGTAAAACTTATTGCCTCACAAATTCAATGCTGAAAACGTTTTAAGAATTCGTCCAGTGCGAGCGGAGTTACAAAGATTTGTCGCACGCTTCAATTGCGTTCTTTCGTCTCTCATTCCAGCGAAAGCGCTGGAAGCTAAGCAGGGAGGGATGGCAGGGGCGAAGAATTACGTCAGACTCGCCTCATGACCTTGAGCACTTTTTCATTTTTTTTTCTTTGAATACACAGCTTTTCAGTGTGAGCATGTGTGAGCTTTTTCAGTGCGAGCGGCTTCTCGCGTCGATCTCTGTAACGACTGAGCGGGCCATGTTCAAATCAACCAATGGCTGATAGATGGGCTAACTACGAGTGATTTTCGGGCGTCTTCTGTGATTTTTTGAGAGTAAGAAAAAGCAATTTTTAGCTGACTGATAATTTATTTTGAATTCCAGGCCAGCGTGCTTCGCTATAATATTTGGCTTGTGTGTTGTGGGGAGCGTCTACTACCGGATCCGCAGCGTTTTATGACCATACTCAAGAAGTGTTGTAGGACCCCTTTAACATTTACCAAGCATTCATTCTAAAAGGAAAAGGCATGCTAACACGGTCACAAGGACGTTTGTGTTGTCCTCACTTTCTTCTTGTGTATGTGTTGGCACGCTCATGTCTTTTTAGAATGAATATGTACCAACTATTTGAGCTCTGTTAGTCTAAATCCCTGAGTATGTCTTTTCGATAATGCATCACAATGTGTGCTTCTTTAGTTTGGATGTCCTAATGGCCAGCCGGAACTCGGGGTTAGTGATCTAGCTTGTTAGCGTTTGCTCACTGCGTTGAAACAGATCACACATTGGTAATTATGTGAAGCTGGTTTTATTCCAGCCTAATAACACTGGAGCTGCAAAAGAGCCAACATCAAACACTGGCTGTTTATAACCTATCAAACGAACAAACCAACTGTAGTATAAGTTACCTGCCCTTTTTTTTCCTCCTCATTTTCTATTTGTGACCTAAAACTTCTTTTACATTCCCAGTGATGCGAAGTTGAAACGCACGTTCAAAATTGTTATGTTTTATTTTTTTTTCGTTTCTCCACAAGTGGGGCTAATGTGTTCTCGCATGTACATTCGAAGTGCGCATTGTGGCAGTCGTAGCCACAACAAATGCAAAGCCCTTCAATCAAGTCCGTGAACATCTACGTATTTTTGCGACACACATGTTCTGCAGGTTAAGTAGAGCTGTAGCAGCCAGATTATTGACCGACTGTACATTGCTGAATTGCCCCAAGATGCAATGCAGCTACATTCAAGATGGTATACTTTATAAATAAACTTGGTCCGAGAGTCGCTGCCTCACACCTGTGAAATTTCAACGAGCCTCTTGTTTTTTTTTGTAAGGTTGCAATAGAAAAAGTGTAAGCACGTCATCCTTCAATATTCGCATGTTTTTTCGAAATAAAGTAATGAAGACACCCTTCACTTGAAGTCTCGGTTTATTCGTAATTGGTGATCACAATTAGCACATTAGTTGGTACAGTTCATACACGGTAAGGCATTTGCTATGGCAGTGCAGAGCTAAAAAATATGAACTGCATTCTCAGCTACAGCTGCCACATTTTGTTGTAGACGCGCTAGAATGCTTGTTTGTTAAAGTTAAAGAACCCAGGCATGCTTTGCAACCAGCTTTGAATGATGTATTTAGCACCAGCACGCAAGAACAAACTGGCACCACAATGTGTGAACTACAACAATATTATTTACGCACAGAAAACAATCTCCGCTGTTCCCTCCAATCTCATAACAGAGTTGCATCTGATGTAAAAATATTTTAGTACCCAAAAATTTACTGTAAACGTGTACTTGTAGCACACTGTCAATGACGAGGTCCTTCAGTTCATTTTGCTATAATCTATAATTCGTTATATCGATTTTTGCCGGATTACCGTGCACAGTTGTGCCACATTCGCTCAAACTGCTGGACAAAGCTAGCTTTCAAAAAAAAAAAAAAGGTCTTCAATAATTCTCTCCCTTACATAGCTTTGACCACTTTAAAAATAACTTCTTCCTCTGTAAGGTACTGCACGTCTTTTATCTTCAACCAAGGGTAATAAGAAAATACATGCATATCCACAAAGTGAATGCTGACTATACGGCGAAGCAGTGTGCATCGGACCATGAAGCGCGTCCTTCTAGTTTTTTTTTGGGCAACAGCCTTTCATTTTGTTTTTGTTAACCTATTTTTCTGTTATGCGCATTTATTGATGGATGGTTAAATGTCGGTATTTTCACGATGTCAAGACATTTTCTTTGCTATGGTTGATAGCTTTTTGATAATGTTTTTGTGCTCACGCACGTTTTGGTTTGTTTATGTGTTGTTGCGGCTATGTGGCCTCGTGTCAAAGGCCAGACATATGTTGGAGCACCACACACTTTGCACTTTCAACCGATGCGGCCTTCTCTTGAAGAGCCTTGTTGGTTCATCTCGCGTGTTACATAAAAAACAATGCTGGGAACAGCCCCAACGGTGATGATGTCCCTCACTCACAAAGAGGGTGATGATGGTGACTCAAAAAGACGATGGTGATGATGGCCCTCACCCACAAAAAGGGTGGGCCAAGAACTGGGTGGCAGGATCTTTGAGGTAAAGGGTTACGCAGTAACCTTATGGTAACCGGTGTTGTGGCCTTTTTTGTTTAACCTTTTTATTGTGGTATTTTAAGCTTTTGTTAACCATCACAGATGTTTTCACGGATGTTTTCGCACTTGGGCTATGAGCGTGCCTGCCACCGGACGCGGGACATGGCTAGGTTTTAAGGAGTTTCGCCCCGAACAAAAAAAAAACTGCCAGGCCTGCGCAGAACATTCAGCACAGTCGCAGCGAAAGCTGGAACAGCGTCCTTTTCAGAAATTTTTGTAGACTTATCTTAGAGCAACTGATACAATTACGCATGCAAGGTACCCACAACGTCATAAACCACCATAACTTTCAGGAGGCAGGGGAGTACCCAGATGCCACTGTTCCTTGTTCTGTGGATTAGCGGGGTATCCGCTACACGAATGAAAGGTAGCATGTGCAGTTTGTGCAGTGGCTTATTACGGTGAAAAATTATGAAGCGTTTTTTACAATGAGTCAGAAGCACTGATCCACTCGTTGCGCAATTCGCACTGTGTAACGGCTGGTTGTAATTTTTCTCTTTCAATGGTTACTTGCCCGCCATGACACCTGTCGCGCTTTAGCGAGGTAGTCTCAAGAACCAGCGTGGCTCTGAATATTCGACGGCTACGCAGAGGTACCTGGTTCGAATCACATCGGTTCCTAGAAAGTTTTCTAATTAAATTTTTTTATTATTTATTGCAGTAGTGTAGCGGCACCGGGGTTGACTACTGCGCCTAAATAGGCTCTTGTTGTGATCTCAGTACAGCTCTCAATGCGATATAACACATAACAAGGTCCTCAACCACCTTCACTGTCACCAGAGTCATGACTGAGGCTGGTATAATTGCTTACCAATGGCTAGGTGGGTGGTGAATGGAAAGAAGCAGCCAGCACCAGTGGTATCTGCGACCCAGGTTGACTCCGTTGCTAGATATAAAAGGCGAGGTTGATGGCACGGAACCCTACCTGCGGTTAGAAGTGCTTATGCTTGATTGACGATGATACTCAGTGAGAGTGGTCAACGTGCTTGAAAATTTTCTGGTTACTTTTTTCTTCTAATTTCGCGCGATAATGGTGACGGACCCCAGCAGTGGCGGACAACTAGCCACTGCCACTGCCGTTGTGGTCTGATAACAGCTTTCGCTGTAAAATTCTTAAGCTTAATGTCCGTACTGGAATGTTAAAAGCACGGCCCAGGAAGATTGACGTAAGGTTTTGACATATGTATGCGACCAAATTAAATGAGCGACAAAGGCATCATGAAAGCCGCCGCTAATCACATTAAAGTCAAACTAAGCCAAGTCAGAAGCCACGTAAGTTTTCTAGGCCAATCCAAGACAAAGTCGCCGGCTTCTAAAACATTTGCGCGCAGCAACATTTACGTTCATTTTGCGTTGCGTGGCCGAGACCTTTTATCCAAACGTAATATCCGCGTTTTTTACGTCTAAGAAGCGTGCGCCATCGCTATAATATTTTGCAGAACTTGTGAACAGCATCATCGGGCCGTGCAGAAAGCTGCTGTAGCACTTTCAACGGAGGTGTACAGCTGAAACGGGCGACCATGGATTCTCTGATGCAAACAAACCTCTACGAGCTCCTTCAGGTCGCCGTTGGCGCTGACGAGAAGGAGGTAAAGTGTTCGATTTTGGTACTATCAGTTCTCATGTACATATTGCCTTTACTTACCAATGTTACTGTAATGGAACTTGCCAACGAGCAGATACTATCAAATGTTTTTACTATCAGCGTTTGTTTAGATGTCTACACATCTCTTAAATGAAATATCGATCGCGATCGAGGCCATTAGTATCGATACTGATGGAAAGCGTTCCGTGATCATGTAACCATTCAGTCGCCGCAGACAACGCAACAAATGAGTGAGGATCGGCTTGTCTACCGTGTGTGTATCGCGGTGTCAGATGGCACCTTCGACAAATCGAACCGGGAATCTAAGGTGCCACGATGATTGGACGAACTGCGCACGCCGAAGTGCTTGCGGGTGCGATTTGTTGGTCGCTCCAAGAGTTTCTCTACTGTGATTTGTCTCCTTTCTACTGCTAACGCGAATGAGCCGACCGCGATTGGGGGTCCAATCGGGATCCCGATTGTCCATTTGCGGAAACCGAGGAAGCTCAACGGAGCCGACCACTATCGAGAATGCTCCTTAGCGCGAAGTACAAGCGTGAGCAAGATTCACCATTACGGTGAGAAGGAGCGTCTCATAATCACATCGTGGTTTTGGGACGCCGAACTCTAATAATTATATTCATTTAGGGGAGGGCAAATCCCTTCATTCTGTTGGTCAAGTCCGAAAGCAAAAATGAAACGCTGTTCGTGTATTTAACAGCTGCTTCTTTTTTTTCTCTGCAACTCGCAGATCAAGAGCGCATACCGAAAGAAGGCATTGACGTGCCACCCGGACAAGAACCCCGACAATCCCCGAGCAGGTAAGATGAAATAACAAGAGATGGCTGCCTCAACAGCGCCACTTTAGCCGAACTCTTTCAACAGTTGTCCCGTGCCTTGGAGGTGCTCACCGACCCGGCTGCACGAGTAAGGACCAGAAATTTGTCTACATTCAACGCACGCTGATCCCTTACACAGACAGGGCAATTTTATTTCGTAATTTTCTAAGACTTGGGCTCACATATATACCAGAACTTTCCTAGCTTTCTTTGCATTCGCTTGCTCATCCCTTACATAATGGAGTGGTTAATTTCCATAATTCTCCAAGACCTGGGCTCTGCTAGAGTTTTGGCATATGTTTGCAGAAGAGTGCTAAAAACTTCCGTAACTTTATTCAGATTAGACTTCATGCCATTTCCCAAGTACACAAAACTGCTCATTCTGTACTTGTTCAAAGTCTTTAGCTTTACCAGAGTTAAGAAGTCCATTTATAACAGTTTAGAATTTTGCAGACTTTACCCACATTTGCAGTTATATAATTTCTTACCCAGATGAAACTGGTTATTTTACGATTATCCCAGTTATAGGCTCTGTAGAGTTGTGGTGTACATATGCAGAGAGCTGTCCAGAACATTACGAACCTGATGCATATTCAACGCTACTTCCTTCTCTACGCTTCTTTTCTTGCTGGCTCTCCGGTGTATGAGACACATGACTGCTTGTTTGCAGAATGCATACGATGCGGTGCTCAAAGCTCGCGAGGCGGCCAAGATCCGCCACCAGGGTATGGACGCCAAACGGCGCAAACTCAGGGAAGAGTTGGAGGCCCGCGAGGCACCGGGACAAGCAGCGGCGTCGGCTGCAACAGCCCAGCAGCGACTCGAAAAGGAGGTGGAAAGGCTGCGCCGTGAGGGCTCTCGACAGCTGGCTGAAGAGCGGGAACTGCTGCAACGCCAAATGAAACAACAGATGCAGCAGAGGGACGAACGGCCTGACGATCTGACGAGGGTGAAGGTAGGGCATACATTCATGTTGCATCTTTAATTTAGTCACCTTCTCTGTCTAGTGCTTTGTGTTTTATTGCTGGATTTTCAGCCGTTACGTAGACACTAAAGAGAACGTTGATCTCACTCGTTCTGGTGAAGTGGTCTCTCGCAATGCCAAGCAGCACTGCTGTTGCCACAAGAAAGCAATCAATAAGTTGCTAAGTGCTTAAAAAGAGCAGACAATGGCTGCAAAGTGAAGTTTACACACCTGCTTCCTCAAGACATCGTAAATTCTGACAGGGTCTGCTAGAACCTATACACCTTCAAGTGCGAGTAGTTACGAAGGACTATTCCTAAATTGATGAAATTGATGCAGTGTTCTTACTAGACACTTTATATTCTATGGCAAAAAAAAAGGTATGTGCATTTTCAGTAATCTGTGCATTTTCAGTAATTAACCTAAATTAGTGTGTAATTGAGTAAATATTGACTTTGTAGTCAGTCGTGTTCTATACTGTATGAAAAATAATTAAGTGTCAGGCTTAAAATATATGTGCTGTTTGTTATAGACTACCCTTTCCAGTGGAACAAAATTACAACTTTTGAATCGCTTCTGGGATGGGTTAGACCAAACGAGTTGAGCACAGTACTGTTTTCAAAGTGATCATTTGCACCAATTTACAGCGCAATCGAGGTAATCAAGTGTGCACAGATGTGCATGTTGTGTTTAAAAGTCAGCTGATTTACCACGTAGTTTGTGGCAAGCCTCAAAAGTTGATGCACACAACTGTACACGCCACTGCTATAGCAGTCGTACTCCTTTATTCAGAACAAGGCGTAATGATATGCTCCATGGTAGCCAGTGACTTAGCTTGGCAAGTTCCTGGAGTTCACATAAAGTCAGCACGGCCAAAATTAAAAGAAATTGCACTGACGTGCCGGTGTTGGGGTTTCAGTACGATATTCAGATATGAAACTCTGACCTGTTTAGCTTACAATTATAGGCAATTTTTTTTTCTCGGGGGTGGGCACCACCTTGATTTGGTGTGGGAACTGGGCAGGAAGATGTGGTCGAGTGCAATTTCGTGCTCTGTATGCCATAGCAAAAAAAAAAAATCGTGAACAAGCCAGTGCCCCCCCCTCGGGGCACTGGCTTGTTCACGATTGAACAAGCCAGTGCCCCCTCGGGGGGCACTGACTTGTTCTGCCCCCTGGCTATGCCACTGCACGAAATTAACAGCTCTAGAGTTCTCAAAGTGTAATTTATCAATTTAAACTGATTTAAAGAGCTTTGGAGTCCCTGTGAAGCACCCCTAACCAACCTTTGATAACGCAACTAAGTGTGTTGTTCTCTACTGACGTTTCTCATTCTTTCAGCACAATTTGTGATGCTAGCAGTCTCCTTACAGGACCTAATGAGGAAATAAAACCTTTACTGGTCCATATACAAGCGATATCAGTTGTGAATCATTTCCTACCCTGCTTTGGCACGCAGTCGCATGCCCGTTCTGCCTCTTACATGGCTATCGTGCACAACTGACTTCATTTCATTAGTGTTTCACTGCTCAAGCAGAGATAACGGTGCATAGCTGAAAAGCGCAAAAGCCTGATAGGCGCAACGCTTGGTGCTGATATTGGCGGCGATTTACGAAGAAATAAAGTGGTGAGATGGGAATAGTAGTGAAGTTGAGAAAGCAACAACTCTAGCTGTTTTTCAACTCAGAGTGATTTAGGGCCTTTTAAAGTACTTATGTTGTCACATAGTTGAGTAGCTAGCAGAAGGATTGAGACCATTACCAGGACTCAAGATCAGTGTAGCAGTCGTGTGGAACTGGGCACTCACTCGTCCACTGCAGGTCCGCTGGAAGCAGCAGCCAGGACTTAAGGGCTACACCGAGACAAGCTTGCGGCAACGGCTTTCCCAATACGGAACCATCAGCTGCCTTGTCTTCCGCAATGGATCGGCTCTCGTGGAGTTCGAGCGTCCATCCGCAGCTGTAAGTGGGCCGCTGTATACTCCTGCTAGTTGCTAACGGGAGTGGAAAACTACCCCCACATTCAGCTTCGATGCGTGCCTGTTAACTGCCTCCGATTTTCTCCGTTATCTTTGATGTACCTAACTCTGATGAATCCAAGACGGTACATCAAGAGTTCTCAAAGGGCAATGCATCAATCTGAACATTGCTCATTATGGTGCCCTTGCACGTTAAAAAACTCCAGCTGGTCAAAATAATCTACTGTGGCGTGCGTCATAATCGTGAGATTGTTCTGGCATGTAAAACCACAGAATCTAATGTTTCCACGCGGATTTGCAGCGCCTGGCGTCCCAGTTGGAACTAGGGAACTCCGATGAAGGTCCGCTTACTGTCCGCCTGCTGGGCGACTCGAAAGGCGGCGAGAGCACACCACCTCCACCACCGCCGACGCAAACCTCTCACGCCGATGACGACTATGAGGATCTCGTATTGCGAAAGCTGCAGCAGGCTGCTGCTGCTTCGCAGCCATCATAACCATGGTTATACTCGTGCTCATTGACTGGACTGTGCTTCACTTCACCATCGTGTATGCCTCGCAAAGCTCGGTGCCTTGCAAGACATTCAGCTTCAGAGTACCAGTGCCGTGCCGGATGCTCTGTTAATGTGTACATAATGAAGACTACTCACGAACACACAATCAACTGGTGGAGTGTGAATATATAGATCTAACCTCGATGTAACGAACTTAGTTTTATGTAAGATGCAACTTGGTTATGATGAAGTTTGAGTGTATATAGTTGCATTTTACATTAAAGTTAGCTCGTTATGTCTGAAAATTCGTTATAACCGATATTTGGTTAAATCGAGGTTTGAGTGCACCGTATGTAGCGATTTTCCAGATGCAACCAAAGACATTTGAGGTAGTTTTGGTTGTGAATATATCATATCTAATACTTTTCTGGGAAGTGTCAAATTAGAAATGGCCATATTTACGCTATGTAAAAAGTGTTCACAACCTGGTCTTTATACTTTCGGCATTCAAATTTATATCAGCGAATTCCTCGGGACATTTTAGACAGTGCAAATGATCATTGTACAACCAGCAATGTCTAGCTCTTCAAGCAAAGCAGGCCTCTGCACATCGTTTTGCATATTAAAGCCATGCTATGCCATCGTGGGTGAAGGTTATTGTACTTTGTCAAACCAATTTCATGTTTATTTGCATGTGGTTAACATTTTGAAACTGTTCAAGATGTTTTGCTCATGGCTGCTCTTCAGTTCAATATTAGAAAAATGAGTTATTTGCACACCTTGTCAACCATTTATTGGCGCCCCATACCCAGTAATGCGAAAGTGCACTGGTTACTACTTAGATGTTCCATTATTACTATTCAAAGTAAAAGCACTTGTGGGCTTTTACAAACTTGTTGCACAAAACAGCACTGTAGCAGGGCGTGTCCTTTGCAGGATTGCCAAGTGCAACCTTAAGTGTTTGGTTTAGGAGTGCTGCTGCAAGTTTACCTGCATAAAAACTTGGTGGATGGTTAATTACCCAAAGGACCTAGCTATAGCACCTAATACTAATCAAGTCGATCTGACAAAAAATGGCTAATTACATCTGATATTTAGTATTCCATGATGCTAACTGTTTTGAAGAAACACGGAACGGTACAAAGACAAGTCTTCTGGTTCCTCACCATATTCTACCCCGCCCAGATGGGCGGCCATCAAACGTTGGATTTCATAGTGCAAGCACGCTATCCCGTAATATCATGAAACCTACCTTTGATCACAGCTTAGGCGGTTTTACGGAAAAACATGCACATATACTCCTGCAATCAATTTTTTGCTGTGCTTAATACAGTGATTGAAGCGACTTTTTGCTTTCTGGAGCTGGAAAAGTATTGCTTTGGAGCAGCCATGAGTATTTTCAGAGCAATAAAAATGTTAGTTTGGAGCAGCTATCGGTGTTTCAGGAGCAAATACAAAATTTGTTATACACCAATTGGAGTTCAATACATTGTTGAAGCATCTTTCAAATATGGCTGGTTGTCAAAAATGGGCTGTGAAATTAGCTATACTAAGATTTGTGGCAGAAATAAAATCAAAATAGTATAGCTGAGCACCACAATTCGGGAGTAACCATAGTCCCACATAACTGTAGCCAAATAAGCAGTAGATAATCGGTACGAGATAAAAGCAATATTGCTCATTTTCACATTTCACCACACTAGCCTCCAAGTCCAGCTGAAAAAAGAAACTGCCAAATAAGCTATATGCTTAATATGCCAGTTTTTGTCACACAAATGTGATCGTGGCCGAGAGTGCTGCACACTAGTAGCATACTGGGATAGAACACAGATTCTTTTTAGTTTTGTTTTTTTAGGACTCGTGAGCTGGTCAAATAGCAAAAGTTCATCATTCTCACAGTGACATTTGAGAGCAGGTTTGCAGCAATTAATAGCAAAAATTCCTGTTTGGAGCAGCATTTTCATCACTGTGGATAGCACACACATGATTTCGTTGAATTTTCTTTTGTCTTCACCCTTTGCAAGATCCTTTTGCCTAGCTTGACTAAGTGGAGCTCAGGAAACCAGGTCTGCCTGGGCCTCTCAATCTGTCTTTCCATACTTTCACAAATGCACTGAAAGCCAGGCTGTCAGTCGCGTAGCATGCCGCTGAATTAGATTTCCCGAGCACTAATCACTAAATGAAACCTTGTATCTTGCAGCCTAGATTGTGACTAGGTCGTCGTATGTGGAATGTACCAAAGATCACAGCGTTAAAATAAGTATATTGACACCGATAGTCTTTCAGAGCAACGATGTTAACAGAAAAAAATCTTCACTCTACATACAAAATTAAAGTGAGCATGTGAAAACAATGTGGAAAGAAAATGTTCCTCCCATGCAGCGACTCTCCTTGTCACTGCATTCTCTAGCAGTATAGAAGCGATTAGGATAAAGAAAAAGAGGGTGCTATGATATAGGCTAAAAGTCTTTTGAAAAATGTGAAACACGGACATTGCACAAGAGTATGTTTGCAGAATGTACATTTAGTCTCGTAAGTAATTTTTTATGCTAGACTTCATATGATTACAAAAATTGAAAAGATGTATAAAGGAGTGACTCATTTGACACGCACGTAACAAATAAAAATTTATGTTTAGCAACAAAACTACAAAGAAGCCTGATAAGCCAACAATGAGAGTAAGTTCCTCAGTACTTTGAACAAGGTCTCCCTGCTTCGGCAGAATACGCCATGAATACCGCGGTGTTTGATCCTTGGTTGACCCACATCTCGCATAGTCATGTTGAACATAACAGGAAGCTGTAAATGCTTCACCTTTTCTTGATATGCGCCCTGGTGTCGGTAACTTGACATTGCTCTCCGGCAACCCACAGCAGAGAAGCAGCAGCAGTTGCGTTTGGCGTCACGCGGCTGCTTTGCTCTAGCGTGAAGTGCGATGGCTACGTCGGTAAACTATCACAATGTTCATATACCAAGTAGGAGTCGTTGCAAACTGCACTGGTTAAGAGTTCAGAAAAGCAGAACCAAAGAGGAAATTCAAGACTGTTGGTAGGGATTCATAAACTGCGCAGAAAACAGGACAAAAAGGGGAGACTGAAGGTGGCGAGCATTGCCGATGTAAAGCAAGCACATAAGCAAGACGTAAAGCGAAAACACATTCATTGTTCGTATCTACACTTCAGCTGCCATTAATTTAATTGGTCGTCGGTGTGGCATCGGGCCATCCACTTTGGAACCGTTAAAAGTAAAGACCAGCTTTTCAGCAGCGACATTTCAGGTATGGCAATTGAACAGATATGGTCTCTTGTTTAGCATTATATGCGCTGCATGTGGTCAATAGCGCTACTGGCACTGTGCAAAAGGGTCAATGTCTATATATGTTTGGGCTTGAAAAAAAAGAAAGTACGAGGGAAAAAAATGTCTCCCCCTCCACCCCGGCCATGCTACTACGCATAACAGGCAAAAGAACACACCCGCCTGTAGGTGTAAATATATTCGCTGTTGCTGCTCTGAACATCTAAAATTCTTTCATGCCAGCCAATCAGCAAAATGGCCATTTTCAAATCCTATTGGAGATTAAATGGAAACTTAGTGTGGAGGAACATGAAAATCTCCACAGTATATCACAATGAGGCAGAGTTACATGAATGCTTGAGAAAGGTCACATCAGCGATAGTGACAAAAACAGTGGTCTGGCCCCAGGTAAAGCGAGTGGACCCTATAACCCAGCAACTGCCAGCAGTTGAAAATGAAGCAGGCTTAGAGAATAAGCGAAAGTGCGAGAGAAGCACTGATTCAAGCAGCAGCGTTATAAGCAGTTCGAGACAAAACAGGAGTAAAACGAAAGCACAAGACAAGCGATCGATGCTAGCCATGATCACGAGCGGTAAATGCAAAGCACGGTATGACGTGGCAAGCGGAATCACTGCTTGTGCAAGGTCCATATGCATGTCTGGCCGATGCCAGACATTGCCACCACGCGGTAGCCCATCAGCTCTAGCTTGTTCAGCACTGTGCGAGGCGGGTCGTCGGTCCGGTACTCAGGGCTAAAATGGGAGAACAAGACCCATCCGTAATTAGTACAGCTTATGATGCATTCGCACAACAGACTGGAGTAGAAATTTTAATGATAACACCCGAGTTCAACATCCCAAGACGATATGATTATGAGAAACACCATAGTAGAAGGCTCCCGAAATTTCAACCACCTGTGGTTCTTTGAAGCGCATCTTAATCTAAGCGAACGACCCTCAAACATTTTCGCCTCCATCGAAAATGCAGCCGCCACAGCCGAGATTTGATCCCGCGACCTGCGGGTAAGCAGTCGAGTGCCATAACCATTAGACCACCTCGGCAAGGCGCAGGAATTTTCATTGTGGACAATACCAAATGAATCAGATCGATAAACTAAGCAAGGAAAAGCATATATGATACTAATTGATGTCTTTAACTGTAGCGTACTAATTGTGATGTAAATTTAAGTGAATTGAAGACGACGAAAAAATCGCCTTTCGATCGCTTGGTTGTAAACCCACAACGTTTCAAATTATGCTTCCAAAACTACCATTTAAGCTAAGACTTCCCCATCTACCTTGTCAGGTTTTTCTGTGTTTCGGAAGGTTATAGATTTTGATCCCACCGATAGAAATGGACAATTTTTCGTTCATTTCATCTCAATTTATGTTACAGTAAAAACAATACAGTCAAAAAGATAAATTAACATACTCTGCGATATCCATGGCCTAACCGCAAGTTCAATTCATTTGTTTGTTTCTAAAGTATAAACGATCTCCTCGAGAAAATCCTCCCCCTTTTTATATCAATAGTTAATGTGTGATGTGCTGCCTTCATAGGGTCCGAGATTTTATACATAATGAAAGTCAACGAAGCTTAATTAGAGAATGATTCTGCACATTGGCTGCATTAGTCCAGCTATAGCTGGGCTATCTTACCTGGTGTGGGATCGCATTTGCAATAGTCAGATAGTACTGTCTACATGAACATGCACCGTTGCAGAGGTGAAGAGCAGAGCCTTCTTGTGTATGGTATTTTGGCAATGCAGTGTAATTATGCGGCTTCACATTCCAAAACCACGACACAATTATAACGGCACTGTGGATTAGCTTTGAGCAGCTTGGGGTCCTCCAAGCGTGAATCTACAAAACCAAACTACGCAGGTGCTCCTAGAAGAATCGCACTTCTATCAGTTTTGGTAAAGCGCGAAAGTAATGAGCCAAGAGCACGCATGTATTCAGCAAGTATACTACAGTCATAACATGCCCAGGAGCGGCTAGGCCTGCATGATGTAATATGTAATAGCTTTCATAATTTATAATGTTTGGAAGCTTGCTCGATGAAATAAGTTATGCTTATACGGCCTGTACTATACCAGCCATAGCTGGGAATATTTATCTTTGATGGAATATTTAAAAATGGCAAATTCTAAACACAAACTCCCCAACTTACTATTTAGTTATACCTTTCGAGGCAAATGTCTTATTGAACGATTTCTTACAAAAAGATTTCTTATGAAAAAATGAAATTATGGATTGTTATAGGTGCTGTGTCATAAATTTCCAATTCCCAGGGGATATGCTGATGTTGGTAGGTGTGTTCATGCAGGATTATGATAGTGAAATATGGATTTTGGTTTATCATACAATTCAGCAATGTCACACTGTTTGAGTGGTCCATCTTAGGCTAAGTACTACTAACTATTAAAAAGATATATAGTTGCTATGATGATTACAATACCATAAGAACGCGCACACAAATTGTTCACAGCAGCTGGCCTCAAAGATGCAAATGCATTCAATTGCTGCTGCCAATTACGTTCAAGAGCGTTTCTTATCGGACATTCACGTCTAAGGTCGTCTTTCGCACGCAATCCGCACGCTGCTTCACGCACGTAAAGGCGCCGGCATTCGGCCAGTGCCCGTTCACGTATCGCTGCGACAAACCGTGAAGAATGCGCGCGCCCCGAAAAAAAAAAAAAAAACGGTGCAATTAGCAACTCGGTCTCCAATTACCGTCGTCTCCAGTACTAGACTGTGACCTTGGTTCGAAGTGACTAACCGAGCAGCGGCACGTGTCTTTTACGACGGGCGATATCAGCCCTTAAATAGCATCGTACGTTTCCGTACTTCAACGGAAACCCGCTCTGTCGCGTGCTAACCTCAACTAGAACGCGAAAAAAAACACTCCGTAGTCTAGCAAAATATTAAACGTAAAAACATTACACGCGATCGAGTGCTTGCTTCCTTTACAGCGAGTCACTTGCTGGAAACCCGAGTCAAAGGACCGTGACAGCTGCAGGGGCACGCCCTCCAATTAACATTCGATAACGTTCTCGAGTTACAATACGCTTTAGACAGTCTCTCAAGAAGACTTTTTCGATATTCGTTACGAATTGCATGTCGTCAGAGGTACTACGGCAGTTGTGAGAAGCACCGTATGCACATCATAACGCGAAAACAAATAAAGATGTGCCTGCGGCGCTCCACCAATTTCCGTTGCAGCCCGAGAGTCCGCAAACAGCGGCAACTCGGTCGTCTTTTGTGTTTACTTTACCTTAGCGAAACAATTAGCAGTAGGGGCATACTACACGGTGGTGCCGGGTCAAAAGAAAGCACTCACAAGTCGTTTCCGGGCTGGGTGATTTTCCGCGCGCAGAGATGCTCCATCAGAGTGGGATCGCTGTTTCGGTCTCCTACGATGGTCGGCCCGTTCTCCTGCGCGGCAAATGAGTTAATGAGACTGGTGCAGCGTTTTCGGGAGCTCCACGCACGGAGACCCTGCTTACCAGTCGGATCTGGGTTGAGATCAACAGGTACGGCATCGCGGAATCCCGGCTAACTGCGACACCGAGCACGAAAGTCCGCACGCGCGAACGGCTTCGTCAGCTGCGTCGCGCGACCCACGTGCGCATACGCGCTGTCTACTTGTGTCACGCAAGTCCTTTTCTTTCGAGCTTTGAAACGCTTGTTGACCAACCTGTACCGCCAGTCCCACTGGCATGTGTGCAATAAAAATGTAATACTGTTAAGTTTAACGTTATTATTATTCGTTTTCCTAGTTTAAAATTTTGCCCGTAGATAACGCGACAATCGGTAAATGCAATATTTATGACCGTAAATTGAACGTTTTTTTGTTTCTTTAATAGAACGATGATACTTTTATTATTGTTCTTTTTGAACTCTAGCACAACATACGTTGAGTTTGTGAGAGTAAAACGACAGAGTTATAACCCTTAGCGCGAATGAAAAACATTGTTTTAATTGGATCAACAAAGTATGACAGAACAACAAAGGCGTAAGTGTAGCTTCTCTCCTGCGTAATCGGCGCTTTCGATATGGCGGGAAACACGAACTTAGGTAATGGATGTTGATCGCAATAGTGGTACTACTCTATAGTTAAATTGCCTATCACCACTACACGGTGTTCTCTGACTACATGTCAAGTTATTGCTTCTAAGACGAAACGGACGGATTAGGCCACGTAGTAAGTCCGCTATCTGGTGACACAGATCAAATCTGTGCATGCAACAATGACGTTGTTCCATGCGTGTCAGCAAAGCGGTTTCGCTCGACTGACGCGTAAATATTCATCTACCGGGGAAGGACTGTGCTTGCGCGGGCGGTAGCCGCGCTTTTCCGCGCTGCTTTTGTGGGACGTCAGACTCTGCCCAGGCGGCGCTGTGAAAAACGCCGCCACCAGTGCCCCCATTGCCGCGCCGGCCATAAATGGGTAGTGCAAAGAGAGCCGTCCGCAAGCGAACGTGCATGTGCCCTCCTCTTTCGTTAGTCTTGAGGCGTGGTTTCCTGAAAATCAAGGACCTGGCAAGATTCTTTCTTCAATCCAGCCTCGCTTCATAGAAGTAAGGAGCTCATCAAAACGAAATGCGGGCACAATGCAAAAGATGTTTCATTTATTGCGTGCTGCAACTCGCAATTTAAATGCAAACGAGCATTGCATGACATCGAGTTCAAGGCAAGCACTCCGACGTGCGTTCTGTAACGTCCAAACGCGTTAAACTTGGGCATACACATGATGCCAAAACGATGAAGTGCGCATACGAACAATCTATGCGATCAGTGGTACGAAGCTCGCTTTATCCGGCACGAATAGCCCTGGTGATTTTTGCTTTGCAGTTGCATTCTCCGTCGGTTTCTCGCTTCCTGTGCATAGGACTGTTTTATTACACCTGCTCAATTCCATGTAGACGGTTGTCTTCCGTTCGTATATACTGCAAATCGGGGTACATGGTTCTCAGTGTACAACAAAAAGCAAAACCGATGCCTCCGAGATAGCTCCGGTAATCGCAAAGAACAACGTCCGTGGCAATTCACAACGCAACAGAAGCGCATATATATATATATATATATATATATATATATATATATATATATATATATATATATATATATATATATATATATATATATATTTTTTTCTCGTAGAGCGCGGAGCTTTTGCAGCCTGCTCTTGTTTTCGTCGTCGTTCAGGCGAGTGAACCAGCAAAAAATTCACGGCGGTTCAGTGACGCGTTCGACCTAGCGGAGAGAAATTGGTAGCTCTTTTTCTGAGTGTTAAATACGCAAATACATCTAATATTACACTCAATCGTTGTTTCGTGGGCTGTAGTTGCACCTGGCTGCGCAGCAAACTGTACAAGGGATGTACGATAGTTATAGCGCGAGAACAAAGCGACGACACAGAGACAAGAAGGACACGAGTGTCCTTCTTGTCCCTGTGTCGTCGTTCTGTTCTCGCGCTATAACTATCGTCATGCCATATCAACTAGCCCAAGCTGCCACACTTCTAAGTTACATGTGCAAGGGAGTCGGGCTTTGCACTACTCAAAACTGCGTAGACAGGTGGCGCTGCGTGTCCGCGAAACTCCAAAGTCTGACGTCTTAACAGCTAGCTTGGATGCTGCCTTAACCGACTGTTAATCATTTCTAATCGCACATTCCCAGCCGACCATGCAGGGGAGTACAGAAATTGTTTTCGGGCAAGGAGGGGGGGGGGGGCATTCACACTTCATGTATGTTCGTGCGTACGTTTGTATGTGTACAAAAATCGTTGGTTTAGTCATAAAAAAAAAAAACATATCAATTTTGGGCTCTAGGTGGCCAAAATATAATTTTAGAAAGTGAAGCATTTACTTCGTGCTGAAATGTCCTTGGTTGTTTTCCAGACAAAAATATAAGCCCGCGAAATTATGAAAGAAGATGAAATTTGAATGAAGGCGCGTCGTGACCGTGTCCCCCACCCTATTTGTGTGTGTGCGTGTGCGTGTGTCGAATCCCACAAGTGCCTGCGGATCGACTGTGTAAAGCAAGGCCGTAAGAAAAAAAATTTTTAGGGGCGTGGGGGGAGGGAAGAAAGGGTTTGGCGTGCCACTGGTGTGAAGGTATGGACTAGACATGGCACACCCTCAAATGATTGTGGCGTGGCGGTTGGGGCTTGTGCGCACACGCATGCGACTGATTATAAATATATAAAAAATACTTTCTAAGTTTTTTTTTGTTTCCACAGTATACGGCAGTGGCATGCGTCGCGATTGAAACGCCCGGAGTCGCGAAGCTGTGACTAAATGTCATTATCTGTCAATAAATACGAAGTTTCAAGGTTACACCTCATAAATCTGTAGCCTTTCCTTGTCGACGAAGATAAAACACACAAGGGCACTCACACGTGTATTTACCATTGCCCTTACCTCCCCCTGAAAAACAAAGAGAGGGAGAGAGGAAGGGATAGGAAGCTTCTATGCCGCACCAACGGGAGCACGTTTTCTCTTATCGCAAAGCAAGCGTTCGCGCAGACAAATAGCCGACCGCGATAAGCAGTGCCGATGAAGCTTCGCAGCATCGTCTGCATGCCTCCATTGTTTTCTTCCTTCCTCAGAAAATAAGCTCCGCTCAGGGGCAATACAGAAAAGATGCGCTAAGTGCAGTACTTTTTTCCAACCTACCATACTGTCCCGATCTGCTTTCATTCTCTCCTCCCTGACTTGCTCTGCATTTTAGGGGGGGGGGGGGGGGGCAGTGCTTTCTTTGCACCCTCCAGCCTACGCGCCCATGCAATACGCGGGTATGCGCCACAGAAATAGCGTATGCGCCAAACAGCTTCTAATAAAACACTACTTGTTGGAGGGAAGGGAGAATGGGTTCTTAGACATTCCCTCTCCCGCAGCTTGAAACCCAACGTCCAGGAGGCCATCCTGGGTTGGGCAGAGGGGGTTGCGGAGGACTACCAAGTGTAGCAACCTCTCCCCACCTCTGCCCCATTGCCCCTTCCCTCTCCAAAGGAAAAATAAAGTCTTTACCGCTACCACGTACGGGATAGTGACGCGCGTATGTGCCATTGGCGATGACGAAGAAGCCGTGCAAGGACACTTGGCCAGGACAAGGACGAAGAAGGCGTTGCTGACTTTTTTGCAGTTACTGAAAAAGTCTGTTTGTCGTTCTCCGTTTGATCGTCAATCCCGCGTCGTCACAATAGTATAGCTATCGGACCATAGCCATACTCGTGGACGACTTTCTGTGGCAATCAAGGGAAAAATACGGGGCCCGAGCTACTGCACACGTACTCCTCCGCGAAGTAGTCCGCCTAGACTCGCTCTTCGAATGACAGGCCGCGTTCGAATAATACCACAACATAGAACTTGCTGCGTCTGCTTACACAGCCATTTCGGAGTGAAATTCGACACCAGCTCCTTCATCCAGTCATCGGAATAGCAGAAACGCAACGCACGCTCACCTAAAGTCGGCGAAGATGTCATCTTGACTATGAGGTGCACCTAAAACGTGCGACGTTTTCAAACACCCAAAACGCGAAATTACACTTCATAAAGCAAAAAAAAAAAGTATTAATACCTCCTTGGTTCGTGCAGCATCTCTGGCATCCTGTAAAAAGTCACAGCTTTGTCGCAAAGGCGAAGCAATGAACGTGATAGCAACAAATTGGAATGTAACGCATAGAATGGCAAGCAGATCAAAACGTACCCCGCGTTTCTCACCCACAAATGACGCACGAAAGGTGCTCACAGATACAGATGAACGCGAATAAGCGTCTCAGTTGTTACTTCACTGCATCTGAAAAGCGCGCTCTTTTCGCAAACTAAGACTGTGCAACGATTGCAGTGACCTTTGCGCGTCCAGTAACTACAACAGAATCGTTCCGGTGAAAACCCAAGGCCAGCCAAGACGGACGATCCCCCCACGGCGAGATAAGGGCGCGCGAGTGAGCGTCCACCCCCTCCTCTCCGCGGGCCAAAGTACGCGTGGGAGATGAAAGCGCGCGCCGCCACGTCGTAACGGTGTTGCGTAGTGTAGTATATATATGACGAGAGGTGAGAAAAGGAAGTGGGGGAGAGGGCCGCCAGCTCCACTGTATCTTCAATATCCGCACCACTGGTGCGCAGCTGTCCCAATTTTTTTCCCGTACCACATTGGCACGTGTTAACGCGACAGCGCTAAAGAGTTAGTTTCGCAGAAATTCCGGCACCGGCTTCGTTAGTTGTGAGCGAAAAATCATCACCTTGCACGTGACCGAAAAAAGATGCAAATAAAATAAACAATAAAATTTCCGGGCCAGATTGAGGATAGAACCCGGAGACGTTTGCGTGGCAAGTAGGTGTTCCCCACACAGCTACTCGTCTGCCTCGAAATACAGCACTTCCTCTGCTTAGAAATGCAGTGACAAAATGCACAAATAAAATACTTAACATAATAAAAGTTTCAACGGCCGAACGAGGATCGAAACCAGGGCATTTGCGGACAAGCAGTTCTACCACACAGCCACGCGCCTGCTTGGAAATAAAGCGAAAATAACTTCCTCAGCTTGGAAACACAGTGAAAATAACACTCATGCCCCCCTCCTTATTGTCAATGTATGGGACTGACTTGCCTATGCTGACGTGTCACAGCCTCGGCAGAGCATTGGGGGGGGGGGGGGGGGGTCACACCTATTCCGCACAGCCCAGAGAGGATTACGGTGGCGCCTCAGGAGCCTCCTTTGAAATGTCTATAGGCCGTTTATATCTACTGTTATCAATTAATTACGCAGACAGCTATAGCTGGAAACACTGGAAATTATCATCGGAATGGAAATTTGAATCATTTCTACTGAATGCACGGACATAGCACGAGGCACCCGAAATGCTACGACGGCAGTAACGACCCCGAAGTGAAGTCACCCCTAGATCGCCGTAGCGTCCTTGTTTACTACAAAGCCCCGGCGCGGTGGTCTAGTGGCTAAGGTACTCGGCTGCTGTCCAGCACGTCGCGGGATCAAATCCCGGCTGCGGCGGCCGCATTTCCGATGGAGGCGGAAATGTTGTGGGCCCGTGTGCTCAGATTTGGGTGCACGTTAAAGAACCCCAGGAGGTCGAAATTTCCGGAGCCCTCCACTACGGCGTCTCTCATAATCATACGGTGGACTTGGGACGTTAAACCCCACACATAAAATCAATCCTTGTTTGCTACTCCTCGCATAGTGTGTTGGGGACACAGCGACAAGGCCGTGGGAAAGGTGCCGCTCGCAGCCTTTTACGCTCGGCGTCGCAGCGTCACACGTGCCACAGCAATTATAACGGCAGCTGCCAATGGTGCGAATCGTCAAGGCCGACATCGACGACGGCAGGAATGCCACTCGTATATGCAGTGTAATCTACTATAGATACGATTCCGCATAACGTGCATTTTGGTTTCATTCCCGGCCAGCAACCCTTGGAAATAACGCATTTTCACGCGACGATCACGTTTTTGCCGCAAATTGGATAATAGGACCAATAAAATGAGTCTTGAGTCATGCGTATGTAGACATGCAGCCACAATCCGCTCGCTGCGGAGCCGTTGAGGCCGCAGAAGCGTCGGTTTAGCGGCGAAAAGATCACTGCCAGGCGATGTTTTCGCCGTAAAAAGAAGTGCAGCGACAAATCGACCCCCAAGTCCGTGTCAGCCCTCCTTTCGCGCCTCTAATTTGCGTTCACACTTGCGACTCAACCCCGTTACCAGGGCGTAGGCAGAAATATTTTTTCGGGGGAGGGGGGCACGGTCACTATGCGACACCCCATGCATACGCCACTGCCCATTCTCAACAAAAGCATAGCACTGCAAAATGTGCCTACATCTCAAGAGTGGTAGTCCGTAATCTGTCCGTAATCATTCAATTTATTACGACTAGAGAACCGATTAAACATGCGAGTGGGTCCCCTTGTAGGACACCGATAAACAGTATTTATGCTGTTATGGGGTTCATGCGAGGACAGTGCTTACTGCCGTGATGGCCGCATTTTCGATGGAGGCGGAAATGCTGTAGGCCCGTGTGCTTAGATTTGGGTGCATGTCAAAGAACACCAGGTGGTCGGAATTTCCGGAGCCACCCTCTATGCCGTCTCTCATAACCATATGGTACTTTTAGAACGTAAAACCTCAGACATTTTTTATTTATTTAATTTAAAGTACCTGCTTCGCCATAAGGCATTACAGCAGGGAGGGCTGAGTACATATAATCAAAGACAAAGAAAATTAATAAAGCATGGAAAAAATCATCACTTGAATTAATACTGACTAGTGCGGACAAAAAAAAAAGAGTAGCGAAAAGCGTCACCCCCAAATAGAATCTTGCGTATCTTTAAGTTATGATCACGTTTTTGAGAAACATAGTTGGGTGGTTGAAAATACAATTATGATAGTAACTATTCCACCCCCCACCCCCACCCCTCCGTTTTACTTCAATGGACCGCACGCCCTATAATGAGTGGCTGTATCCGCTCCTGATCGACGGTGAGAAAAAGCTACACGTCTGCCACGGAGTTTGCTCTGCCCGAGGCTCGGCTGCCAAATTTGCACGCACTCTCCAAAGTATACTACATCTTCGACTTGTTTCGCGCGAAATGGGATGTAAATTCTGCCGCATAATGTCACGCCGCGATGCGTTTAAGAAATGCGACTTGCTACGGTCGCATTCGTACAAACACGGCTTCCGTAATACGGTGACCTCGAGTCTGCGTGACAAGTTCATGGCCAAAGAGACATATGAAAAAATTAAAATAAAAAGATTAACAATGAGCTTTTTCGGAAGGCATCTTTGAATTCAGATTGTTCCGAAACGAACCAACATAACATGCACTGCGCACTCACCGAGAAATTGAAAGTTTTACCTGAGCTAGTAGACTCTTAAAACTTCTGACGCCGACTGTACAGCTATAATACGACGATAAGGACACGGAAGGGCTTTTTTATACGCCATCATGTAGTAGAAAAACTCTCCCTTTCGAGCTTATCAGGACAACCATAGTAATTCTCACCTACCTACGCGGGGTGTTGCAGGAAGTGAACGCAATATCGATGGCGATTATCCGTGGGGACAAGCAGACAGGACGTGCGCGAGGTTTCGGTGAGTGTTCTATTATTCAGCATTGTTAAGGTTAAGGTCGGCTACGTTGCACGACTTCAAAAGCGCATCGTTTTTGAGTGCCGAGTACGTAAATGTTACGTACCGTCTAACACATATACACATATCAATGTCTCACAACTGAAAGCGACAGGTCAAACGTGCACGATTAAATGTGTTCGCGATTACCAGAGTGGGACACAAACTTACTTTTTAAATAGTGCGAGAATGATTAGCAGTACTGATTAGTTTAAGAGGTGTTCATACTTGGAAGTGATCTCCGTACGCGGTCGGAAGTTTAGATTAGGTCCGCGGAAGTAGAGGCAACAAAATGGCGAGATTGACGGTCCGGGTCGTGTTCTCATCCCGCCACTAGTCATCTGTGCAGAGACGCGCCGATTCGCGAAAACAGGTGGGTCATTCTTGCAAGCGAAACTGCAAAAGTGGCGCCGCTTGCTCGGATGGAGTGTTTACGCCGTTGAAAACTCAACAGGCGATCGCTCTGCAAGGGCAGTCAGCTGCGACGCACTACGCACATTACTCGCTACGCAGCTTGCCTTGCAAGATTCGCTTTCCGCCTCCTAGGTCGGGTCAAGATCTGCCGTAAGACGAAAGAAAAAAAGTACGTAAGCATAAGCTGCCAAAAATTTCCAGTCACCGGGAGCAATCGCACGCATCAAGATCTGGGAGGGCTCGGTAGTTAAACCGAGACGATCTGTCTGTTTTAACCATTGACTAGAAAGACAGTAAAGACGTGTAAAAGTAGTGGTGGGAGTTCCAATAGACACAAGACAATAGCGAGGCTCTTCGCAATAGGGAATGAGATCTTCGCCACGAGTACAAAACGGAGCTCATGTCGTGACAAGTGGTGTCTCCGTATCAGTGCGCGGGTTTCGTCACACCGCCCTTTCTTGCTTTTTTTTTTCCACTTATCGAGACGCCGTGCGAGGAAGGCGCCCTCGGCCTGCATCTATAACATACCGCACGTAAAACAGTGCTCCACGTACACGCAGCCGCGCGAACACTTACGCGCCGACAAACCTTGAGTAAATCCGCTTGCGTATCTCCGTATCGTCCCGACCCCTCCTCTGGGCCACTGAGCACTGTACGCATCGTGGTCTGCACGTGCCTCGGGCGAGGAAGACAAAGGAAGGAAATATTTATGGACAACAGCTGCGCGACGATTAGGTTTAAGAACGCAAGTACGTGTGAAGTGTCCGTCCCGCTATCTGCTCTTCCAAGGAGGTGCCGATAAGGCTACTACGTCGACACACCTCGATAACAGGTCGGCGTGTTAAAGAGACCCTTTAGCAAGGAGCCAAGTCGAGTGTGGTGCCGGGTTCGGGTGGGAGGGCCATAGCGCTCCAATAGGGTATGAAGTCGTCTGCCGGCCTGGCGGTGGCGACCTGGGACGCGCTGCTGGGACTCCTGGTGTGCACCCCCCTGGTGGTAGCCCACTGGCGCGCCATCTGGTTCCTACTGGACTGGTTCGTTCTACCGGAGCGACCTCTACTCAGCGGCTGGCTGTGCTGCGTCATCGGCCACGCGCTCGTGCTCGCCGCCCACCTCGCCCAACACGCCCTCGACTCGATCGGAGACGACGAGGCAACCCTAGCCAACGTCAAAGTACAGCCGCAACAGCAGCGACGTCGGCCGCTGCAGCGGCCGTGGCGGGAGTTTGCCGGTCGCTTCTACACTCCTCTGCTGTCGGTGGCGACGATCGCGCAATGGCGAGGCGTCTGGCTTCTCCACGACCTGTACCTGATAGATGCCGGTCCTCTACCCTCGGCTCTGGTCTCTTTGGTCTTCGGTTGCTTGGGGCTGGCCCTGACAGGGGCGCTAAAGACGATGTCGGCATCGCCGCCTTTCGCCGTCGGAAGCGACGTGCCGTGGGCCTACTTCGACGCACCCACGCGGCTCGGTCGGCGACCAGACCGCGAAGGAGGCTGGACCTGGTTCACGGTCGATTGCATGCTGACAGTGATCGTGATGCACACGCTGCTGGTCAGCGGTTGGAGAGGGCTCTGGGCTCTCTTGGACGTCCTAAGGAGGTCACCTATGGCGTCGCTGGTGTCCGGAACCACGGCGACAGTGTTGCTGATGGTCACGCAGGCACCGGCAGGCTTCCTGTGGAGGCGTCTGGGTGGAGAGACTAAAGCTCCAAAGAACATGCTGGACAGTGAGGCCGGAGTCTCCAAGGTGATTCTGGAGGAAGAATTCAGACCTTCGAAGAACGGTAACTCCCCTAATTATCCATCCTGATTTCTATTTACTTTTTAGAACAGGCCCTGTAAGAACACAGTTAAAATCGATGTTGGCTGGACTGCTAGTTAAATGGCATAATGCTCAAGAGCAAAAACACACAAGACGAGGCCAAGAACTATAGAACACATGGACCAGAGATGTAGACAAAATCTTTGAAACGATTATACCACTCCTCTTGCATGTTCCCACCTGCTTGTATGTGTGTGTGTCTGCATATACACATGCAAAACTGAAAATTTTTTAGGTGGTTTGAATCTCTCCGATGCCCCACTATGCAAATGGTATGTACGTTCATGCGGTGTTCACGCTGTTCAATATAGACAATTGAAATTAATGCATCAACCGGCCCGAATGATTGCACTACAACACTACTCAGTACATGATGAGGGTGCTAGTTAAACGTCTGGATACATTGTCTCTTGCTGTGTAAGACCTTACTTTGCTCAATGTCTGTCCTTTGCCTGCATGACAAATAGTACAATGAAAATGCACTGCAAGTTAAAGAGCAATGAGAACATCATTCACCTAGGCCTGCAGCGTAACATTGCCATTATAAAAGCATTACCTACACTGTTTAGAGTGAGTAGAAGCAATGAAAGGTTAACTTCATTATAGTCTACAGGAAGAGAAAAATATTGAAAACATCAGACTACTAGTGTTTGCAGTGTGGGTCACCAAAATCTATCGCAACTCCCCGCCCCCCATTTTTCCACTACCTACTCCTTTTCTGTCCTTGTGTTTTCGCTTCCGTAGTTACGAAGTAACTACTTGTAGGTTGCGCTGTTCCTGAATTCAGTTACTCCTCCACATCACTTGTGAATATAACAGTAACCCGTAATGGCACTGCCACAAGTTAAACAATTCTGGTTATCTGCCAGCTGGTACAAAAAGAGGCAAACACAAATAAGGTCAAACAGCAAATTTTTACGACTAGAATGTGCCATTCACAAGTGGCACCATGCTTTTACCTTTACACATTACTTGTTGCCCATTTCCCATTACTGGATCTTGTATGTTACATTTTTGAAGCCACTTATAGATTTTTTGACACAGTGGCCCAAAGTTATTGACATAATTTTTTGCTACTATTTGAACACTGGTAGACAGCATTGTTTTACCAAAAACCCATGCAATATTTACCTCAAGAAATTTTAAATGATTTACCCCAAATTCTGGGCTGACAGGCAGGACAAATATAAAACAATGATGAGTTGTCACTTATCCTACAATCATTAGCATTGCTAAAGGACAGTGAGAAAGATGGAATCAACACACACTGTGCCATATTTGTCCAATTGCAGCATACTGTCATCATCACCTCTGTGCCTGGCTTTGCTCGTAGAGCTTCTAGTTATGTCTGTTATGTCTGACCAATTTAATCAATGCCTCGCTAGGATCTGAATTACTAATACTGATGCACTAGTTGGCCAACAGTGATATCAACACAAACAGAGAAACTATGACAAATCCTGGAATGAGGAGCTTTTGAACCTCTTTGACCATTTGGTGTTACTCAGTGCATGCGCTTATTTCATCCCTTTGGTTGTTAATCATTCTAGTTCTGTCAGAACACAAGCTGCCGAATTGAGAATTAAACTCATGACTTTATGCTTGGCAAGGGAGCATCGGAACCACCAAATCATTACAGCTTTATCCACAGCCTATCCTCCCGTTCGACATTTCTTGCAAAACAGCTATTTCATAAATGACACCAATTACCCAACCAAAGCCCGTGTACCCGAAAGTTCCACAAATCATGCACAAGCATTACACATCTTAGCCGAAATTCTTCATTGTGTGTTGTGCAAAAGCTGGCAGCAGAGCTTGAAGAGACATTAAAAATAAAACCAATTTTTAAATTGCTCTTTAGTGACTCAAAAGGTCCATTCGATCCACCTGGCACTTCCAGAACTAGTTCGCTGTGGTGCCGTCTGGGCGTTGCCTTCGTGCAGGTGACGTTTCAGCAAGTGCAGCAGCGACGAGACGCGGAAACAAATACGAGAGTGCACATTCCGTACAAGCCCTATGCTACTTGTCGGCTGTCTCAAGGGTTGTAGAGGCTGCGATTCGTAAAAGACGGCACGGTTCACATTGCTTGGCATGTGTCTACTGGAGAATGTTCACTGTCGTACTTGTTGCACGTCGCTAAAACACACATATGCAAGCGGCTGTGCCGTCTGCTGCAGCCATTTTGTGCTGCACAGACTCAGCACTATCTAACCAGAAGGTGCAGGAAATTAGTGAACCAGCCTTTCAAAAAGCTGCACTTTTTCGAAACGAATATTACGGTGCCGCTGCCGTCATGTGAAACTCGTGAAACGAATGATCAAATGCAGCACCTGCGTGAAACGAATGGACCAAAAGAACGTCCAGTTTGCTGCTGGAAGATGCTTGGCAAGCAAACAAAAGCGAAAAAAAAAAAAAAACAGTTCATTGTGACGTCGCCTTAAAATAGCAGCACCAGCCGCCATGATGTTAGATTTGAACATTGTCTGCTAGTGATTACGTAACTTCTAATCGACAAAAATGAAGTACTTTGCCTACTGGGGCAGCCAGAATCAAGCTTGAGGAAATTTCATAAATAAAGGCAACAAGGCCAAAACACAAAAAACGGCTTCATAATATCAAAATCGTGACTTCAGATAAAAATTTCAAAGCAAAATTTTTGAATTACTTTCTCACCTTCTAATAAACCCATGGCAGTGATATTAATGAAACTAGCATAGTATGATTTATCAGTCTAAACTAATTTATTGCTTACTTTAGTGCACATGATAGTAGCAGGTGCTCATGAAGCATGGCGCTATTGGTCATACTATACTCCGCGACAACTTATCTTGACATCAGAGCGAAGACTACGAAGGTGGAGTGCCTATACATTTGTGTTGCTCCACACGCAGTCCAACTGTTTGTGGCTGATTTTGGTTTTGGTCGCTTGAATTGCTAACGCGTGTACAAAAGTATCCACATGAAAATGTGAATGGAAGAAGCATTGCGATGGTTCAGTGTAGATGTTACTGTCATATCACGAGTACTATATTTTACTTGGGAGGTTAGATGGCGCATTCGCAACTGCGCACTGACCCACTCATGGACACCATGTTTACTTTGGAAAATGGGTGTGCTGTCTTAGAAATGCAAAGAAAAGGCAGGCATTCTTGCAAATGGAACAATAACTGTATTTTATCTAAGACTTTCCACAACTGTCTGAGTGTCATAATAAAGCAGGATTTATTTCAACATGGCAAATGCAAAAAATTATCAGTAAACCTAATAAGTTCTATATATTCTGGCCTGAAACATTTTGTTTTGTAAATATTAACGACAAAACTACAACACACAAGAGATTGGGCCTGCATTAACAAAGAGTAATCCAAAGAAGGCACAAATAAAAAGGATATCTGCAATAAATGTACATTTGGTGCTGATGTGCGTATTTCACATGCCTTGTTGAACAACCACATACCCTTTCCCAAGTGTCTCACTAAAACAAAATGTCACCATCAAGAGTGGCAATCCTAACATGCAGCAAAAATGCAACTTTGCCAGAATCACAGCAAGGTCACAAATTTCACACATTTTGCGAAAGGTGAATGGGAGTCATGCGAACAGAATACTGGAGATGTCATACTAAAATGCACTAAAAAAGTGTGACTTGAAGATTTTAAACTTAACATAAACTTATCAGTAAGAATACAGTGAATATATTGGCTTTCGTGAATGTGCAGCGAACATATAAAGAATATTATTGCAGCTAACACTTGCTCGCAATAACTAGGCACCTCTATCAAAGTTAAGAGAGCTGGCCCTTCTAATTTTTTGCTTGTTAATAAGACTCACACGAGCTGTGACCTCCACATCCAATGAAACTCTCCGGATCACATGAAATCTAAACACTATCAAAGTTCAGGAGAAGGTAGTGAGACAAAGTGATGAGAGATTGTCAAACAAGGAATTTTGCTGGAGTCCAATTTTGAGTATGAGAACAGTCATAATCATATGCATCACTAGCAGGTGTTTCAGCATCTGCCGACGAGAAGTCTTGCTGCTGAAGCAGTGCTTTTGACAACATTCATTGTTCAACATCTCATGAAGTTTTCGATATGGAGGAGGATAAGGTTATTGAATATCGGGGTCATTGAGCCTTTCAAAGAAGCCATACACCGAATAAAAAATTACTCTTCACTGCTTGCTTTTTATCAGCGTCAAGAGGCTTATCCTGGGTCCAACGTCTCTTCGAGGAGCTGTGGCACCTAGCAGCGGCGTACGCCTGCGTATCCGTCTGGCGAGGTATTTGGATGCTCATCGATGAATGGCTGCAGGATGACGTGACCGCATTTGCGCTGCTGGCCATTGGATCGCTCCTGCTGCTGCAAAGTCTGTACGCGGCAAACAATGTTCTCACACGGGGGGTCTCCGTCGACGGCCATGGCGTGGCGTTCGACGTCGCTTTCTTTGCAGAGCTGCTCACAGCTCCGTCTTCCGGTCTATCTTGACCAGCTCCACCTCAAACGTTAGTGTCGCGTCGCCTGCGTTTCAAAACGAGACCATGGAACGTCGTCACCTCGCCACAGAAGCCAATTGACATTTGAGAATGTCCCAGATTGAATTGCTCTATGTTACGTGAGAACGAATGAGGTTGGTGTAACGAATTACGGCGGCTGTGTGGTAAAAGAAAACATGGAGATTAGCAGCATTTTTGGGAAAGGAAGAGTAGCTCGAGCAAATGGATTGACACACAGTGGGCATACTCAATGAGCGAAGCATCACCAGAACATGGCGAGTGATTCAGATAGGGACACTAACACCGACGCTCTACGTTTGGTGAATGCACAACATGCTAACCACTGCATGCTCACACCACTGCACCCATTGTCTTCTCAGGTGTACAAAGAATCGAAGCGTGGCATGACTTGAGGGTAAACACTCAGAATACTCCCTTAGTGCAATAAGCACAACTCTTTAACTTCGTGCCACTGTTTGCTACGGAAGCCAGTTCACGGTGCTCGTGCGCCTTCATTTTTACAAGTGCCAAAGAAGCTGTGCTGTGGTCACAATACCGCATTTACAAGCAACAAGAATTCTTGAATTAATGACGTGCAGTACCGCTCAGTCGGCACTTGCCATACTACGCTTCACAATTTTTCTGCCTTCCCAGCATGACAGCAGAGCAGACAAGGCTATGTCGCTGCTTTAACAAGCGGAGTCACAGCAAGTGAATAAAGCATGCTTTTTATGTTGCTCACTTCTGCTGCGCACAGATGCCACTGTGAAAATGGTAGAGTTTATCAAAACTGCGGCTTTAATTAGGTGTCATTACTTTTACAGGGTAAGTACAGTGCTGCAATGCCAAATGAGCTCTGGACTTAAAAAAAACTTGCATAAAATACTACTTTTTCATAGCAGCCAGTCACACGGAGGGCTACCTTACAGTAAAATCTGTTCTGGATACGAATTTGTAATAACTATACACTTAACCAAATATTATCTGCTTGTACAAGACTAATTCATAAACTATGTTGTAAATGGGTCACAACAGCACTGAATACTCAGTCTGCGTGAACAGAGACACAAGAAGTCAGGGCGACATGTCTGTGGAAAACAAACTATTCTGGACTGAAATCATGGACAACAATCTGTTTTTTCTGAAATCCAAAGCTTTCACTACAAGCACTTCTTAAGAGTTTTCTTGAAAGTTAACGCTGTTCCACAAAAGGATGTGTCACAATTCTATCATTGAACAATTAGAATTGTGCTATCTGCCACAGGTGCAGTTTTACAATCATGTGCGTCTTAAAAATGCAGGTCTACATATACATTGTTAAAACTACTGCTCGGTTGAGTTGGTTCATGATTATAATAGATTTTCCAATGCAAAAAGATGAAACACATGAAAAGAAATCACACAGACACAGTTGTGAGTTCAGTGCTGTGTTTTTGTATTCTTTCTTATGTGTTTTGTCTTTTTGCACTGGTCAATCTACACACACAGGCCAATGAACAAAGGCCCATGTATGCTGTTCAGAATGCCTGCATATTTTACATGCTTGCCTTTGCTGCCTAGCCCACTTGCTGAAACAGGAACGATTTCAACGGCAGCTTTTATTCTACAATCATCTAAGCTGTACTCTAGTTATACAGGATAGCCAAATAAAAAAAATTCAGAACGAGTCTGGTTATTCACCTGGAATAGTTGGTGGCGCACCTCGGGAACCGTACGCCAAATCGGGGGGAATCACCAACTTGCGTTTCTCTCCCACGCACATTCTGAAAAGTGCCTACACATAAGCTTATGGCGAAACAAAATGTGCCAGTGAAAAAAAAAAGAAAAGCAGCCCCCCCCCCCCTACACACATTCAACAATTATCACCGCTGATCTCGCTAATTTATAAACTTCAAACATTGACAATCTCACATGTAAAAACACTCCGAGTTGCTCTCAACAATACAAAAAAAAGAGGTGTTCTGCCCAGGTATGTTTGATGTTACATAGGACACCCTCACCAATGTCAGCTTACATTCGGACTCACAGATATGTGCTTGAAGCCTCGCGCCCTTGATGAATTTAACAGATATAAAAAAAAGTTTATGCCAGAGTTGGACAAATCAGTAGTGGTCTCACAAGGTATGTTACTTGAATAAGGTTTGGAATTACAGTTTCTAAGCTATTTGCATTTTGTATTAAACTGCTGCTTGTGTGATTGTGCTGCCTGGGGATGGGGGCCTAGCCAGGCGACCTTAAATGTTGTTTATTGCCATAGCCCCAGGGCAACCTCCTTTGTTGCCGAAAAAATAAACAATTCAATTCAACTGGAGCCATTTTAAAAAAAGCGGACGAGTAATGGACCCTTGTAAAAAATGCTGGCTCCTGCCAGTGGGTGTAACCAGGCCAATTTTTTTTTAAAGGCATAAAGAACAAAAATAACACTGCCTGCCTGGTCCTCATTTGAAAAATTAAAAAAATGTCCCCCCCCCCGCCCCTTCAAAAAAAAAAAAAAAGATAAAAAGCTTCTGCCAAATACGCCGGCACCTGCAAACGTTCATTTTGAACATCTCATTGCTGCAACCCCAATCTTCCATCTTTTTTTTCCTCTTGAAAGAACAAATGAGTTTTGGTGCTTGGCAATGCAATGAGAGACAACAAACCATTTGAAGAGATAACAGGACATGTAATGCATCCAACATGACGCATCCACATTACTCGGTTACAACCCAAGAAAAGTGTTGGCTCTGCCCACAACACCATGGCTTGCCTGCCCTTCGTCTGTGAAAGATGGCCGTGCTAGCTGGCATGAATACTTTTTTTCAGCTAATGTAAATACTAGGCATACGAATAGCCAAGGTTTCGCTGTTACTACCAAAAAAATTATGCTTAGCACAGCAGTGTCAGAATCACTGATGAAATTTACCAGGATGTTCCAAGTTTCTATGAAAATGAGTGACACAAATGAGTGTCTGTAGATAAAATGATAATAATAATAATAATAGTAGTAATAATAATAATACTAATAATAATAATAATAATATCTAAAGTTTAACATCCCAAAACCACCCTATGATTATGAGAGATGCCGTAGTGGTGGGCTCCGGAAATTTCTACCACATGGGGGGGAGTCTTTAATGTGCATCTAAATATAAGTGCACGGGCTTCAGACATTTTCCCCTCCATCGGAAATGCAGCCGAGATTCGATCTTGCGACCTCTGGGCTAGTATTCGTGCGCCATAACTACTAGACCACCATAGCCGGGCCTGTACGGGAACGTTAGCTATCTCTGAAACGTTCCAGAAGTGCCAAGCATCTAGGCAAATTCTCTGTAGAAGGGACAGCGATGGCTTTTGGGAAACTGATTTTTTTTTCTTGAGTTGTGATCAAGTATAGTTTGTATATTGTTCTAGCTGTGTTACTCATCTGCTATTCACTGAAATACCCCAGGCCCTTGACACTTTCAAACGGGCTTAATATTTTGTGTATGTTGAAAGGCAAGACTGAGGGAATCTCTGCAAATCTGTGGCTATAAGAAATGTTGTAACGGAACAGAAATTTCTAAATGAATTTCGAATACCTAGAATTCGTTAACATACACTTAAATCTACGTACAACAATATTCCCTTATGCCATCTTCGAAAAATCGCACTGGTGTGCACTCGGGTGCCCAAGACACTATGATGATTGGACAAAACTGCACACCAGGGTACCCTGGTGTCATTTGATGATGATGCCACTAAGTATGAACAAAATGCAGAAACAAAAGGGGGTAGGCACCTCTGAACATGCAGATTTTTTTTTACATTCTTTTGGCTTTTATGCTGCAACCAAGTGTGAAACAAATCACGCAGCAACAAACAAGCGGTGAGGACTATTGAGACCAAACACCTCTACCTCCCATGACAGCATGCTGGAGCAATTCAACACAAGAGGCGTACAGGCAGAATTTCAAAAGTAAGTGCGCATTAACTACTGCATTTTCATGTTGCACAGAAAGGTAACAGAACTGCTAAATCTCAAGTTACTCAGAGTCACAGCATACCCTCTCTTCCTCCGATCTTCTTGCAGTATTTGTCACTGTCGTGCATAATAAACACTGTATATAAGCCCCACATTCAGCGATAAAAACGTAATGATGGCAAAGTATATTTTCCTGATTCTTGGTTGATGGTGTGCACGACTCATCGACCCAAAGAAGGAAGAAGTTACAGCTGCGTTTAAATTTTACACTTAAGCTGAAGTGGTCGTGTCGTCCTCTTTCGGCAGATGACGCCACTATCGCATCCGTGGCGTTCGACTTGTTGGCTCAGTCAGTCAGCCCACAATAAACATGAAACTCTTGGACTGAAGAGCATGTGCGTCAACCCCTTTCACACCACTAATGACGTGAACTAATAAAGGGATGGCATTCAACTAAGTGCAATATTCTATATAAGACACTGCAACACAAGATACATAAAGGGCAATAAAAAAAGAAAATTGCGCTACATGCAACACAATAAGTATTTATTTTATAAAAAAATATAAGACACTGTGTGACACAAGAAAGAGAAAAAAGTAAAAGAAAAGGAAATTGCTCTGCACGACACAACGATGATGCTGCCAATGCTGCTTTTTTTTTTTTTTAAATCCGGTGTTCATGAATCTCTTCTAGCACAATTCCAAAACCTTCTGACAGAGACAGCTCATTGGTTTGGGTGAGTAAATTTATCTTGCGAATAACTTGAAGTAGCACAAGACAAAAATCTAGAATGAAGAAGAAGCTCGTCCTGTTGTGTCTGTTCTTTCTTTTACAGCGAAAGCTGTTACGAGATCACAACAAGGGTGCCGTATTTATACACCGCTGGCGTCCGTAACTGCTATCAGGCGAAGAAAAAAAAATGTGATAAAGAAAATGCCCAGGATGTCACAGTGTTCTAACCTGGTTCCTCTCCACGACAGCCACTGAACTATGCCGGGAGTTGAAGCTCCCTTTTAAACTGACCCTTGCAGGCTTTAAGTTGGGTAAGGAATTACGTGAATATGTGTAATAAAGCACTTTAGAACAGTAAAGCAACAACTAGGTGTCACACAATACGAATATCACAACAAGGGGATAGTTCTGCATTAACCTATAACAAAGAAAGGCCTCAGACATAATTCTTCATCGAAGACAGCCGCAGCTAGAACGAAGAGCACGCAATGCCTTACAAGTATGCAGCGGGTACCACGCTTCTCCAAAACATCCCGAATGATGGCATAGTGGATGCTTCATGTAATTAATGGCGTAGTGGGTACCGAGCAAGTGTGCTTGCAGTAGTAGCCCCCAAAAAATGTTTAAAAAAGGCTCTAGAAAAGCCACTCTTACAGCTTTCAATTGGACCACGCTGCAGGTTTCAAGCGATGACCTGGCGGTTTTTCCTCAATTCTTTCACAGAGTTTGAAGTTATTCGCAAAAGTTGCGTTACATGCGATGTAAAACGTAAAAGAAATCCTTGTGCTCGCAGCCGTGCATAGATCCGATTTAGCGTTTCTCACTGCAAGACATCGTACTGCACGTTGAATGCCAAGAAACTAGCAAATGCTGAAATAGCAAACAATCCTTCAATAAGAATCCTCATTCAACAACCGTCCCAGTGAAGGAAGAGCACAACTGTTGGCTATGCAACAAAAAAAGAAAAGAATCCCCACTAAATCCTGCGCTATGTCGCTCTTGTGCAGATTTCAGTGTAGTTCCAAGTATTGTGCTCAATCCAGCTCCCCTACTATGAAACCTGTGGAAGTGCGTAGCAGGGGGCAGCCCAGCGATTTGCCAAAGAAAGGATCTATGATAATACTCGGGGTAGTTCTCTACTGTTTGAGGCCAGGACAGGAGCATTGCGAACCAAGACATATCAGGCCACATACGAAGGGGTAGACACTGTATGCAGTGCATGCGGAGAGGTGGAGGAAACTGCCGAACACTTGATATTGTTCTGTAAAGGGCTTCAACCTATAGTTCAGGATGATGGCGCAGAGTTTTTCAAAGCCCTGGGGTTTAGGGACAGGGAGGGCAAAATAGACTTTAAGCGGGTAGAATTAACCAGAAGGAGGTTGCCTGATTGGTGGCTAAAATCAAGGCACGAGTGAAAATTAAACCATTCACGGCAAAGTACCAGTCCTATACTTCACTATTTATAGGAAAAAAAAAAGGTAAATCTAGTTGTGCGTTCACTAAGTATTACGGCTAGGTGGCGTCAGCCGCCGCCCGATCTAGAGGGTCCCGATCTAAAGGGTTAATCAATCCATCCATTCATGGCAATCGCGTGCTTGCCGAGACAGTGGTGTCCTCTAATGAACGGCAAGGTATCAGCTGACGCCTTAGAAGCATTTTTCGCAATTTTATGTAAATTATTGCGAGTAATTCTTGGTTATTTGTGCAGTTGATATTGATTCGGGTCGCGATAAGTTATTCTGCGCACGTTTTTAGCACTCTTAGCCTTGTTTCAGGCTGACTGAATCATCCACACTGGCGTAGTCTACCAGAGTGTTAGTGGGGAGGGGATTCAATCCTTTTGAAATTTCTTTTCAATTTCGCATGAATATGCAAACGTGCATGTATACACACATCCATACTAACGCACACATGCAACCCCCCCCCCCCCACCACACACACAATTCCAAAAAAAAAAAAAAAGTCTAGCGACGCTACTGAGTGACCACTGCGTGACCATGCGACATGAGAGAAATGGATAGACAAGCCGGACCTCTAAAGTGTTGGGCACTTAAAAAAGGAAAAAAAAATACAAAAACGAAATACTCGGGCCCTGTCGTGAGTAGACTGCCTTTCTCACTGGACGACGTCGCAGTCTGCGGCAGTACTTTGTACAAGAGCTTCACTGAATAGCACGACCTTACCAGACGCCGAAATGAAAGGAACAAATCGCTCGAAGGTCATCCGACGCCTGTCGACCAAATAAGCGGCAGACAGACGATCATGCAACAGCGAAACAAAACAAAACAAACAAAAACGCTCACGCCAACAGTCCCTGGTCCCATCCGCGGATGACCTGCCCCGATCCGAGCGTGAAGGTGAGCGGCTCGCCGCGGTTGTAGCTGCTGTCGAACTCGGTGCCGTCTTCGAGCGTGCCGCGGTAGTGCATGTGCAGGACGTCACCCTTGCGCGAGCGGGCGTCGCACTTCTCCACGCGTCGCTTCACGCCGATCTGTAGCCGCTTGCTGTTGCCGCTCGACTCGGAGGTCGCCGACACCGCCACTAACGTGCCGCTCGCAGCCAGCACAGAAATCCACGCAACCAGACCGAAGCGAACCATCTCGGCAGCACACGGAAAAGTATTCTTCAACCTCTTCAACGATATAAGCTTCGCATCGAGGCAGTCGTTTTCGGATGGGTCGATCGTGGTCTTCAACAGTTGCTCTTCGTAGAATGCGCCACAGCAAACATGGGTGCCTTCCCTTGTCAACGTTTTTCAAAGCGGGTAGAAATAACTGGAAGGAGGTTATCTGACTGATGGCTACAACCAAGGCACGAATGAAAATTAAATTCTTCACTGCAAAATGCCAGAGCTTGACTTTTACCAATCAAAGGAAAAGAAAAAGAAGATACATTTAGTTTTTGTTCACTAAGTATTGCGGCTAGGTGGCGTTAGCCGCCGCCCAATTTAACCGTTATAAATCCATCGAGGTATAAATACAAAGGGTATGGCGGCGCTGCCTACATTACGTAAAGGTACATAGAATGTACGTAAAGGACCTTTCTAGTACACTGTAAAAAAGGTAAGGGCGCGGAGGGTAAGAGTCTTGTATTGAAGAAGTTGCTTGATTAATGACAACGTCACTTACGTAGGGTTATCTTTACGTCTCTTTACGTCTTTTTAAAAAATTACGTTATTTTTGTTGCATATAAGTTCCAAAATCATAAAAACCTATTTGAAAAACCCCTACTTAGGTAGCGCCACCACCATAGTTCCGACGAAGACCGCTTTCCAAGTGACCGCCGATAATCCGGCAGGCAAGGGAAATCTGGGAGGCTATGTCGCTGGTGTACGCCTGTTGGCGACGTGTTGTGTCGTTCGCTACCCGTTTTTGAAGACGTGCAAAGTAAGGAAAGGCCCCATGAAATAACCATGGGGGAGGCAACACAAGTCAGTTCACTGCCTTTGCCGCCAATGCAGTATGTTAGCCTCTACACAGATGAAAATGTGCAGCGTGGACGAGCTCCGTCGCCACCTCGACCACTGCATGAAGGCTATTCCATGTTCGGTGCTCCATTCCATGGGGATGAGCCGGTCATCCGACCTTTGGAAAGCCAAGGGATACGGCGACTGTACCCGCAAAACTACGAGCACAAGAAGGAGCTGAAGAAGCTGAATCACTCCCTGCTGGTCAATTTCCTTGACATGGTGGACATCTTGATCCGCTGTCCCGACACCTCCAAGCGGCTCGAGAAGAAAGAGGACATGAGCTTGCTTTTCATCCACATGCACCACCTGATCAACTGAGTACAGGCCCCACCAAGCGAGGGAGACGCTGCGAGTTTTGCTCGACATGCAGAGGCGGCAGCGTCTAGACACAGCGCACAGATTCCACAAGCACTTGGACAAGGTGCGCGAAATCCTACAGAACACTGTGACGGTCCTCCCTGAACCTGAGCCGAGCACCACGTGGCAGCTGCCAGTTCAGATCACAAATTCAGTTGGAACCACCCAAGGACAGTCACCTGTGCAAGGACACTGTCTCAGCCAAGACCGTATTATGTGTGGAATAGTGGATGCTCTATGACTGAGATTGTACTTGCTGTGTGGACGCACAACGCACGAGACAAAATGCCCTGATTTTTTCAAAGCTTCAGGTTGAGCACTATATGGCACTACAGTATCTTATGCATGCTGCAGTGGACATAACACGCAATAGTAATTGCATGTGCGTGCAGTTTATTGCAAGCTGGATAACGTGTATAAAATTGTCCATGTTCATTGTGGCCATCAGAAAGCAGGGGATTTAATAAATATACATCTGTAATTGCTTGATGCTGCTCTTGACAAAGTTGTGCTGATAGTACTTGGCCGTCTAGGATTACATTTATTTTTTCTGTTTTAGTTTCCATTTATAGGCTATACGGCCTGAACAAAAAATATGAGTAGGAGTTGAAACTGCTGGGATCTCAGCTGTGGCGGTAGCATTTTGATGGAGGCAGAATGGTAGAGGCCTGTGTACTGCGCGAAGTCAGCGCATGTTAAAAACTCCAGATGGTCGAAATTTTTGGAGCCCTCCACTATGGCTTCTCTTATAATCTTAGTGTGGTCTTGGGACGTAAAATCCCAAATATCTTATGACTGAAATGACGCTACAATGCGAGTAAAGGCAAGACATTTGTTGGCAAAACACATGAACTGTTTTGCAGTGAACTACTGACATTCTGTGCACAGTACAAAGTAAATTCCATATGATAGATATCTGCATTGCCACTGGACGGAAGGAGCCAAATAAAAATTGAAGCTAGAGTTTATAATGCGTATGATTTTACCAAGTTTATTATGTGTATGATCCTACCAATATGACTGATCTGTAAAGGGGGACAAAGCTGACAACTACCTTCCTGTAACAGTGACATCAGCGGTCTACAGGCTGGCGATGCAGATTATAGAGGAAAAACAGCAGGCATGGATAGAGCCATAGCAAATTGTCAGGAAGCCTCTATACGTAACGACTAAAGGTAACAGAAATGCAGCGGTGATGAAAAATAGGGCACTGTGGAATTACAATAGGTATTACGTTGTGAGAGGAATATGAAAAGGGGTCATCGTTCAAGGGCTGACGTTCGGCAATGCTGTCTTGTGCATGAGATCAGAAGTTCAAGCAAGATTAGAAATTAAGCAACGTGGAATAGGTAGGTAGGCTTGCTTTAGAAGCTCACGGGAATACACCAAATCAGGGAGTACAAGGTGATATGGGATGGACATCATTTGAGGGCAGGGAAGCTAGCAGCAAGATAAAATTTGAGAAGCGATTGAGAGAAATGGGGGAGGACCGTTAGGCTAGGAAGGTTTTCAGATACTTGTAGATGAAGAATGTCGATACAAAATGGAGGAAACAAAACATAAAATTGACTGGTAAATACTTAGAAAGCAGCAGGGGGCCAAATCAAAAAAATTATCGGTTAAGAAGAAGGTGAAGGAAGCCGAGACCGATATGTGGAGAACTGGCATGATTAAGAAGTCCGCATTAGAGATCTAACGAACTTTCAAGCAGGAAATTGCCAAGGAAAGGATCTATCATAATACTCGGGGTAGTTCTCTACTGTTTGAGGCCAGGACGGGAGTATTGCGAACCAAGACATATCGGGCCAAGTACGAAGGGGTAGCCACAGTATACAGTGCGTGTGGAGAGGAGGAGGAAATTGCCAAACACTTGATAATGTTCTGTAAAGGGCTTCCCCCTATAGTCCAGGATGATTGTGCAGAGTTCTTCAAAACACTAGTGTTTAGGGACAGGGAGGGCAAAATAGAAATTAAGCCGGTAGAAATAAATAGGAGGAGGTTATCTGATTGGTGGCAAAAATCAAGGCATGAGTGAAAATTACATCCAATTAATACAAATATTGGGGCCTATGGAAAAGAAATGGGACCGAGTACCTAAGGGAACACCAAATATACGTAACCACTAAAGGTAACAGGAATGGAACAGGGCACTATGAAATTACAATAGGTATGATTTTGTGAGAGGAATTTGGAAAGGCGTCATGGTTCCTGGCCTGACGTTCGGCAATGCGGTCTTGTGCATGAGATCAGAAGTTCAAGCAAGATTAAAAATTAAGCAACGCGGAATAGGTAGGCTTGCTTTAGGAGCTCACAGGAATACTCCAAATCAGGGAGTACAAGGTGATATGGGATCGACATCATTCAAGGGCAGGGAAACTAGCAGCAAAATAAAATTTGAGAAGCGATTGAGAGAAATGGGGGAGGAGTGTTAGGCTAGGAAGGTTTTCAACTACTTGTACATGAGGAATGTCGATACAAAATGGTGATTCCTGCAGTAGTAGGGACGTCCGCGTCTGGATCGAAGATTGGCTCAACGTCGAGCGGCAGGATCCTTGTAGCTAAGATTTGGTTTGCTTTTCATTCCTCATATTTCTTGTTAGTTTCTCTCAACTGAAACGTTGTTGCAGCCCTTTGGAGGTCAGGCAAGTCAGAATATTCTGATGTCTTTCTCATCACCCGGCCAAGGGCACTCCCCTTCGCTGGCCTCACTACCGGTCAAGGATTGGCCGCTCGATACCTTGCTACGCAGTGGAGATAGCTACGTCCCTGTGACTCTGGTTCCTACAAATGGGGGTTTCATTCCAATGAAGAATCCGAAGGTGATACAAGTGGAGCTTCAGAAAGCCTCGTCGCTTTTCTAGAAAATTACGGAGGTCCGCCAGTTCGGCCGAGGGGGTATCCTGTGCTGCTCTGCAGACCAGGATTGCGTCCGAGAGCTTCTGAATTGCTCTGAATTTGCTGCACAGCCGGTGAGCCCGTTTATTCCAGCTCATCTTGCATGTACAAAGGGCATAGTCCCCGGGGTGGATACGAGTCTGACACCTCAAGAAATTCTTGACTTATTTGCTGTAGCTGGAGCAGTTTCAGTCTATCGATGCACCCGAACGACTGATAAAACAAAATCGCCTACTGAATCAGTTATAGTAACTTTTGCAGGAAGAGTTAGGCCAACAGAAATTAAGGCATGGCCACTAATTGACAAAGTAGAACCACTTTCCCCGAAACCTTTGCAGTACTCAAAATGTTGGCGATTCGGCCACAGCATGAAAGGATGCAGATCACAGGCTAGATGTCGTCTGTGCGGAGAGAGTCACGACAGCTGCGATTGCAAATCCGATGACCAGAAGTGCTGCTTGTGTAACGGAGCGCACCCTGCAGACTCTGCTGAATGTGGTGCAAAAGAAAGAGAAATGGGTGTTCTAGAAATCATAGAACGCAGGCGTTGCTCTAGGAGGGAGGCGGTAGCAGAAATGCATGAAAGATCGAACGGTTACGCAGGCATAACATCCCGGCACACAGCGGCAATGGATGCATCGCTTGCAAAGTCGATAACTGAGGCTATTGAAAAGTCCACTGAAAAAGCAATGCAGCGTCTGGCAGCTACTCTTTTTGAAGCCTTGGCTGATATGTTAACTCAACAGTTGACACAAATCATTGGTACAGTTTCTGTGCAAAATCGGGATTCACACGCTCTGTTGATTTCAAGGGGTACAGAGGAGGAAAATCAGACAGTCAATCATAGATCTATCTCTCCGAAAGCAGGATCTTCAAAAAATAGAGTTCAGGCTGAGTCAGAACTTGTGACAGATGATTCAGGAGACTTTACAGATATGGACACAGAATCTCTAAGAACTTTGAAACGTAACAGATCTCCCCCTTCTAAAAAGTCTTCTCAGAACCCAAAATACAAGAAATATTTGTCAAAGAAAGACTTCTTTGAGAACCTTTCAAAAAATTATTTCTTGAAAAAAGATATTCTGGATCAGGCAGTTTCTTCTGCCGGTATAGCATCAAAATAAGTTCAATAAAAATTCTGCAGTGGAACTGCCGGTCTATTTGGTCGGCAACTACAGATTTACAATATATTTCTTTGCAAATTTCTCCCGACATAATTGCCATTCAGGAAACCTCGCTTGGTAACAGTAAAAAATTTTACATGAAAAATTATCGATTAATACGGCTGGATCGGCCGAGTAGAGGTGGCGGTTTGGCTTTCTTAATATCAACTAAATTTAGTCACAGAGCCAAGATATCCTATCAGTGTATGGATACGAATTACGAAATTCTGGTGTTAGACATAACACTACCAGACTGCTCGCCTTTTTCTTTTGCAAATGTATACTTTCCTGCAGGAGTTCAAGACACGAGATGCCTCGATATTATGGTAGCTTCATGCAGAAAAGAAATAGTACTGTGTGGTGATTTCAATTCACACCATGTGTCTTGGGGCTTCAAATCTGATGTATGCGGAAGACGTTTGTGGGAATGGACGCTTGATAATAACTTTTCCTGCTTAAACTCACACGTTGCTACATTTGTAAGAGGTAACTCTAAATCGACTATTGATTTAACATTTTCCAGCTCCACTTTAAGCATATTCTCGTGGAATATATTAGATTGGGCTCCAAACAGCGACCACCTTCCCATTACGTTTGAAATTAAGTTCCCGAGGTTTAGTTTGGCAGGGAAAGTTGGCTCATTCGTATATTATGCTAAATTACAAAAAGACTTAAAATCTACGTTAACTTCTCACGAAGAAATGCAGGAAGACCTTAGGGCTATGAGTCTATGTGCGGTGTTGAAACGATCACTAAAAAATTCAACGTTTACTGTGAACTCTAACACAGCGGGATCTTTTAGCCCGTGGTGGAATCAAGAATGTGTCAGGGGGTATAGAAAGCGAATAAGCAGCTTGGAAAAAGCTGTTAATTAACCAATGCCCCAAAAATTGGAGTGATTATAAATTCATGGCCGCCGATTTTAAGCGTCTAGTGCGCAAAGCAAAAGAAGACTATGATATGAATAAATTTAATTATCTGTGTAAGTCTAAAAATAAGAAAATGCTTTTCAGGTTTTTACGTGCGAGAAAAATGATTACACAGACAGAAAGCGGTCATTCCACCATTATGTCTCTTCGCGAACTCTCTGAATTCTTGGAAAATATTGCTAAAGGCTCGCAAACCAGGTTTACAACAATTATGCCAAAGTCCATGGTGAAATTAAGGGTGGATTGTGATTTCCAGGAGGTATCTTTAGCTGATTCGGCGGATGTGATGAAGAGCTTACCGCCCGCTGCTCCTGGACCTGATGGGGTGACCTCTACAATGATTAAAGTGTTATACGAAATACCGCCACATGAAATCCGTAATATAGTTAATTATTCACTGAAAAATTCTTGGATTCCGGCTGATTGGAAGCTTTCCAAAATAATTCCGATACTTAAGAAACAGCGAATGGAGTTTACTCTGGATAACAGAAGGCCTATTTCATTGACATCTAACCTGGTCAAGCTTGTAGAGAGAGTCTTAAATGCCCGAATAATAAACTACATCAATGAATATACAATACTAAACCCCAGACAAATTGGCTTTAGATCGGGATACTCCATTTGGTGTGCACATGTGGATTTGGAAAGTCGCATACAGCTGGCTCGGGATGGTCGCGAATACTGTGCACTAGTCACTCTAGACTTAGCTAAAGGGTACGACAAAGTGGAATATCCTATCCTAATCCAGCAGATGCAAGACTATTGCTTTCCAAAATATATAACAGCATGGATTACAGAGTTTGTGAAAGACAGAGAATTTTATTGCTTCTTGGATGGATGCTCTTCTAGAAAATATAAGCAGACACGAGGTGTACCTCAGGGCTCAGTATTATCACCGGTGTTATTCAACATATTACTAAGTTCCATTCCAACTCATCAGAATATCCAAATTTACGTATATGCAGATGATATTGCTTTCTTCGCAACAAACAGTGATCTGCACTTATTGTATCAGGCATTACAGAATTACATGAACATGCTAGAAGGATGGCTTGACAATATCCATATGTCATTGAACGTCAGAAAAAGCGCACTTCTGCCATTCTCTTTTAAGGATCGTGTCAACATTTCCCTGATGTATCGTACCGAGCTCATTCCTCAGGTCGATTTCCTGAAATACCTAGGCATCGTATATAATAGGACGCTAAATTGGAAAAGCCATATAGACGATGTTGGCTGTAAAGCGTCACGTGCCTTGGGGTGGTTACGCAAATTGGGAAACAGGAAAAGAGGATTGCGTAGGAGTTCATTGATAATGATTTACAAGATGTATGTAAGGCCTATTATGGAATTCGGGTGTGTATTATTTTCAGGCAGCGTGGCTTACAAGATGAGACAATTAATATTATTAGAAAGAGAAGCTTTGCGCTTGTGTCTTGGACTCCCAAAATTTGTGGCAAATAATGTTTTGTATGTGGAAGCGCGCCTTCCATCTTTGTTAACTCGGTTTAGAATACTTACAGTTCAAACTTTCTTAAAAATATACAATTCGCCTCTGCGACAAGCTTCATACATTTTTATTCAAGAACCAACCGCATTCTTTGGAACACAATGGTCTAGACTACACTCCCCTCAGATTAGGTTCGTCCAAGCATTGCTAGAGCCTCTCAATGTAAATATTTATCAGAATTGCATAACGAAGACACCTAATTCAAAACTTGAAATTAAATTTGATATTTTCCCCTCTATTGCAAAACAACTACCCCTTCATTATTTAAATATTCGGTTAAAAGATTACTTGACTCATCTGTCCATAAACAACATTATTGCGACGGATGCATCCGTATTGAACGAAAAGGCTGGAATAGGCATCTTCTGTACTTTTCTCGACTGGTCTTTCTCAATTTGATTACCAGATTACATGCCTATATTCATCGCTGAATTATTTGCTATAATTCTAGCGCTTAGTAAACTTCCTGCAAGCGAATCAGAAGCGGTCATACTTACCGATTCTCTCTCAGTATGCACTGCACTATATACAGCAAAAAATTTGACATTATTGAGTATGATTAGCAGTTTATTACCAGAGAACCTGAAAAAATTTCACTTGCTATAAATACCCGGCCACCACGGGATTTATCCAAATGAGATGGCAGACTCATTAGCCAAAGCATCTTTAAGCGGACCAATCTTACCTATTTTTGCCTACGTAACAGCACTCAGATATAGAAAGGCTTGTTTGCACAAAGAAATAGAAAAATTATCATTGGATAAAGTCAGAGACTTCATACATCTAAGATATTGCTGGAACAAACAGTGGTGTGTATCTCGGCAGTTAGAAACTACAATCACCAGATTACGATGCAGAATTCCGCATCTGAATTACTACTTACATAAAGCTGGACTAACAGCATCTCCGTTGTGTCTCTTTTGCAAGGAATCGGAATCAATAGATTTCTTTTTATCCTGTAAACATTATGCTTATCAAAGGAAACGATACCTGGTCGAGCCAATTGAGAAGCTAGGTTTAAAAATAAACGTGGAACTAATTTTATCCTTCGGAGGGTTTACATTAGGTTATAGCCACAGGGAGGTTTTCTCTGCTGTGTGCAAGTACATAAGGGCAACAAAGAGATTACCCTGTTTAGCCTATTGTTATTATTTACGGCTATGAGACTACCTGAATGCCTGACTGAACACACTTGATGATCTTGCCGCCCAATTCTTGGCCGATCCCCCTTTGTGGGCGAGTGCCAGCAAATCCAAAGGTCCATCATCATCATGATCAAAATGGAGGAAGCGAACCAGAAAATTGATGGGTAAATACTTGAAGAAGAGCAGGGGGCCAAACCTAGAAGGCCTATCGAATAAGAAGAAGGTGAAAGAAACAGAGACTGACATGTGGCTACAATCAAGGTACAAGTGAAAAACCCTTCACTGCAAAGTACCAGTTATTTACTATGTAAAGAAAAAAAGAAAATCGTAGTTTTTGGTTCACTAAGTATTACAGCTAGGTGGCCTTAGCCACTACCCGATTGATCTAAAGGTACAGCCACAACAATCCATCCATATTACTATTTCAAAAACTTAAAAACACACCACAGTATTTTTAAACTGTGGTCTGGATTCTAAAACTAATTCTAAAACACTGGCTGCTGCTGCATGCGAGCTCACCTCAGTTTTCTATTCAGCTAATAATTGTAAGGTTTGTTGAACACTAGTGAACATCTGTTTCAAATAAAATGTGGAAATTCTCGTGCTTTAAGAGAATGGTTACATCAACCTTTTAGTGCTGCTTTGAAAATGAATACCTCACTACTCAAATAACATCCCTTTTTAAAGTTCACTATCTGCCCACCCTTCACAGCTGCAATGCTTAATTCCTTCGCACTTACCTTGTCAAGACATGGAGACCTAGTCGGCTCACGTTTACATAGCATAATTCAAAAAAATGGGCAAGAAATGTCAACGCCAAGGCTAGCAAGTTTTTTTATTATTTTCTTTAAAAAATGAGCTACTTCAAAGAGAACAAAATGGTAACACAGAAGGGGGAGTAAAAAAATGCAATGGCGTGCCCTGGCAACACCAAGATGAAATGCCCAACATCTATGTACAACTACGGGCAAGGCGTTTGTACAAGACCACCACAAAAACGAACGGCCCGAGCAAATGGCAGGTGACTACGTGAAGCAGAAAATAAAAAAAGCCTATAAAGTGTCGAGAGGTATGTATGACTTCACATACCACTATTAAAGTAAAGTGAGAAGGAAGGTATAAAAATAATTGGAGAAAAAAGGGACAGGGAGTCTGGGTTTAAGAAAATGCTTGGATTGGGCAGCTAAAGACTGCATTGAATTCGATCGTCCAACATTATTTTTCTTTGAAAACAACTGCAGGCGCACCACAGAGCAGCACAAGAAGTCTGTACACGCTGGCAAAGGTGGCCATTTTGAAGAAACTCTTGCTATGTCGATGAAAGCCTCGAAGGAAAATGTGGTGACCTTTCTTTTTTTTTCTGACGTCTCTCACGCACATAATGCACAGCGCAGTGCTCGGAACCACCTTCAACTTCTTTTCTTGACTCTGTACCAAACACTGCGTTCTTGACCGTCGCCGCCTCTAGACCGCGTCGGATGCCTCGGTCTGACAGCCGGTGGAACAGGTGGTACGTAGAGTTACGCTTTCGGGCTGCCCGGTCACTTCTCGACGGTCGAGGTGCTGAAACAAAAGACGGGATTTTCTGTTGTGAGGAAAAACCACACCTTTGCACAGTTTCCCGGCATCAACGCATATGCCCCGATTTGCACCCCCCCAGCAAGACGTTTATGCACAGAAGTGTGACCCCTACTTTGAATAAAACCTCATTGGTACATTCCCGTTTCATAGTTTCCTGATGGCAACGTTGACGATACCATTAACAAGCGCTACATGTTTCACACTTCCCGTCCGTCTTCCTCGTCTTCATGTTTACCAGCTCACAAGCTTGAGTTAGGCTAAGTACAAAAGCATGTGGGTAATAACGCTACAAGTGAAGTTCTATTGCATATTCAGTGCAAAATCCACTCTCAGCTCAGAAGCTGCATCGGTGACTCGCAAGTAGCCATTTTGTATTTTTTTAGTACCAAATGTCATTGCAACTAGCCCTACTACTTGCGTGAAGTCACCAGCATTGATACTATTTGTGGCGAGATCGGGCTATAGGTGGCAGCACTGTCCTGCGCAAGTGTGGATAGGCAGTCGACGGCACATATACAAACACACGCAGTGGCGCTTCGTTGCGTGCGATCTGAACCTATTGTCGGAGGATCAAATGTGTTGATTACAGTTTACATTTATTATCTATGCGCTTCGCTACTGAATCTGTGCACGATGCCTATGCAACGTTAACATTACCCGCACGTAATGCGCATTCTGCCTTTCATAAGCATGCTTGCCCTGGGTGATTCTTTCACGCTTTCGCACTAAATTACGCCTTTGCCGTGTTGTTTGTGCGTGGTTAGCTTGTGATCCGCCTACTTGATGATTGATTGATATGTGGGGTTTAACGTCCCAAAACCACTATATGATTATGAGAGACGCCGTAGTGGAGGGCTCCGGAAATTTAGACCACCTGGGGTTCTTTAACGTGCATCCAAATCTGAGCACACGGGCCTACAACATTTCCACCTCCATCGGAAATGCAGCCGCCGCAGCCGGGATTCGAACCCGCGCTCTGCGGGTCAGCAGGTGATCCGCCTACTACGCACTGCTGTAGCGTGACTGAGCTATGTATTTACTTTTGGCATTTGCACACTACGAAAAATAGAGAAAGAAAGATTGTAGAAAGCCAGCATATCTGTGCGATTCATTCAGTACCACCGTTTGCACCTTATACGCACGCGATTTTTTTCCCTCTCATTCTGTGCACCATGAATTGTGGGACAGACTTATCGGCATGACATATAAGGCATGCCATCTGAATTATTTTTTAAAGTCTGGGTTCTTTAAAGCATTCTTAAATTTAAGCACACGATTCCGCACGGTAACTGTTTTAAGTACAGTGCAAGTACCGAAGTCTCACAGTTTATGTGGGAGTAATATTTCTATGAAGTGGTACCACAGCCAGATAAACACAACTAAAGCTCCTCGCATGATCGATAAACTACAGTGCCGTAGTTGTACACCTACCAACAACTCGCAAGTGCATAACCTAGAAAGTCGCTCTAAAATGCTGCATTCACACAGCATTTAATAGTCCTCATTTTTGGGAGTATGCCAATAGCATTTTGCGATGTTCTCGAAACAGAAAGCGGCACCCATCCTGAATTCACCATCTGGTGAATGCAACAACCATAAACAGCACTCTGGAAAGTTGCACTCGCTGATCTTATTACTATGCATTAGCAGCCAAGCAAGACCAAATGCTTTAATACATCATTTCAGGCATACGTAGAAACAGCTACACTCTTGCTGACATGACCGGACAAACCACACTTCGAGAACGTGCATGACATACGCGCACATAAAAACACGACATGGCTAGCAGACGACGCAAGGAGCAATCCAAACTACACTGTTTCTGCAGGTTGCCGCCAGGCGGCGACTCTGCTCGATCTCGCGGCCAATAGCCTGACAACACACCTTTGGTGATGTCAGTAAGCGGGCCTAGGGAGAATGGACTTCAAGTTGAAAATAAATTGCATTCATACCTCATATTAAAAAAATTGTATCTCACATGAAAATAAGTTTGTTATATCCAAATGTTTGTTATAAAAGCTTGTTCCCATCACTATATCTATTACGAGACTTTTATTTACTTTGTTATAAACAATCTCTCATTACAACCAGGCTGGTGTGTATCATATGGGCCTTTACTGCACTTCACCCACATTTATATGGCATAGTAAACTCAGTTTCTAACACTGGTGCCACTGATTTCCACAACTTTGGTACCAAATTTAACGCATGTATAGACAGCTGATCATCACAACGTGGCTGAAGGGCTTAGGTGTGGCAGCATGTTTAGGAAGTTCGCAGACAAGAACAGTTCATTGTAACTGCCACTTTACAGTCGCCGACCGATTTTCCGGACTCCAAAAATTCGGACTTGTTGGATATTCCGGACTTCATAAATGCACCGTCAGGGATCCCATAGAGCTAATGCATTGTTTCGACCAATTTTTCGGGCGAATTTGCCCCTGAAAGTTCGATTTTTTGGACTAAATCGCTCGTTGTGTGCCACGCCCCAAGCCATTGTGAACGCCGCCATGTTGAATTTTCCGTCGGCTTGGCTAAGCTTGGTCTTCAAATGTCTTTCTTGCCTCCGAGATTGGAATGCGCACGCCATATTTTAAGTTTCGGAGGCCGTGTTTTCTTTTTAAAAGACGCGGTGATGGATGCCGTTTTTTCGTCTTCGGTCAGCACTATCGTCATCACATCGCACGGGGAGGAGGCGAAAGAAGGATTCTTTAATTGTCGTTGCAGCTTTTTTCAGTCGCCACTCTGCACGTGTTGTGTCGCGTAGCGTCGAGACGTTGTGTGCTTCGCAGCGGCTATCTGCGGCATCGAATTTTGTGTTCTCGGTGCCATGGCTCCGCTATCTGTGCCATCGCGGGAGCCAGGTGGTGTGAAGAAGCGTGGCAAGTATACGACCCTGACGATGGAGAAGAAAGCTGCCATAATCAAGCTAATAGAGAGTAGACGTTCGCAGCTAGATGTCGCCGGATGACGGTCGACACCGGATGGCGGTCGGCGGCGGAGATCGCCAACGCGGTGACAATTTTGTCGAGCGTTTACGGCAACGATGTCACCTTGGCGCAAATACGGGCAAACCAAATTGCCTTAAAGCGTAGTTTGAGGCAAGGCAGCATCAAGGACTTTTTTAAACCTGCCTGATGCAATAAACTTCAAATTTTTGGCGAAAACGAATTTTTCGGACTGTTCGATTTTTCGTACTTTTTTTCGGTCCCCGCCAGGTCCGAAAAATCGGTCGGCGACTGTATTCGTTCCAGTGTCCGTCGAACCTCGTCAGCAAAGAAGTCACTGGTGCTTATTGGCAGAAAAGTGTAACGGCAGCGAGGACGAAAAGGACGAGTGCCCTGAGGAGTGCCGGGAGGTGCAAAGCGACGAACCGGGCAAGGAGAGCACGGAAGTGTCTGCCTAGTCCATGGCGCCCTGGCCAATCACAAGAAGATAAAGGAAACAAAAAGAAAGAAAAAGTGCTCCTTATATCCTGAAAGAAAAACACAGGCAGCAACTAAAGCAGTGCCATGCCAGTTATTGCTGAAACTTGGAGCGAAAACCACAGTTCCTTTATCAAGTGCATAATGCAGACCGCTAGCATCAACAAGAGTGGTTCAAATAATCCGAATCCTGGGGTGACGTCACCCTAAAACATTACATCACTGATACCACATAACATGACGTTGCAGAATGTCGTCGTCAGAAGACTATCGCTTGATCAAAGGTAGGCCAATCCCAAAGGCAGTGACTTCCCCTATACTAGGATAATTCAACTTTTTATTTTACACGCATAACCCACTTCTATATAATCCCCACCTGCCTTTCTGAGCTTTCCTAGGGGGAAAAAAGAAAAAGAAAATCTTCACGTAATGATTTACATAAAAAACAGCGCCAATAAGGAGGGACGGTGCCACTGTCTGTCTCCTTTTTTTGTCTCTCGTTATTGGCGCTGTTTTTTATGTGAATCATGTCGTACCAACTCGCCCAAGCAACCACGTTAGCTTCACGTAATGCTTGCACATTTGATATACAAAAAAAAAAAAAAGCTGTACAAAAGCTACTGCTGTAGCAATAGAGAGTTCTCGTCACTTCATAAAGCAGTGCAGCCCTCTGCGGCTTGCATGGAATCTGGGAGGTAGGCCTAGCTCTCTCAACAGTCGCTGCGTTTCCGCTTTGGCCATCTCGGTCAATACAGCGTGACCCCTGCCTTCACACATCTTGAATGAACTTCACTAGCTGCAGCTCTGGCTCAGCGCCCCTCCACAGGCACACCCAGGACTCACTCACATCGTGCTGTCTTCTCGATTCACGGTTCCCAAATCCCTCGGCGACAATCTTGAGCTTTTGCTATGCGGTGAAAGATTGCCGCAGGACGGTACTCATGGAGACAGAACAGATAGAGTTAGGCTTGGCGAACGGGTCGAGCGGTGGAGAATGTGCAGCCAAACACGCATATATTGAACTCTAAAGGGATCCCGAATTGGTTCGATACATGAAAAAATACAGGCCCCGAGGGCTTACCCGTAGCAGATTATCACCTACGATAGCGCATTCAAGAATGACTGATTTCGCACACATGCCGCAACAGAAGAACGATTTATTTGCGTGAAAAAAAATATTGGTTATCTTGGCCTGCTTCTTAGTTTTTGAAATGTTGAAGACGCTAGTCTCGATCTTATCTAGGCTGCCCAGGTGCGACAGCACGGTTCCCTTCATGTGGCCAATACCATGCCACCGAACTATATTTGATGTGAACGCGGTTGCGCCCTTTGTGTAGCCCACGCGTGTTGCTCTGTTGATAATAAAATTCGGCTGAATACGGCGTTGCACACGCGCCGTTTAGGCACAGCAGGTCAGATTGGCGCAGGATGGCACAAATGGCACAGCACTTGCACCCCTGCACTGGCCAAAGCTAGACAAGAAGTAGAGAATTCAAGGAGTCCGTAGCGGTTTTGCACACCACGCTGACAAAAGAGAAATGCTGCACATGTGGTGGT